GCGAGCGAGCCTGACGAAGCCCTCCCGGCCCCGGCCACAGCTGCGCTAGCCAGCCTAGCTGAGATCGGCCACAAGCATGCCCAGCGTGGCTCACACCTGTTCCCATTGTATGCGATCCCCGCTAGCAACCCTATCTCCCATATCCTGCGCACTGCATTGGGTCTGGCCAAGGGATCGGCTGTGGAGGTTATTGCGCTCAATGCTCGTCGGGACTGGTGGCGTCGGTTCGGTGCTGCTGATGAGGACTTTGGGGCTGTTGCTGTTGAATCTTGGGTTGATGGCATTCGCCTTGGTGAGGGTGCTAAGGAGAAGTTGCCTGATGGTCTTGTTTCTGGTGCTGAGGCTGAGGCTGAACCTGAAGTCGAGGCCGAAACTGCTCCTGAGCCCGAAGCTGAAGCTGAAGCTGAGGTCGAGGAGCAGGTTGAGCCCGAGGCTGAGGAAAAGCCTGAGCATGATGAGCTGTGAGGAACTCTTATCGTCGGAAGGAGCCGATGTCATATTCCGGCTACATCTGCCATTCATTTTGCATCTTTGAAAGCGCGCATATGTCTGTAAGCCAACATAGTACCAAAACATTACAGCATATCTAAACCAGTCCTACGTAGTACCACCATGGATGTAGACATAATAAACATATGATTCATATATACAAGGGACGAAACCCCCATTAGAAACATGAACCGAAGAGTACAGAATACTAGAGACAGAGAGAGCAAGCAAGTCTTTCAGACCAAACCGAACACCGAACACAAATGCAGAAAGAGAAAAACAACAGTCCAAACCCTCACTTAGTACATCTAGTGCTTTTTGCTTTTGCGGCCCTCAGTGCCCCTCTTGATAATCTTCTGTCTCTTCGAGTCGATTTCCTGATCGTAGATCTCTCGCGCCGTCTCGCCCTTCTTGCGCTTAGACTGCTTAGGCAGCTTAAGGCTCGCGTCTCTGGAGGCTGTGAATCAGTTATTGTTCATTCGGAATGGGATAAGTATGTAGGGGTAGGGCTTACCCGTCAGCATCGATCAAGGCGCGCTGCTTAGCGAGCATCTCCTCCTCGATCTGCTTGCCTCCCTCGCGGAGCTCGTCGTCCAGGTTCACAGGCAGGGGCTTGTGCTGGGTATCGGGCTCGTCATCATGAGCGGCGGAGGTCTCGAGACGGACCTTTCTGGCGGGCAGGGTCTTCTCGACGTCCTCCTCGAGCAGAGTGCGGAAGTGGGTGGAGATCTTGCGGACGATCTTGAGGAACATGGCGAGGAGCTGGGAAGAGGGGAGGTTCAACTCCTTCTCTAGGGCATCCAGGCTCTTGTGCTGCAGACCAATGGCTAGGAGGATGGACTGCTGCACGCCGGAGAGGCTGACCTTGCCGGAAAGACGATTGGCGAAGTAGTATTCGGAGAGTGTGGGTACCATGTCGAGGATGACGTGGTAGTCCAGGAGGTTGTTGGCGTAGCTTTCCAGACGCTTCTGGTCGAAGGCTGAGAAGGTCTGCTTGAGTTCGGCTGCTGTCAAAGCGCGGGGCTTGACGGATTCGTCCAGCTTGGCGCCAGCGTTGGCAGACTCGCAGATGCTGAGGGAGAGCACGGAGGGGAACTGGCCGAACTGGTACGACAGAAGGGAGAGGAATCGGCGCTGGAAGTCACGCGCGAAAGCGCCGAGCCAGGCAGGGTCGTTGGGACCGCTGGTAAGGGTGCGGAGCATCACGCATGAGTGCTCACCAGTGAGTTCGTTGGGGGTCTGACGCAGGTACACGGGGGCGAAGGAGCCGCGCTTCCAGAACTTGTGAAGGGATGGGGTGAGACCGTAGCTGACACCGACGTAGTCGAGGGCGTCGGGGCGACGCTCAGACAGCTTGCCGAACAGGGGAGGCATTGAGCGGATATCACGGACGTGAACGTTGTCATCCAGGAGGCTGGAACCGGCGAGCTCTTCGTCGGTGACACGAACCATCTCTTCCTCGGGGGCGGCGGTGTTCTCGTCGAGGTTGGTGAACTTGCCCTCGAAGTAGTCGACCAGGAGCTCCATGGCGCGGGAACCGTAACCCATACCAACATACTCGGGGTTGGTGGCAATGCGAACAACACGAGCACCGGAGAGACTGGCAAAGGTCTCATCCTGGAATTGCTGGCTGACCAACCACGGGATCAGGTCACCTCCGGCACGCTGGCCACGGCTGAGACTGTTGAGAACGCTCTGGCGACTGATGCGACCTTCAAGGGCGACTTGAATGACGCAAAGCGGCTCAGGGAGCTTGGTGGCCTCTTCATCAATAGGAGGGACAAGCACGTAGAGCTGGTGAGCGGGGGCATCACTCATAAGCTGGAGATCGTTGGGGGTATTCTTGTAGTGACTGGCAACGTAAAGCGCCATCATCTGCTGCAAGAACTTCTCGGAAACAGGGTGGAAAGAGAAGAGCGTGTCACGGTTGACCTGGAGCAGTTGGCACTGAGAAGGGTGAGGGCAACCCTGTGTGTTCATGCGAGACTTGGGGAGAGTAGCGTCAAGGCAGAGAACCTTGTTCAACCACTTCTCGACAGAGTCACCCGGAGCATAACGAATGGGCTCCGCGAGGGTGATCTCTCGCAAGGAGCGACCAGTAAGGTTCTTGTCGGCGTTCTTCGTCGCCTTTCCTGTGTCGCGGTCCGCGATATCGGTATCATCGGTCTTGAGACCGCCACGGGATTGTTCACGCAGCTGCTGGATCAGCTTCAGAGACAGGGACCGGCCCGTGCCTTCGTAACCGTTAATAGTAGACGACATGAACACCAAGTAAGGTCCCATCAGCTTCCGCACCAATGGCAGAGGAATGGCGGCAGCCTCATCAATGACCAGAAGCTCAGCCTGTCCGAGGACCTGCGCATCCTGGGGTTGAATGTATTGGATGGTTTGACGGTGGTTACGGTGAACGTTGACTCGCACAACGGCCTTGTTGAAGTCTGGGTTGGTCGACTGCAGGATGGTGTAGTCGACATGATCGAGGTATCCAAGGGCGTCGAAGCCCTTGAAGACGAACTCGAAGAGGGTCTTCAAGTTCTCAGGGCTGGGGGAGGTAATGAAGATGTTGCTGTAGCCGTGAGCGATCGCTGCGGCGATGGCAACTCCGAGGGCAGCGGACTTTCCTCGACCACGACCAGCAGTGAGGGCAACAGTGCTCTTCAGTGTCTTCTCGGCGATGGCATCAACAAAGGTCAAGAGAGCCTTCGCTTGATCCACAGTACGGGCCAAGCTGAGTAAAGGACCGACGGGCTTGGCATCGGCCAGGCTCTCCTTGATTTCCTTCAATTCCTTCTTGGGTCCAGAGGCAGACTCGTCGGTGGACTCGGGGGGAGGAAGCGGCTTCACGGTCTTACCGCCAGAGATGGGCAGCACGTTCAACTCGTCGTCGACAACCAGACATGAATCACAGCTTCCCAGAGACAGGATGAAACGCTCGTTGAAACGAGCGACCACATCATCGTGTGCCTCCGTTCGATATCTCGAGTGGATGTCCATGGTCATGGTGTAGAGCTGCTTAAGACTGGTCATGCTCTTCAGCAGCAGGATGACCATACCACCACCCTCGACAGTCTCGACGGTTCGAGCAAGCAAGTTGGGGGTCATGGCCTCAAAGTCCTGCAGCACACACATTCCGTAGGTGTTACCCAGAATCTTCTCGGTTTCCTTGTAGTAAACATAGCGGATCTGATTGAGGGTGATAAAAAGCTCGAAGGGATCTTCCTGGTTCGGTTCGCGGATGCCTCGTTTCACCTCCTTCTTAATCTTCGCTTCGCGCTTCTTCCGATGACTCGTAAAGCCGAGCAGGTCCTTCTTGTAAGCCCACAGAACGGACTTGTTCTGCTTCACGTCCACGCTGGACATGATGTAGTGCAGATGCACAATGACATCCTTGGCATGGTCGCCCACCACCACGAAGAAGCTGCGCTTCTTCTCCTGGACACAATTTCGAATCAGAGCGGGAATCCGCGAGTCAATCGCCTTGCGGGGCATGATGACCGAACGTGAGGCGCGGAGCTGGCCTCGAGGTAGTTGTACGTCCCTCTCTCGGGTGAAAGTAGGCCGGGGTATAAACCAAAGGAGATATTCCTTGGTTAAGCTCCTTTAAAAAAAAGGAGACACAGGTGAATTGGACTGGTGTTGATCGAAAACACTTCAGTCTTGTCTTGCGGCCAAAAACCCTACCGGATAGAAAAAAATGATACTGCTCCCCGACACCGCCTACTGAAGGATACCGCCTTCCTGACAGATTCACCAGGCACCAAGTCACCTGACCAACTGCCAAATTCCACCGTCTTAGACCCTGTAAATCACCTGACCTGACCGGCGTTGCCCTTTCCCAATTGGGCCATGTGAGGATGCATGCCGCCATTCCCGATTGAGACTAGCACAAATCTCCTTGCCCCATTCTGTCGTTTGACGCTAACCATCCATGGGCCCGTTCGGCCATCTTTATTTCGATGCATGAACAACTTGGCTTGTTTGACGCGTGTCAGCCTTGGCTGTGTTGCCATCTGTAAGCCCCTCACATGGATAACGAGGCTGGTGGTATATGCAATGCCGCATGCAGCCACCCACCCTCAGTGACCTCACGGTGCCGAGTGGGTCAGGAATCAACTAAGGCTTGATTCTGGCCGCTGATCGGCCCGGCATTTCCTGCTGACCAGCCATAACCCCAGAACTACAGCGGCTAACACAAGGAGCTAACAGATCCGGACATTAACCAGTGGCTGGGAATGTCCACTTTTTCCGCCATTGGGCAAAGATACAGTGTCCATGCAAGGCCCGTGGTTGACGCAATGTCCCTAGCCCGCCCGTTGACGCAACCCTAATGGATCAGCACTCCCAATGCCTCTGATTAGCCGATCTCAGACCCTTCCACCCTGCCCTCTTGTGCCATGTTTTCTGTCAATCCCCTGAGGCTCCACTGCTCTTTGATTTTTCCCTTCTCTTGAAATCAGTTGCACGCGATGGCAGGAGACGCTCTCAAGCGCGTATAGACGACCGGGCGCAAGATGGTCCAATTATCTCCCGACCTCGGGTTGAAGGTCTCTGTGGGGTGAGTACTGGCGGGATCACCGTGAAGACACAAGCTTATGATCGCATTCTTGCAGAGTATTCCTTATAAGCTCCCTATTCCTTACTACCTCATACAACACCACGTTCGCTTTTGGTAAGTCGCCACCGAGTATGCGCCAGTTCCATGACGTGACCTGACTGTCGTTTCGCCTCAGATCGCCCTGTTAGTACATCAGTTCTGGTCTGTTTCCTTACCGGGCTGGTCCTCTTGCTATGGGGTCGCTTTGTTCCATCGGTGTCGCAACCATCGTCGCCGACATTCAAACGACCGGGTGCCCCCCTCGCGGAGCAGTATGAGCTTCCCTCACGCGCCTCGACCTCGTCGTTCACATTTGGCGAAACTGAAAATCGTCCTTCGTTGCGGAACCGATCGTGGTGGATAAAACTAAGCCTATTGGTTGGGCTGGGTGGCTTGCGAGTCGAGTCTTTCCGTCAAGTTACTCGACACAGCGAGTGTGTGCCCTCTGGATATGCTGTATGTGACTGAATAGCCCGGCCATTCGATCTGGACTGACACAATGTCGCCAACAGTATGCCATTCCGTTCGTTATTTCGCTCTACGACTACTGGCGTAACCAGCGATCGCGACAAGTGGAGACGTATGTTCCTGCGCAGCGGTTTCTCAAGCTGCCGCTGCAGGTGACCTACTCGGTTTGCCGCCGGAGCTTCCATTATCTTACACAGAGCCGCTTTAGAGGCGTCATTGCAGCTGCCTTCCTATCGATTAGTGGGCTCCTAGCTTCGTCATTCTCAGCCGGAAATCGCTCGACCTATATCTGTCCTGTGGTGTTACATGGCGCATCGCAAATGCGATTTTTTAGGATCTTCAATGTGTTTTCAGACTCTGCATTACTGATTGGGATAACTGAGTTATGCCGAATTGGCAGTCAATTCGACGAGGCGCGGAGAAAGCGCACTCTGATGTTCCTTGGAGCTGGTCTCCTTGTAAGTGGCGACATTTCAACTGGGTGCGACGTCTGCTGACATTTTGTTCAGGGTCTTTCTGTGTTCTGGTGTATCTTAGGACTCAAGGTATCAGATAGCTCACCCGAGCTCGCTGGGCAACCCACTTTGGATCTCGAATACTCGCGTGGTGCTTTCAGTCAAGCTGTGCTATTGCTGCTCCTGATCTTATCAGCTTGGCATATGGTTAGTCTGTCCAGAAAATCTGCTAAATTACCAACTGACTTTTCTAGTTACCACATTTTGACATTGTTGGTGTGGCAATCATTGGTGGTTTTATAGTTATATACTTCTCTTCTGTGTCGGCCCTTGTGGGTGGACAATCGTCCTACCCATTCATCTCCCTAACACACTCGATTCTCCCGATGGTAGCATCTCTAACGGGCGCCATCCTCTTCCTCCTCGCGCGAGTGGTCCACGACGAAGAATACAAACCCCTTTATCGCACCAACATTGCTGTACAGGTACTTTTCGTCATTCTCTGTGGAATCAGTCTGGGTTTCGCAGTGAACAAGCATCGCGTTTCTCCCATCCACCCAATTGATTTCCTCCTACACGACGGCAGAATTCAGCATGACAATTATATGGCCCAGGCTTCTGTGAGCAAGACCCTCCAAGATGCTGTTGGGGAATACCGGAGTCGATATAACCAGCATCCGCCACCTGGTTTCGACAAATGGTATCAATACGCCACTAAAAAGTCGTCAGTAATCATCGACGATTTCGATCAAATTTATCACAACCTACTTCCTTTCCGAGCCCTGGCTCCCCAGCAAATACGGGAAATGACATCTCAATTAGCAACCAACCCGTTCAATGATCTTGGCGCTATCAGCATCCGAAATGGCAAGGCTAGAGTGCAAGAAGGGATTAAACCGACGCATGCGTGGATGGTGCAGGGGGCTGCCGATATGATGGAGAACTTTGTCGAGTTTCTCCCGGATATGGACCTGGTGTTCAATTTGAACGATGAACCGCGTGTTGCAGTCCCCTGGGAGAAGATCTCAATGTTGAATCGCCGGGCTCAGATGCAGCAGATGGCCCCCGAAGAGCACGCAGTGAATGCTTGGTCGATGAATAGACTAGAGGGTTGGGGTCCAATCGAACCCGCCGATCTGACCAACACCACCATCTTCACTGATGGTGCGTGGAGAGGTGTCTTCGATCCATATGTGAGCGCTGTATGTCCACCTTCATCCAAGGCACGTTCGCAGAGAATCTGGAACCGCCGTGATATTTGTTTATCATGCGCGGGTCCTCACTCCATGGGCCAATTCCCACTGGACTTCAATATCGCCTCCGATATCTGCCACCAACCCGACCTCGCGTTCATCCACGGTCTCCTCATCTCCCCAGCCTCATTCAAGGTCTCGCAAGACCTAGTCCCAGTCTTCAGTCAAAGTGCCCTATCCGGCTTCAACGACATCCTCTTCCCTAGCCCATGGAACTACATCGACAAGGTCAAATACCAACCAACAGACGAACACCCCGACCCAGAATATAGCCACAAGAAAACCTCCCTCTACTGGGTCGGCAGCACATCAGAAGGTGTCAGCCGCTTCGGTGAATGGAAAGGCATGCCCCGGCAGCGCTTCGCCCACCTAATAAACAACAACACGAACAACCAAGTCTCCGTCCTCCTCCCAACAAACGACGGCACAGGCACCTTCCGCTACGAAATAATGGACGGCGCCGCCCCAACCGAAACCCTCCACCTCCAAACAAACGTCCACCTAGCCGACCCGATCGTCCGCTGCGGCGACTGCGATGAACAAGCCGCCGAAATGGGCACAGTAGGTTGGGCCGACTTCCAAGCCCACTGGTCCCACAAATTCCTCTTCGACCTTGACGGCGCCGGTTTCAGTGGCCGCTTCCTCCCCTTCTTACACAGCCACAGCCTCCCCCTAAAGACAGGCCTCTTCAGACAATGGTTCGACTCCCGCGTCACCTCCTGGCTACACTTTGTACCCGTCGACATCCGTCTACACGGGCTATGGAGTACGCTCGCTTATTTCGCGGGTGTCCCTGCTCCGGCAGGCGATCAGGGTCCTGGTCCTGGTGCCCCGCAGGTGCGCATGAAGGCGCATGATAAGCAGGGCAAGGCAATTGCCGAGGAGGGACGAGAATGGGCGCGCAGGGCGCTCAGGAAGGAGGATATGGAGATTTATTTCTTTAGGCTTTTGTTGGAGTGGGGGCGTATCACTGATGACCAGCGTGATGTCCTTGCTTATAAGCCTTGAGTTTGATGGCTTGCATGGTTGGTGTTGATTTTGGTTTAATGTTAATGTCAAATGGTACATAAAGTTATTATATGAAGTAGCTTATACATGTTTATTCGTGTTTATCCATGGTCTTTGGCAGTCGGTATTCATCGACATTGGTATATAGACCGTCCCAGAGGAGGTCTAGACCACTAAATGTATTTCTCTTGAGACCTTCTCCGCTACAAAGTACTACCTACCTCTACCTTACTGAATTCTACAAGAAATTAATGCAAAGCAATGCGATCTTATTTCTAACGAAGGGAAGGGGTATTCAGAAAACAAAAACCGCGCCCATAAACATAAACCATAAAATGCGTCGTCAGCCGCAACACCAGATCCCACCATAACCGTTGACTAGCACAGGCATAGGCAGGATAGCAGCGTATAGGGGGGAAAGCCCCCATGCAATCATCACACAGGGAAACCAAGCAAAAAAGCCACACCAGGAGGTTTTCAACAACGGTCTCCTCTCTTCATCTCATGTCACTCCGCTTGAACGTCATCGCAGACAACAGTTCACTATTCTGTCATGTCAACGCGACATTCGATATCGACGTTGATGTCACTGTCACTGTGATGTCTCACCATTTAGGCGTGGACATGGCCGTGGCCGTGGCCACGACGGTAGTGGTCACGACGGTGCTTGGTCGAAGGACGAGGACCAGGACGGACATAGGGAGCTGTATCACGTGTGGACTGCTTCGAAGACTTAGACTGGCCGGACTTGCCGGACTTGGACTTGTCTCCGTGACCTTTTCCGTGACCAAGATCAAGATCGACATCAATGTTAATGCCAACATCAATATCCAGCTGACTAGACTCCTGATAGACCTTGAGCGACTTGACACTCCAGTAAGTATCCTCAAAGGCAGAAGGGTTGTTCTGGACGTAAGAGTCGCAAGTATCAGCCTTGCTAGCACAGCTACCCTGGCCCCAAACGGACGAGTCACCAGCCCAGTCACCACAGAACGTGATATCGAAGACGATCTGCAGATCTTTGAAGTGCGAGTTGATGTCACAGCTTCCGGCGAAGCGAGCGGCGGGTGTCCCCCAGTTCGAGGGGACAGGGTTTCCAGAAGAGATATCCGAGGGAACGGAGTAAGAAGGGAAATGCCAGACATTGATAGCAGAGCCAGTCCACTCAGTGGCGTAGACGCCACCGCCAGCATCGTTAAAGCCTGAGCCGAACGACTGCGTGTTACCGTTATCGATGGCGCAGCCAGCGTTAGCGGACTGGCCGGAGGCATCGACGTAGCAGTCGGCTGTTTCGAGGGTGCCTGTGAAGCCCGAATTGGAGATTGAGCAGCCGGAGCTGGTGTGCAGAGTCATCTGGTTGGAGGATTGGCCGTTCACGCCCTCGATGATGTCGATCTCGCCATTATTGGGCCAGTCTGAGCCCAGCATCCAGAAGGCGGGCCAGGTGCCGCAGACGCTACCGGGCATGTGGGCTAGGTCGAGGATGACTAGGCCGTGTGTGTAGGTGGTGGTGCTTTCCAGGCGGACGCTTTGGCGGCCGGGCTTGCTGGCGGTGTTTGAGTGGTCGACGCCGATATAGACGCCGTTGCTGCTGGAGGCGTTGATCAGACCGCCGCTGGATGCAGTGTCACGGTCGACATAGCTCACGTAGCCATTGGTTGGGTCGGAGTCCTGTGGAAATTAGTATATTGTTTATTTGTTGACAACGGGTATTTAGATCGGACATACCGTGAAGAAGTTGAACTTGTCAAAGAACGAATCGGTGGAGCCGTAGTCGTCTTTGAGACTGTACTTGGCAGCGCTCAACTGGGCCAACAAGCCAACAGCGGGCAAGAGAGTAGAAAGAACATGCATTGTCCAGAATGCAGGACGGATTTCGAGATCCGATGTGAGATACGATGTTAAAGCCAGAAAGTGGCAAGTCTGTCAAAGACTTAGGTCGGAGATATATCCAGATATTCCAAAAGAATGCGAGGGCGATGAATGCACCTCAAAGTAAAAAGGAGTGTATAGCAAAAAGAAGAGAGAGTGGACAATGGACAATGCAAGAAAGGAGAGACTAGATGGACATGAATCAATGCTTAAAAGGTGAGAAGCGAGGGGGACTCCATTCTTATACATGAGACTATTGTCTCCACATATCAGAAAAGAGGGAAGGAAAAAAAAAAAGAAAAAAGAAAAAGGGCCAGGTACGGTCCCTGATCCATCCACCGGATCTCCTCCAGTGACAGGGGCCATGTGAGAGATACAAAACGCGGTAAAAGGGGAGAACGGTGGACGTTCACCTGGAGAATGATTTATCCACATGGTTCTCGACCAGGGACTATCGACCAGGGACTGATATCCAAGGGTTGCGCGTCGGAGTTGTGGAACTGAACCAGAGTACTGTGTAAATCATAGTTGATCTTGGCCGATCGAACCGGGCTACACTGTATATGGGGTTATAGCATTGTAGGAGATGATAGTTAACTTAGCATATGGCACAATCGTATAGACCTGCATTGTAATGTCAATGCCAATGTCAACATCAATGCAAATGCAAGTGCCAATGCAACCCATCTATGCCAATATTGAAAAGCGGAAACCTCAAGCGCTGAAATAAACTTTGCCGATGTTTCGGAACCAAAGACGATCACCACGCTGAGGCCGCTCATTCGCTCGGTCAACTTCTTCGCCCTACCCGGACACAATTTAAGGCCCGTCCTGACACTTCACTGGCTGTGGCCATCCGAGCCAAATGCCAATCAGGGCACTTGACGCTATGCCATGAGTGGCAAAGGGGAGATCGACAGGTGATAGGCCGGAGTCCCTGAGAAGACGTGGCTATCAGGCCTTCATTCTTGGTTCTTTGGTTCTTTTTTTTTGAGTCCCTTTTTCCTTGGGGTAAACCTCGGTAAAGAAGCCCGGTCTAGACCTGACAGCTTACAGTAGAATATGAAGTGAAGTCAAAAATTGTCAAAGTGAGGTAGAGTGGCGAGGGGACCGCCAAGAGTACCTAGACCCCAAGTAACGCCACAGCTGATCTACTACGGCAAGTAACTTCAGCCGTTGTCACACTGCAACGACACATGTATAAGACAGGTGCGGAAGACACATACCCTACAGCCAGTTCGAAATCACGAAGAAAGATAGAGTTAGCCAGGTACAGGGCCCAATGTATCAGAAGACGATCCCTCTACATCTGAAACAGTATCAGCCCCCTCTGATATCCTCGTCAGACACGTACAATTACCCCCTTCGGTCAAGCGCCAGTAGATCACTACCTAGCAAGATACGGCAGAAGACCCTCTCAGTCCACCTCGCCCGAAACCAGATATATGCGGTCGCAGGTATATTAAAAAGGGTGTTGTGTGCCATGTGCACCGGTGACCAGCAGAGAATGGGGGCTGAGGCCGAGGCTGGGAATGAGACTGGGGAGGTCGGAGGTACTGGAATGAGTAACTTATCCCTAGTAGGTTATCAGCTGACACCCCAGGATGTTCAGATGTCCGGAGGTCCGGATGTCCAGAGTGTACATGTACATTGCCAAAACAGTTGAAATGTCCATTGCAATGAAGCGAGCTGAGAACCTGGTTACAAAGAACAGTTGAGACATCGCTTTCTGACGTTATGCGACACTACATGTACATGTACAGATACGATCACGGAAGACGGAAGACAGAAGAAAGAACGCTCAAATGCAATTGCAGGGATACATCCCAGCTAGAAACAAAGAAAATAGCAGCGGGCTATACATACAAGATAATTCACCATGGATATCCCCGACAGCTAAAATAATAATCATAATCTCCACTCAGTATAGTTACTGTAAGGAAGTCATGCCAGCGCGGCTGCTATGTACATGCCGGACAGAACATCTCGGGCCCTGACCAGTCGGGCGAATGGTCACGCCGAAAGGTTTCAGTGGAGACGCGGGTGCGGGCGCGGGCGCTGACTGCATCTAGAACACACTGTCTATGGTAGAGGTGTCGACAAGAGAAGACGACGACCGGTGCCAAGGGTGTGTTTCCTCCGACCGACCCATTCGGAGGCCCAGTCCCTGGTTCGGCTGCAGGGTTCGAGTTGGCATGCTCGGCGTCATCATGTCCGTCGCCGCGATGGGCGAGTGCATGCGCTGCTGCCGCGCGATCGAGATGGGACGGATGACCGGTGCCCACGACGGCGGCCTTGCCCTTGCCCCTCTCGTCCGGGTTGTAAGCATCCTCGTGCCGCTTGGCGATGCGGCGCTGGTGAGCTTCGGATTGCTTCACTTGCCACGCGGACCAGTGCGCGTCGCCGACGCTGGGGCCCCAGATGCGTTGGCGGCAGATCTCGCAGACGTGGCCGCGGGGTCGCCAGCCTTGTTGGCGGAGGCGGGTGACTTCATCCACATGGACGAAGAGGTCGCGGTCTAGCATGCCGTTGGCGAGGGTCAGGAGGGATTTCTCGTAGGAATAAGCGGAGAAGATGGAGGCTAGGACGGCGCGGAGTTCGAGGAGAGAGGGGGACCAGGTTGCGGCGCGGGTGAGGAATGCGCGCAGGATGCGGAGGAAGGACATGTCTGTTCGTTCGGAGGTTGAAGAGCCTGCTTTGACGGTGCTGGCTAGAAGGGCTGTAAAGACTTGTTGGACGAGGGATCGGAAGAAGGTCGTTAAACGGCCGCTTTCGCCGCCCAGGGAGGTGGTGGGTTGGGAGGCGACGGTGATTTGAGTGTTGTTTCCCTGCATGAAGGCAAAGACGTTGCTTGCGATGCGGACGACGGCTTCGATGTGGTCGAGCCAGAGGGTTTCATCGAATGCTAGAGGGTGGTCGAGGGCTGCCGCGCCGCGTTTGCCGTTTGTGCTGCCAATTCGTGACTGCTTGGTGGTCTTGCTTTGACCCTGGCAAAGCCAGGTTCCGACGCCTGCATACTTGCTGAGAGACTCAATAAGGTCGTCGATTGCCTCGGCTGTGCTCGCTGAGTCGGGGCTGTCGCGGACGCTCTGGAGGATACCGACCAGGCCGGATTCGAGGATGCTGAGATGTGAAACGAGACGGTCAAGCGCCTCGCGCACTTGGCCTTGTCGAGCGAGTAGAATGACAGCGGCATCAATGGCGCCGCTCTCTTCTATAGCAGGGAGCAGCTCTTCTAGGTGGATGTCGCCAACGCGCAGTCCGTCAACGTAATCCGCGACGTGGGTGGGGTTGTATCTGCACAGGAGCTGCACATAGCGCTCGATCATCCAGTTCTCGACAGATGACGCTGCACGAGTTTCTGTACTCTGAGCGTGCGGCTCAACCAGTACCAGCAAGTAGTGATACTGATTCTGGGGATCGTCTTCTAAAACCCGCAAAAACGTAGAGTGGGTTTCAGGAGCCAGCTCTTGCATTGTTTGGGCAGTGAGCGTCACATCAATTGAAACAATATCTCGAGCGCGCTGTTTCACCACATCCACCACATCTCGTCTCGACTTTGTGCCGAGCCCGGATCCTGAGCGAAGACAGTCATGCAGACAAGTAAAGATGGCCGCACGATCGTTCGGATCCTCGAGGTAGGTCAGGATCAACTGAGAGTATTGTTTCTCGGATCGATATGTCGACTTGAGAATGCGGAAAAAGTGTGCTTCCTTGAAGAGGGGGATCATGCTCTGGATATCGGGTGGGTGGTAGAAGGACAGCAGATACTCTGCACTCAATTCACAGTCGTCCGCCATATCCGGTTCGGGATACTGGCAGACACGCACCAGAACCTGGTGCAGAGTCGTGCCTGAAAGGAGAATATACTGGGGGTATTTGGGAAGATTGCGCGCAACAAACATGTCCAGGTAAATGGTATCAAAAGGAGTGAAGAACTCGGCCGTCATAACTTGGAGCAAAATGCTGATCAGGTACTGTCGATTGATCGACACTCCGGTAGGCGCCTCCTCGTTCTCAGACTCGTTCAGGAAGCTGTCCTCGAAAGCTTCGTTGAGCATGCTCATGAAGCTAGAGGTATCAAACTTGAGCATGGCCCGAAGTTGGGAAAATGAATCTGCGGTATCGCCAGACGTACCAGATCCGTGACCTGAGAAGAGATATTGGTACAATTCGGTTTTGGCACGCGAGGCTTCGGCTTCGTCCATATCATCACCGGTGGGATAGATGCGACCTGTCAAGATGAAAGACAGATAGGGGAACATTTTCATCGCATTGTTTTGCCGTCTCATTTCGATCGCATAGTCCCCGTTGACCAAAGGCTCGATTTGTGTCGGGATTTGACGTAGCAGCTCCTCCAATGGTCCCACGTAATCCATCAAACAGCGATTCCACACATATATAAAGGCATCATACAGATTATGCTGCTTGCACAACGTCGTAACCTGGTCAATGTCCATTGTGGTAGTATCCAGAAGACAGATAATCTCCTCCAGACGACCAGCCGAGTGGGTTCCAATGAAATGGTTGATCAAGGCTTTGACCGCAGTGGGAGGTAGCGATCGCAGCGTTCCATCGACGATACGAGGTTCAAGGGCATCCAGGAAGATTCCCACTGAGTCTTGCTCTTCATACCAGTTAAAGACTTCTTCCCAGAGGAACTCCTCATCCGCCATGTGGATACAAGCCGCAATGGAAACCTCTGCTAGTTCCGCCAGCTCCTGGTTATCCAGTCGAGCACTGTTCGCCTCAGCGTTTCGACCGAAAGCATACTTGAGGGATGCAGAGATCATCTCTAAAAGCTTTTCTTGCACAATAGGCTGTCTCATAGCATCCTCTTCGGGAAGCCCAACCGTCAGCTTCTCCGCATTTCCTGTGTAGTAAGATGTTGCCAAACGAATAGCCCCAATAAAGTCACCCGCCTCCATCAACGCCAGCAGTCGGTCGGCCCAATTGGATAGATTGCCAACCAAGGCTTCGCTGTAACCTAGCAAAAACAAGCGACCTTTATAGGAGCGGAAACTCATATAGAAAGCATCAGCTACAACCCCATGCATGGACTCATCTTCTTCGTCAAGCTGCTCCACTAGCGTATGGAGCTGTGAGGAGAAAAGATCGGCGTGGTAGATGTGTCGATTGGCCAGATCGATGGAATCCGTCACATGCATGGAATAATCCTCAATGATTAGCAGTCGCTGCGTGATCGTGAACACGGCAAGCACCGACCGACTGAGCCACTGGACTGCTACAATGGCTTCGTCTGCCTTCCATCTACTGCGCGCTTGGAAGACAAGGCTAGGACGTCTGTCTCGGTCCACAGGTTCATCTGTCTTCGCTTCCGTGACTTCAAGCACTGTTAACACATTTGACCAGCAGTAGACCAGCTTTGTATTTGAAGTCTGGCTATCTTTGCCCTTCAATCGAATGGCTGGGAACCATGCCAAAGCTCCAGTCATGGCACTGTGTGCCGGTACTTCTTTTGGTCGTGGTGCCTTGTATTGCGTTTGCGCCACTGGTGTAGTGGACACGATGACCAAAAGATAGGGGGTCAGCATAGCAACAAGGCCCAAAGAATCAGTGGGCTGTTCCACATTGCCGAGCGGCAGGGGAGAGAAAGCGAGGACCGAGCTGGGCTTTCGTCGCCGTGTTTCCTCTAACGAAGGTTGAGGGTATCGACCCAGAATTCGGGTCGTTTTTACTGTCCGTCCTACTGCGCCCATTCCTCTTGTTGCCAAGTGCGAAAACGCCATGCCCCGTGTGTCAGCCGACACAAGTGCAGTTCGTCTGGTGCCGAGGAATCCTATGTGGATGACCCCAGAACCCGAAAGATGGCCATCAGATATCCGAGTCTCTACCTGTTTGGCTGGAATTGGCGGGATGTGAATGAATGGCCGCGCTGAGCGGGAGATTTCCCATGTAAAGATGTCGCCCGAGTCATGGCCTCCTGCAACCGTGGTGTGGTCCGCAGAGAGTGCTAGAGAAGTAACAGCTCCGCATTCAACAGCTAAGATTGTCAGCATAATGCGCCATCGGTGTAAATAGCATTTGACAAACCTGGTGTGCCCGTTCCAATGATAGTCTTCAAGCTTTGTTGATAGTCGAACACAAGTATAATGCCCTTGGATGTACCAATGACAATCGACGTAGATACAGCTAGACAAGTCGGCCGTCCGAAGTTGCGCTTCCCAATTTCCGAAAATGCCTGCCCGGTGATCTTCCGCAACTTTGTCCATCGCACGACATCCCAAGGCCCCTGGAGCGGTTCGGTTTCCGTTTCTGGTGTCGGGGAAACCTGGCTGGTGATTGAGGATTGCCGTGAGTGTAGATGCGCTAAAAATGGCGAGCCAGACCTAGACACACTCTGCGGCGAAGATGACAGTCGGGACTGGAAGCGAAGGTCGAACGGACGACGGGCCGGGCTTGGGCTGACTAGCGGAGACCCTCGGAGAGCCAGAGCACTGCTGCTCACGGAAGACGGGACAGAGCCCTATAATTAATCAGCTTGCTATACAAGTTGCGCGCCGACCGTGTCACTGACATGTAAGGATGGGGAATCGTCTGGGGTTGACCCTGTTCCATCCGCGCTCCTTGATCGAGCCCATTCCGCATTTCGGGGTGGAGGAGTTTCTGGAAGATACGGATCTGCTGGTTCCACCGTCTTCTCGACATCCTGGTCCTCCGCATCATCTAACGTATTCAATTCGTCCTCCGCCGGTTCCTGCGGGGAAGGTAAGGCGTAGTCGAGGGCGTCATGGTCGGGTTGTTGGGGATCGTCTTCCTGGCCCAGGTCAAGCTCATCCTCACGCGACCAACCCTCACTGCCCTCAGCCATCGAGCTCATGAGCGAGATCTCCGAATGACCATTGCTCCGTTGTTTAGCTAGGGTGGAGTCGAGGGCGAACCAGCGGTGCGGTGATGCGGCGATGCGGTGATATGCGGGGAGATCAGCAATTAACTGAAGTTGCGAGAGGAAGGTAGGTAGGTATATGAGAGTTCGGAGGATGTGTTGAGCTTGACGTGTCAAGGAACGGTGGAGATGATGTTCCGATGGATCAGGACCGTTTTAGGGGAACTCCAGCCACAGGTGGCTGTCAGGGACATCCGCTCTCCGAGATATTCTACTTGACTTACAACTACCTGTTACTTAGTGGTACTTGATATGTTTTATTCTCCTTTGTTTATTCAATTTGCAGGTCCAGTATACTGTGTCAATCTCCAATGAACATACTCTCTCCGCCCGTGTGGATCGCGATAGAGCTATCAATATCATTCTAACACCTCCACCAGAACAGTATATTGCACAATTTTACATGATACATGTGCTATACTAATGGAAAATCAGTTGTTTAATGAGAAGACGAACGGCTTCCACTGACTATCTTTACAGATCTGACCAGAACATCAAGTACTCATCAGTTTACACAACTGCCCCAAGCTGATATTTTCACACGTTCTTCGTGATCCAGACGAATCTTTATATGACTAGGCAATATATATCTCTACAGCTATCAACACAAACTCTCTCATACCCCTGACTTGAGGTCCTACCACAGGGGCCATTCCTAGCGGGGTCACCAAATGCAACATGGCGGAACTAGCTCGATCACTTGCATGAAGGGAGAACCCCCGAGATTGAATCACAATCAGGCCCGGAGACACCACTAAGCCTTGAGAGACGACTTCGACTCTTTTATTGGTGCGGGGCTGTGGTTACATCGGTCACAAGAGACCGAGATGATATTCATGCCCTATCACCAACCATGAACCTGACATGAGACACGATGGTCAGTCGGGTCTGTTTTTCTGTCGAATTTCTCATTTGGTCAGGGATCGACATGTGGAATGTTGCCAGCATGGACTTATCACCTTCTTCGCGGGGGCAGCGGGCTCTTTGGCGTGACCGATGACTGCTACTTATTGATCACGATGGATGCGATACTGTGACAGGGGTGGCAGTGAATAAAGGCGTCGAGTAGCGCTCTTTTCGCTCTGGCCGCAGGACCAACAGTCAAAACGCGCACCTAGCTACGATGGCTCCGAAACACCAGGGACTGACGCGAGCACTGCTCAGCACGATCCTATTTCTCCAGCCTGTGCTGTCAGTGCCAGGAACAGGAACACTGCTACCACGAGCATCGCCATCCTCGTCGGTATCTAAATCTACGCCGACCCCGTCGGTATCAATGTCAACCCTAGCCACCGCAACAACTTGCAACGGCCACTCAGAGTATTGCACGAGATCCTACTCAAACATCACCTTCGTCGGCTCGCACGACTCACCCTTCGTCGGACCCCTCCCCCAACAAAACCAGAATATCGACGTAACAGCCCAGCTGGACATGGGGATCCGATACCTACAAGCACAAACACACCATTCAGTCTTCGACAAGAAGACCCTCGAGCTTTGCCATACCTCTTGTTTCCTCGAAGATGCAGGAACACTCAAATCATTCCTGGAAACAGTGAAAAAGTGGCTAGACGCAAACCCAAACGAAGTCGTCACGCTCCTCCTAACAAACGGAGACTCAGTAGCGATCAGCGAGTTCGGCGATACATTCTCTAGCAGCGGTATCAACAACTATGCATACACCCCCTCCGCAAACCCGCTCTCGATATCTGACTGGCCAACACTGGGAGAATTGATTTCAAGCGGCAAGAGACTAGTAGTGTTCCTGGGTATGTTACATCTAGTCATACCAACAATTACACTCTCAAACACAACTTCCAGGGCTAAATCATAAGACCATGCTAATCCCTGAATAATAACAGACTACGGCGCCGATACATCCAAGGTAAACTACATCCTCGACGAATTCAGCTACTACTTCGAAACCCCCTACGACGTAACAGACTCGACCTTCTCGAGCTGTAAAATCGACCGACCATCCGGCGCCTCGGCTACAGGCCGCATGTATGTCGTCAACCATTTCCTGGATGTCGATATTCTGGGCGTGTTGATTCCGGACCGTGATAAGGCTGATGCTACCAATGCCGCTACGGGTGAGGGTAGTATTGGTGCGCAGGCGACTTTGTGTGAGGGGTTGTATAATCGTGCGCCGCATGTGCTTTTGGCGGATTTTGTGGATAAGGGGGATGTTATTTTAGCGCAGAATGCTTTGAATGGGTTTTAGGTCGGTTGTGGTTGTGGTGGCTGGTGGGATATATATAGTCGTAACCTGGGTGGGGTGAATACATAGTTCTGGCTTAGTATCAGTATATTTCGAATATCTACACTATTACGAAGCCATGAATTTAAACCGTTACAGCTAGAACGATCTACGTATCAAAGATATGTGTATAGAAGAACAGGGTTGAGACCTCAGTGTCCATAATCGGATGCAATTCACAACCTAAAGTCCAGTCCAAACATATAGGCAAAGTCAATGGTATCCAAATGTCAATGCTATCCATATCGCTCCTAGTATGCAAGGTTCCAAAATCCGAGCAAAAAGCCAACACTCAATCTTCCAATTCGACCTCCGTTTCCCGATCTAGATCGACAACATCAGCACACATCCATATCAACATGCATAACCAAACAAATACTCACCCCAGATCTTATTAGCATGAGAAATAATAGTCTCAGCCTTAACCATCAATTTCGCCGCATAGCGCTCCGATTCAGCAGGCGAGAGCTGATTCTTCTGCGCCTTACGAGGATTAACCTAACCCCGAAACTAAAATCAGCACCAGATCAAATCATCAAAGCCCACTATACCGAACCAAAGCAGTTGAACTTACCATCATAAGAATAGGCACCAAATCCTTAGCCTCAGCCTCAGCCAAAGCCCTCAAATTCCTAAACCCATTCTCCCGAAGCAATCTTGCCGTCCAACTCTTAACAAAAGTCACCTGAGCCATCTCCAGCAGGTCCGCACGCGCACCTGCCTCCAGCCTGTCACGCATATGATCCAGAACGGCCGCCATCATACCCCAATTCATGCGCTGGCAGAATTTGACGATTCCCGCTGCGAAGCCGTGGCATTGTTGGGCGAGGGTTTGGACTGTACCGCGGGTGATTTTGTAGCGTGATGCTATCGTCGAGAGGGGGGTTTCGTTGCTTAGATCGCGGAGTTGGAAGGCTGCGTAGGCGCGGCGGTAGATGTGGGCTGCTTTTATTTGGGTTGGGTTTGTTTCTTTTAGGGAGGCGCCGGATTGGACCCTGGGTTGATGGTTAGTATGGGTTGTATGGGTTTGAGGAGGTACTATAGAGGGAGGGAAGGGATCGGGGGATTGGTACATTGTATTCACGAAGCCGGGTTGAACGCCGACGAATTGTAGGGCTCGGAGACCGCTCTCGTCTAGTCTGTCTAGCTGGTCTCGGAAGATTTGCCAGTCGATTGGTGTGTTCATTGCTGCTTGGAGGGGGGTGAACATGTAGAAGATGTGCATGTCGCCGTCCATGACGAAGGCTTGTAAGGCTCGCTTTAATTCTTCGTGGATGAATAGCCCATCTTCGGGGGAAAAGGCAGAGGCCACGATTGCCTGTCCTAATGGTGTGGATCCGTATGATTCATCTTCTCGGAAGATGATGAGTTCTTCATCAACCAATTCCTGAAGTGCAGATTTCATAATGGCGTATGCAAGTTTTTTGTCCACGGTTCGGCAAAGGAGCGTGCATCGAACGTATTCTTTGATTGCGTCGCAGCCTGATACCAGTCCTGTTGCTATGGCTTCCAACAGGGCCCTTCCAAGATGTGAGTAAAATATCAAAGGCCAAAGAAGCGAGACATACCTCTTTAGACCTCTTTTCTCTGGTGCCAAGCAGCTTTCGATGGCAGGCATGTCAGCATCCAACAGGTCGCATACGGCTTGCATGTCGGCTTTAACGCATATCAAATAGGTCTCGCCGGTTTCGTCCTTGCCTTTGCGTCCCGCACGTCCACACATCTGTCGACTGTTTCTGTCAACTTCCTGTAATTAACTTAAAGGAAAAGGTGGCTCATACAACATTGCCGGGCCTACTAGCTCACGGCCCATTCGTGCCCCGTTGATAATGACTCGTCTTGCGGGAAGATTTACTCCAGCAGCAAGACTACATGTGGCTACGAGGACTCTCAGTACGCCCTGATCATATGCCTGTGCAATAAGTTCACGCTCTTCCGTTGTCATACCGGCATCTAAAGAAAGGTAAGTAAAATTTGCGTTTGATCCTGGATGATGGGATACTCACTGTGAAACCCGGTTCCTCTGGGAATTGTAGTCTCAAGAACTGGATCTAGGCCACATGCAAGGCTCCGCAGCTCAGCAAGAAGATCCAGTCGTTTGTTCATTTCATCTGGTTCTGCTGGCGGCATTGCTTCACCGATGGTAGCAGCTTGGTTTTGGCACGCTTGGCGACTGCCACAAAATACCAATACACCGAAGCCTGCGGCTGCAGTTTCGACTGCCAAAGCTACCATGGCATTCGTAGCTGAGTTACTGAGCTGTCTAAAACTGGAAGGTTCAATGACTCGGTGTGGAGGGATGGTATCAGTCACGGACGCAGCAGCAGTCAGCTTGGATGCTGTTTGGAAAAGCTGTCTTGATGTTGCAGCTGGGTAGATGGCATTCTCGTAGACTAGGTATTCGTCGATGGGAATTGGTCTGTACGTGGAGATGTAGAATTTGGCGTTCATCCACTCCGCCAACATTTCAGTGTTCTATAATCCAGTTAGGAAAGTCATCCCTAATGGGAATATGCACATACAGAGAGTGTGGCACTCATGCCAACTATTTGGATATCCTGCTGGAGCAATAACAGCTTGGTAACCATGAGTTCCAAGAGATATCCTCGATGCTCATCATCGAGCATATGTAACTCGTCAAGAACCACGACTCCCAGATCACCAATGCTACACTCCTCGATTGCAGTGTTTATCAACGAGTTAGCCTAGGTAGAAAAGATCATCAGAATTCCGCAGCAACACCTGTCACAAAGCATACACACCTTTTCTATCGTACAAACAGCAATATCAGTATCAGCCCAAGTAGCCGTCGTCCGGCTTCCACCAAAGAATCCGGTAACGCGGATATTTTTCTGAGCACGCTTCCATCGCCTGCGAGGAAACGAAGAGTCGTCATCTTCTTCTTCTGGAATGTTTTTCTCCACATCTTGCACAATTCGCCTCATCCACTTCAGCTTCTCTTGAACCAAAGCGACGTAAGGCAAAACGAGGAGTGCTTTGCGCGTTGGATTCTCAATGATCCGCTTCAAGAGCAACACATCCGCAACGAGCGACTTGCCTCCACCCGTCGGAGCAGTGTAAACCAAGTGTCGTTCACCACAGAGCAGACCTTTCGCCAGTAAACATGATGCCTGCCACGGGTAGATACTGGAGACGCCCAATGCGGCAAAATTGGCAGTAAGGGATTGCGGCAGACCATACTTCGGATTCGAGAGTGATAGCAGGGGGTTTTGACTAGATCCCGGGGCAGAAGTACTCGCACCCCTCTTTTTCTCTTCATCTGGTGATGTCTCACCCGCGCCTGCGCCGAGATGGATCTTGCTGGCGGTAAAGCGATTCGCGGGGGCGGTTAGTAAAGCCCGCGCTGATTCCCACGGGGAATCCACCAAGATGTCAGCATTGGCATTTTGGCCGTGCCCAAAACCGGTCGCTTGCTTGACGACTGGACCTGGATTGAGGTCGGGAGTCTGCTCGATTTCTGGTGGTCGCTTATGGCCTGCCACAGGCGCTAACTGATATCCTCGGGCGATATCAATCGTGGTCTGGAATCCGCGCGACTGGATGGCCGATGTTGACATGCCTGAAACATCGGTCCATAAGAGAGATGTATTTCACTCTTTTGTTGGTTATTTGTTATTGTCGTCACGGGTGTTGAATCCGGCCTGAGGCAGGAGAGTTAGTCAGCCGAGCTAATCCGGACATCGGCAGTGTTCCTGTTCCTGGATCGGAGATGTGATTCTTTCTATGTTCAACCCCTTGCACGAGATTTCCCCGTAGCAATAATCGCACCAAGACACCCCTACGGCTATTAGCTCTTAAAGCTAGGCTACAAATTTGAGACTCATTGTAGCCTGAAACGAGTGCACGTCTACATATCTATTCGGGACAACAAATGCCTAAGTGGGATCTGAACAATCTGCGCAACGTTGTGTTCTACCTAGTCTAGACATCTCGAACAGGCAGCAGTACTCCGTTGTACTGTAATCCGGAACACATGTTCTAAAAAATGGATCCAAAAATGGACAAATTCTGAGACCCGGTGGAGGGCGTCATAACGACTGTATCATGAGTCGCGTACCACCTATTTCATGCACGGTGTGGAATGTGATATGCCCTATGCCGAAGGAATTAATGGACTTATCTGAATAGCGAGTATACTCCATTGTCTATACAGTCAATATAATCGGCCTCAATCCACCACAATCGGACCGTGGACGGAGCATGCCGGCATAGGTGGCAACGGAAGTAAATCGGCGTCATTGGATGTTCAATTACCGGTATTGTCTCGGTATTGATCGACGTGAAATTATATCTGCACTTCGACTCTACGCTTGCTCTCGGAGTGTTCTGTTCTAGGTCGCATGGAACTTTTTACATTCCTGGATCTCTACTCTGTAGTTTTATAACTCATGTCCTTGGGCAACTGATGGGCAACTTATACTTGATGGTTCCTGGTGTTTCGGATAATGTTGTAGGGGTTTGATACTTTGCCAACGCATATGTTCTGATTCGTCCCTACAATATTCACTTTGCCAACCGAGCTTCGACCGAGCTCTAGCCCACAAAAAGTATGCCCATTGACTTGTATCTGACCCGTTGGCTTGGATCTGACTCGACCTTTCTCCCTGATCATCCTAATCCCTCGATCCCCCCATGTTGGCTCTTTGATTCCTGTTTGAATGTTGACTAGCCACACGTTCCCTTGCTTCTGTGTAATAATGCCGGACTATACCGGTGAATGAGGCAATATAAGTCTTCGTAGACTAGGATCCACTATGCGCAAAGGACTGGGATTAGACACAAGGGGCCAGAGTATCAAAATCAAAATCCCGGGCAGACGTGTTTGGTCGTACAGGATCAAGCTGTAATTTTCATACCAATATCGAAGTCGGGGAATGCTCTCTTCTCTTTCTATGCGCATACGTGACAACATTCCCAGGTCACGAGTTAGAGACCGTTAGACGTTGGAAGCAAGTTGAGGATCCGTCATATTAACATATCGGGACTAGGGGCCATCCTTGACTTTCCCACAGTTCTTCTCTTCTTTTCCCCCTTCCCCCCCGTATATCCATCTCCACTCCCGACCCATCTTCCCTTCTACATACTCTTCCCTACGTTCTTCTCTCTACACTCTACTCGCACTTTCACACTCCCACTACCCCTTCCACTCCACTCTCCTACTTTACTCTAATTTTCCATCCCCCTTGATATTGTATACTATTCTTCGCGTGCAGATCTTCAGATCTTCCATCTTCTCGTAAGTTTCTCTTTTTCCCAATGGCCCCTATCAACTTGATATCTGTGCTACGCCCTTCACCCCTGCAGAGAGGATAAGATCTGACACGGTCCACTCTTTGTTCCCACTTTCCCTAATTTTTCCTTCTTCCCAACTTCTTCCCTCATTTGATGTTCGCGACACCCGCGCACATTGGATGATCTCCCATATCTGCCCACCCGTATTTCGAGATTTTCGCCCCCCTCGTGTATCTTCTCCTACATACCACCCATTGAACGTATTTGTTCAAGGGATCCTTGAACTAACCCGCCACAGCTCATATATCCCCTTCACGCGTTCAATCCGTGGATGACTAAAGGTCACACTCGATGACCACCCCCAACTCTCCGGAGGCTGTGGCCGATTCGGCCAACGGCTCCGCCACCGCGTATGGCACGCGATCGAGAGGTCGCAATGCGCCGCGGCCCAACTATGCCGAGGATCGTGACCTAGATGCGGACATGGATGCCTCCGCGCCAAAGGCCAAGCGCAACAGCCTGGCACTCACCAATATTGTCAACGGCTCTAATCCCGATGAGAAGACCTCGCTGGCGCAACCACGCAAGAGTCTGACCAATGGCAACGGCGCAAATGGATCGGTAAAAGATGCCATTCCCGGCACTTCATCATTCTCCGCCAGGCCCGATGATGCGAATGGTTCTAATCTGAGAAAACGCAAACAACCCGCCAGCACCCCAAATTCCAGCTCGGCTGCCAAGAAGATTTTCACTGAGCCCCCTGGTGATTCTGATGGGGACTACTTCACCAATATGATGAGCTTCGAAAACTCTGGACCCTATCTCAAGGATGGTCAATTAATAGCTGATGATGGCACCACTCTCGGTCTTAATGGTTTGTTTTCATCTCACTCCTACGGCTTCGCAAAATTAACCATCGCTAGACCATGTTTATTTAATTTGTGAACCGCCAGGTGAACCGTATTATTTGGCTCGAATTATGGAGTTCCTTCCATCCAAAACTAAGCCAAACGGTTTCATTGAGGCATTGAGAGTCAACTGGTACTATCGCCCACGGGACATCCAGCGCCATTCTCCTGACACTCGCTTTGTTTTTGCGTCAATGCACTCTGACACATGTCCTCTATCCTCGTTGCGAGGAAAGTGTGAGATTCGCCATGTGTCAGAAATCGATGACATCAGTTCTTATAAGAAGGCACGCAACAGCTTTTGGTACGACAAGATGTTTGACCGATATATCCATCGAATGTATGATGTTATTCCGACAAAAGATATTATTAATGTTCCCGGCAATGTCAAGAAGGTCCTGGATGAGCGGTGGAAATTCATTCTCGTTGAGATCGGCAAAGGGAAGGAATTGACAGGCGCCGTCAAGACGTGCAAGCGATGTCGTTTATATGCTGCAAATTCGGAATCCGTCGACTGTGCAGTCTGCCACTCAACATATCACATGTATTGCGTACGGCCCGCATTGACCAAGAAACCCGCTCGAGGCTTTGCGTGGGCTTGTGCCGCCTGCAGCCGCGCTCAGGAACGCAAGCTCGAGGCACGCAATACACCTTTGATTAGTGGGGCTCGACCAGACGGCGAGGATGTGGTCATGGAGGAAGAAGAGGAGGAGGACCACCATCATACGAACGGCACTGCGAATGGCAATTCTGACGGCTCTCCCACAGCCGGGGAAGACCCTATGCCCCAGCCTGCGACAGTGGAGCAGATTGCACAGGCGAAAATGTGGCCTTACCGCTACCTGGGTATTCACTGCCGCGTCGAAGATGCCCTTGATTACGACGATCGGATCTACCCCCGTGCAAGCTCACGTTTAGGAACACGACACCAGGCCATGGTCGCAGCTTGGCCAGGGCGTGCAATTGAATACGTGAAGCCTCTGGACTTGAAAAAGAAAGCAAAGGCTGCTGGTGCGAAAAAAGATGGGAAATCCGCTACCCAAGCTGCGCTGGAAGCCGCCAAGCATGAGAGAGCCAACCGACCGAAATGGATTCAAGACGAACCGACAGGCTATATCCACCGTGGAATGGATGAACCAGTTACGATTAACGAAAAGACTGGAAAGCAAGCGCGTACAGCCGAGCCTCTGTTCAAGATGCCGACTTCCGAGCAGATCCCCGCCCGAGGTGAAGACGATGCCCCAGGATCTCATTTGAGCCAGGAGGAACGCGAGAAATTCATCGACGACTACATGCGCCAAGCCAAGGAACTGGCTCCTGGTATTGGTGTCGAGAAGCACAACACCAACTTCCTAGACAAGGCGCTTTCAATTCTCTACGCCGAGAGTTTCAATGTGCAGGCCGCTCTTGCCAAGCTGAAGAAGGTCAACAAGTACAAAGATCTCAAAGAGCCTCATATTCGACCGGATGAACTTAAGCTATTCGAACAGGGTGTCGCCAAGTATGGATCGGAATGGCGCAACATCATGAAGCACGTCAAGACAGTTCCCATTTACCAGATTGTTCGGTTCTATTACATGTGGAAGAAGACCCCCCGCGGTCGGCAGATCTGGGGTAGTTATGAGGGGAGACGCGGCAAGAAGGAGGTCCGACGCCACAGTGTCACCTCATCCAAGCTGGTCGACGACGTGGCTGATGATCATGACGATTCTGCCTTCGACTCGGAGAAAGCGGTTGTTCAGAAGCGTGGATTCCACTGCAAGTTCTGCTCTACTCGCAGCTCGCGACAATGGCGTCGTGCGCCCTTGGTTCCCCCGGGTACCACCATTCCCGCCGAGCCTTCAAACAAGAAGGACAAGGGCCCCCTACTTACTGTGTCACTCTGTCTCCGCTGCGCTTTGCTGTGGCGGAAGTACGGTATCCAATATGAGGACGTTGACGAGGTCGCAAAGAGAATTGCAAACAGCGGCAACAAGTCCTGGCGACGCCGTATCGACGAGGAACTGCTGGCTCAGTTGATTGTCGCCACCGAAACTCCGTTCACTATCAACAGTATCACGGCAACTACCGCGAATCAAATGGGCATCCCGCTCGACTCGAACCCTCGACTGCTGCAGGAGGGCAAGCTCGATCTGACAAAGAAGAAGGCTCGCCCTGAGAAGGACAGCACCGCAACTTCAACTAGGACGTCAGTTGAGCCTATGCCGAAGAAGAAGATGGTCCCCGAAAAGCCGGTGGAAGCTCCACCAATTGTCCCCGATCCACCGAAGGCCAAGACGCTACCATGTGCCATCTGCAACCAAGTTGAACCATCCGGCGAGCAACATCTTTCATGTCGCGATTGTCGTCTAACAGTTCATCGCAATTGCTACGGCGTGCGAGACTCGCGCGCTAGCAACAAATGGCTGTGTGACATGTGTTCTAACGACCGCAGCCCCTCGATCTCTACCAACTATGAGTGTGTTCTATGTCCAGTATCTTGGACTGAGCACGACCTTATGGAGACGCCCAAGAACAACGCCCGGAAGAAGACCGAACGCGACAAGGAGAAGGAGCGCATGGAGAAAGAGATGGTCAACGAGGCTATCAAGCTCTACCGTCAGCGGCAGGAGGCCGTTGGCAAACCCGTTGGCCCACGGGAACCTCTAAAGCGCACTGCAGGAAATAACTGGGCCCACGTGCTTTGCACTCTGTGGACCCCGGAGTTGAAGTATGGTGATGCAGAGGAGCTCGAGCCAGCCGAAGGATTCGGATCTATCCCCAAAGACCGTTGGCGCGAGACATGCAAAATATGCAAGTCCAGCAAGGGCGCTTGTGTCTCCTGTAGCTTTACCGGCTGCAATGGTCACTTCCATGTTGGCTGTGCTTTCCAGGCAAATTACCGGTTCGGCTTTGATGTCACTCCTGTCAAGAGTTCTCGTCGCGACAGCTTGCGAGCTATCCGCCTAGGCGATGAAGTTGGCTCAGCAACACCTGTTGTTTATTGCCCGAACCACAGCGTGTCAGGCACTCTGCATGAAATCGGCGAGCAGACTAGCACTGACCAGCTCAATGCGCTCCAGCTGTTCGCTCAGACATACAAGCAGGCCGATCTTACTCTCACTGGCACCATTCGCAAAGCGGATTACATGCAGCAGTCTGTTCCAGCACCGCAACACCATGGTCACGCTCATGCTGCAAACCGACGAGCCTCGACAAGCATCGTACCCGTCCCCAAGGATACACCCAAGGCCCAACCGGCTCCGAGCGAGGATGCGCCCGAGGATCCAATGGAAATCGACACAGATAACCACGTTGTCCCGCGACGATCTACTGAGGTTGAGACCAACCGAAAGTGTTTCCGCTGTTCAACCGGTTTTAGCCCCAAGTGGTGGACTATTCCAAGACGCCCTGATTACAGACCGCCTATGTCCAACGGAACAGGACATCATCATCCGCACCCGGCCTTTGCTGCCAACGGAGACCATAGCGAACCGACCTACGAATGCCACAAGTGCCATCTGAAGAACCCGGCACCGCCCCCTCCGCCTGCACCTGAACCTTCGCCTGTTCCTCGCCCCTCGCCTTACTCTGAGCAACGTCAACCAATGCCATCCCTTCCCCGTATGTCTGGCCATGCATTTGTGCCGCACCCACACCCACACCCACACCCGCACCCTGCTCCCCCGAGTGGTGTGATTGGGCGACCAATGCCTCCAGCTCACCCGCACAATGGAATTCCTGTATCAGGCTACACCGGGCCATACGAGCGACCCCCGCCTGACAATGGCCTTCGTAACGGCATGTCGTCTCCTTATCCTGTGGCACCTCCACCTCCTCATCACATGAACAACTATCCCCCGCCACCTCATGCCGCAGGACCTCCACCACCACACTATACCAGCGCTGGACCGGGTCCCCCACCGCCTCCTTACTCGGCACACCAGAGCCCATATGGACCCGTACCAGCACGCTCGCCGCATCTCTCACAGCCACCGCCTCGTTCGTACGCGGCCTCCGCGTCTCCTCCGATCGTGCAAGCAACAACGGTTAACCGCTCGCCACAAACCTCACTCAGCGCGCTGAACGGTGGACCGCCACCTCGCATGTACTCTGTCGACCGCGGTCTAGGAGCCCCGTCCCACTCACCGCCGGTGACTCAAGCCCGTCTTGATCCTCGTGGTCCTACCTCTACCCCTCCCACTCGTCCCGAGGATACACCACCCTCTCTTATGGCGGGACCACCCAGCGCCAGCAGACATGCAGGTGTGAATGGCACAAGCGCAGGAACAGGAGCCAGCGCCAGCCCCTCGCTGAAGAACCTCCTCTCATAATGACCCCCCAACGCATGAAGACCTCGGATTCCCTTTCCAGAGCTCTTTATCAACCTGTATGATAGTACCCTATAACTTTCTCTTTCGCTTCTACTGCATCTGCGTGGCACTTTCAGAAAAAAGTCTACACGGGTTTTGCTTTCTTCTTTCCACAAGCTATGTCTTTTTTTTTGTTTTTCATTTACTGATTCCCTCCAGCCCAAAACACCCACGGGTATCCCTCAGCGGGAAATCATCTATTCTCATATCCTGTTTGCTTGTTGTCATGTTTCCGTTCTATTCCATTCTGTCCATTTATTAGTCCCCCTTCCCTTTGTCTTTGTTTCGCTTTCCGTCTTTGTCACTGTTATTCCCCGGCGTCTCTCTGATCTTTGATTTATGGCACTTGGGAAAAGTCCGTGGAGTCTATGCTATAGGTGTGGGATAGGAAAGGAGGCTGATTGATATGATGGAAATGCACGGCTTTTATTTTTATTCTTAAATGCATGGAGTACATTGGATCTGGCCACTTATGATTACCATTTTTTGTTCTTTGTTTATGGCTAGAGAAATTGATTTGCATCGCTATTGATACTCAGATTTAAGTGAGAGGTGTAGACTGTACATGTAGATTGGGTAGCTGTCTGGTGATGTAGTGTATCTACGGCATGCAGAGCCAGTGCCTACATGTACATTCGCTTTCTTCTACATGCAAAAAGATACATATTTATATCCTTCCTCCTCCCCCGTCTCTTATACCTCTTCTTTCCTTCTTCGCAACTTTTTCATTTTTTTCATTTCTCTCCCTCTCTTTTAGTTTCTTCCTCGGGTCTTCCTTCATCAAGGATCTAATATACCATCCTCTGAGCCTTGGACATATCTGTGCTACTATTGGGTGTTCCTAAGATGTTTTACACTGGTGTTCTTTCTGAAAATACACATTGATAAGTGGCAGAAGTCTAAAGAAAAGGACCAAGAGCAATGACTTTCGCTGAACGAGCAAAGCTATTATCAGTTGACTCACTTTCAGCCAGCGAAAAAGTTGTTTTTCACTAATGAACAACTGCTGACAATCAAGGATCGTTTGCCAGCGGGATACAACGGGATCAATATCTTTCCTTCACAGTTACGTCTGCATGAGGCAATGTTTTCTGCATAAGAGACTGAGGACTGTTTTCACACATATCGAAGTCTTCAAAATGGACATATGAGGAGATCTCAGAACAACTAATGGTTGAATCCAAGTCCCGAAAGTGTATGTCATTCACTAGTCTCACCTTCTCTCTTACTGACTTACACTACGTAGGCCTAGCATTTATGGGGCTGCTGACTATGCAGAATTTCCAACGAGACGCCTTATTCATGGAGTCACTTACCTCTATAGATGAACCTTGAACATGTTGGACATTCCCTTCAACTTGCAATCCATATCGATATTTGCTGCAAGGCGCGATTTCAGTTCCAGTGGTGTAGATCTTCAAGGCAGCGTGCCTAAGGGGCCACTGACTCAATTAAAAGCGAAAGTGTTGCCTTGCAGCCGAATGTGCATTCAGAATTACAAATTGCAAATTGCAAAATGCAACAAGAAGGAAAGAAAACCCCGGGTTTCCTGTGCCGATTAACCGCAACGATAGACCTCGGAAGCTGCTGATGACAAATGCCGATTTACAATCGATGAGGTCAGCTCATTGAAGGTCTCCACCAGATTCAAAAAAGTTATAACCTGCAAATCCTGAAGAAAGCTATCTGACATTATCCATTCCACTGAAAATGAGCGAGACCATGCGAGCTATTGGTAAGTGGAAGCGGATGAAGACCTTGGAGCTCTGAAGAAGCTCCCCCACCTGATTTCATCATCGCCGAGCATACAACAACATTGAGCCTACATGCCTCCCACACGATCCTTACACAATCTCTCAGTTTAAAACTCCCTTCTCTTCTTTTGATTTGCCTTTTTGCATTTCACACAGCCATGTCTCACATCCAAGCTAACCACCCCAGGCATCAAGGGCGGCAAAGGCCCCGCAACATCCCTCTTTGTCGACCAGATCGCCAAGCCCACACCAGCAGCCGGCCAAGCCATCGTCAAGATCCATGCATTCGGTTTGAACCGCATGGACCTTCTGCAGCGGGAGGGTCTGTATCCGCTTCCGCCGCAGGCTCCTGAGACCATGGGTGTGGAGTTCTCCGGAGTGATTGAGAGCTTTGGCCCGGACGGGCATGAGGATTTCAAGGTTGGGGATGCAGTGCTCGGCCTTGCATATGGAGGTATGTTTCAATTACCACCCGGGACCAGTGTCTCGGATAGAGGGAAGGGAAGCTCTGATATAGCGATCTGTAATTGACAAATTGATAGGTGCGTACGCAGAGTACATTGCTGTCTCGACCAAGATGCTGGTGCACAAGCCGTCGGAGTTGTCATGGGAGCAAGCAGCCGGTGTTCCAGAAGTAAGCACCGAACAAAGGAAGAGAAGAAGCAATCCTCCACCATCCATGCTAACCAACCCCCCAAGACCTGGATCACAGCCTCGCAAGCCCTCTTCCTAATCGGCGAATTCCAATCCGGCAAAACCGTCCTGTGGCATGCAGGCGCCTCGTCAGTCTCCATCTCAGGCATCCAGCTCGCCAAAGCAGAAGGCGCCAAAGCCATCTACGCAACAGCAGGCTCGCAGGAAAAAATCGACTTCCTTGAAAAAGAACTCGGCGTCACAAAAGCCTTTAACTACAAGACCCAAGACTGGGCCGCCGAGATCCAAAAAGAGACCGGTGGCGCGGGCGTTGACTTAACCGTCGACTTCATCGGCGCGACCTATTTCCAGGGAAATCTGGATGTGGCCGCGCGCGATAGTCGCATAGTGTTATTGGGCTTGATGGGTGGTGGCAAGTTGCCTGATGGGGTTAATATTGCGCCGTTGCTGTATAAGCGGGTGCGTATTGAGGGAAGTACCCTGCGCAGTCGGGATGAGGAGTATCAGCGGAAACTGCGGGATACCCTTGTCGAGCATGCGCTGCCTAAGTTCCGTGATGGGACTTTCAAGGTTTTTGTCGAGAAGGTCTTTCCCTTTGAGAAGATTGAGGAGGCGCATAAATTGCTGGAGAGCAACACTACTAAGGGGAAGATTATTTGTCGGTTTGAGTAGATTTCTATATCATGGATCTACCTAGGTAGTTACTATCTACAGTATCTACAGTTATCTGCAGCCAAGTGCAGCCAAGTGCAGTAAAGCGCAGCAAATGTGGGTCCAGTACTCCGGATATCCACTAATAATCCCTTGTGATGCGTAGGTTTTCCGTCCCACTTAGTCTGCTGAGAGCATTCTGTATATAACGCGTCATATTTGGAGAGTGCCCTCAATAAACTGAGGGTGTTTCAAGTGTCTGAGACGCGACTGTGCCTCTTTTATAGTATACAATATGTAAGGGGATCAACTAGGAAATCTGATCGGCCATTTACATCAGGGGCAAAACGGAGTATTCAGCCGTATACTACCCTATACCTGCAGTAAAGTGTCAAAGTCAAAAGTTGCATATGGCAATCCCTGTATCATCGACATGATTGGAGGGGCTGGCACCCAATCAGAGAGACGTGATCAGCAATTGAACCATGGACTGCAGATGCACCTGGCAAGGATGTAATTGCACAGTACTAGGAATAGGTAGGTATGGTAATTAGAGACAAATTTTATAAGTAACTATAAGTAACTATAAATGACTAAAACCTTAGAAGTGATCAAATATATAAGACTGTAGATATGGCTTGACCATTAGGGCCAACTCGGTTAGAAGTCGATGAGGTCATCCGGATTATCATTGTTCCGCTTTGGCCCCAAATCTTGCCTACATTTGTCGTCTTTGATATTTTATTCTCTCTCTGTATAAAAATGATCTCTAGGTGTACCTAGGTAGTTAAAGTGATATTACTGAGTAAATATCAAGATACTCACTTGGGCATTTCCATATGGGCTGTATCTGCAGGCTCATACTTCCGGTTACAGAATCTGCGCTTACCTAACCCGTGGACCTTCTAGAAAGAAAAAAAGAATGAGAGGCGTCATTTTGGGCCCACTGACTGCGATCGGAGGCTCTGCTGAAGAATGAGATGGGAGAAAATGGATGAAAGGGAAGAATAGATGAAAAGGAAATTATATTGCGTATCTATGTTCCAACTGTACTTCCATTATCGTAGCAATAGGTGGAAATGAAAGTACTTTGTGAACTAGGCTTAGTACTAAGATTACTTGAGGATCATCCCGTCCCGCCCCAAGGCCTTCTGGAAGGAGGAAAGAAGCCCCTTCCCCGTGTTCGCCCCCCTCCACTCTGTTTTGCCATTTCAACCTCTCCTCCCTCCAGCACATCGCTATTCTCTTTGTTGCTTCTCTTTCATATCTCACCGCTCTAACGGCCATGTCGGACTGACGTCCTGCCGTTGCCGCTGCCTCCCGTCTGCATTTCTTTCAACCTCGGCGCTTCAATTGACCCGGTCCCCTCCATATCCCTTCAGTGCCTCGACATTCCTCACGTGTCGCTTTCTCTTTCCTCTTCATCCCGGAAAAAGTGGTTGGGTTGCGCGCTCCCTCGACTTGACCGCCTAGTGCGATACAGTCTAGGCTCTGGGGGTGTCTCGGATCCTCCAGTCCACAGCGCGACTCGGACTGCTTCGCTGCAGGAAACAACTCCATTGTTCGAGCGCACTGCGAACTTGGTCGACGTTTTGTCATTCCTTCTCCTCCGATCATCCTGGTGGTCGTTACCTTTGCTCCGGACCTCCGTACCAGCTCGCCGCTCGTTTTTTCACCCTGGCCGCTTTTGTCAAACGACCTCGTCTCTCCTATATTCCCCCCTCGACACCCTCTCGATCTCGGTCATCTGAGCCTTATGCGAACTAGGATAGGTCCGATCGGCTCGTTTCCTTCCTTTACTCTGATTGACGTCTTATCTGCGGTCTTGTGATTCCGGCGGCACTGCCTGATCGGGATTTCGCTTCCCTTTCGATACCATGGTGGATCGCATGGATTGTTCGGGCGTCTATATCGACGACCGAGTGCGGTCGGAGAGATGGGTGCGCAGAAATTCTATCGACACGTCAACTATATCGTCAGCAGGTTCCTTTGTGACTCCAGATGAGCCAGAGGCCCTGCAGACCGACGTGGAGCTGCTGCTGGAAATTTGCAAACAAGGTACGTCCCGCTGTTGTCTTGCGCTTGAACACCCCTGATTGCTTCTTAGTCTACCTCTGCCAGAACGGAACCACTTTTGCCAACACGTTGGCCGAGCTCACCGACCGTGTGGGCAACGAGTGTAACCCGATTTTCGCCTTTTTCGATGTAGACTTTAGCGGCGAAGAATCAAATTTGGCTCGCCGAAAAGCCAGCCGGGCTTCGTGGATGGACAATGGGCCTCCATCACCCGGTTCCATTCATCGCACATTCACCTTTTCAACCCAATCTGACGAAGCACGTGGACTGTCACTTCTATCGGGAATTTCGAACGACATTCAAGTTCAAGAAGGGCCGAAATTGATCATTCCCATTGCTGTGTTGCGACTGCCCAGCGCCGATACGCCTGCCGAAAATGTCGGTCCAACCAGTGACCCGCTATCGCGTGTGCCTCTCACACTGGAGCATAAACAGATCGCCCGTTGCCTTGATGCTGGTGCAGTAGACGTTTTGACCACCCCGCTTGATCGGGCACGAATCCGAGGACTTGTGGTTCATGCCTATCGCACACGCAAAACGGCACAGCGAGAGATGTCTGGTTTCCTTGCCCGAAGAAAGCTACGAAAGCTTTCATGGGTTGGTGTTAACAATAATGAGCAGCCGTACTCTTACTTGAGAGAGGCTATGGTTTCCAAGCTCATGAAAGGAATTTGCAATCCGGAAGAGGTCATTTCTGAGTTCCAAGAAGGGGAGCTCGACATTAAACTTGACCGTGTGCCTTTTATCAAAGAGCAGCTAGGTAGCTGGAAGTTCTCAGCCCATGAATTTACCGAAGATGAGCTGGTGTTTGGTGCTTGTGAAATCCTACAGCATGCGCTCACGATGCCAGGTCTAGATCATTGGAGGCTAACCCCTGACGAACTGCAAAATTTCCTGCTTGCCTGTCGTGCTGCATACAACTCGTTTGTGCTTTACCACAATTTCCGTCACGCGATTGACGTGCTACAATCCGTCTTTTGCTTCTTATTGCACATCGGTGCCTTGCCGCCATACCGACCGGCTGGCCAATCCCGCGTTCCCGAATCTCCCATCGCCTCCATTCTAGCGCCATTCGATGCTCTCACTCTCTTGATCTCGGCTATTGGCCATGACGTTGGTCACCCGGGTGTCAACAACTTCTTCCTGGTTAAGCTTAACGCCCCTCTCGCACAACTTTACAACGACAACTCTGTTCTCGAAGCATTCCACTGCGCCGCTTTCTCTCAGATCCTCCGCCGACACTGGCCAGCAGCCTTCAAGGATAAATCCTTGCGAAAGCTTCTCATCAGCTCAATTCTGGCGACCGATATGGGTGTCCACCAGAAGTTCATGCAACGGATGGGTTCATTGCAAGAGCGATTTTACGAGAATGATAAAAGTGTTGATGGCTGGAAACCACAGGATGTCGACATGTTCAAAACACTTGTTTGTGGATTGTTGATTAAATGTGCCGATATCAGCAATGTCGCTCGGCCGTGGAAGATCGCAGAGAAGTGGACCCAAATCTTGCAGGAAGAATTTGCCAATCAGGGTGATATGGAGAGGGAAGTTGGTATGGAAACTGCCCTCTTCGGTGGACCGCCAGAGTTGGGCAATGTCTACAAGCTGGCCACTGGCCAAATTGGATTCATGTCAATCTTCGCTCTCCCACTCTTCGAGGGCATATCCGACCTTCTGCCTCAATTGGAGTTCACCGCAGAGCATATTCGTCGCAACCAGGCACAGTGGCAGAAACTTTCCAACGATGAACTGAAGAAACAGGGGTTGCCGATTGAGAACCGGGCTGAGATCACTGTTTCGCCTCGCTCCCATAGCCCTGCCGCCGAATCAACCGGTACCGAAAAGCCACGTGCCAATTCAGACGTCAAATCACCTGCGTCGTCGACAGATACGGCTTCGGCTTCATTAAACGAAAACACTATTGAACCGGTAGTTTCGCCAGATACCGCAGGTCCTCAAATTGAGATCACAGGAACACCCCTCGCGCCGTCTGAATTTCCCTCTCGCAAGTCATCAAGTGCCGTGCCGGACACGTCTTATTTCTCTATTCCAGGTGTTCCAGAGTCGGCTCGAGGATCTGTTGGGACGCAATACTTCAGCCCCCTCCCAGAGTCTAATCCTTCTACAGACGATCCAGCTGTGCTCGCAGCCGTTCTATATGCGAACTCTGCGAATCCCAACATCCCGGCAGGGACAACAGAACGTGATCATGCGTCCGAATCTGCCGATAGACCGAGCAGCTCTCGCCAAGGCATCATGCACGGCTCTCAGCGTCACCACGCGCACCACAGCTCATCTGCTCGCACAGGCTCCAACCGTAATAGCTGCACCCGGACACAAAGTACCTACAGCAACACAATGACACCGATCTCTCCCGCAACCAACGCCACAAGCTTTTTGGCCGTTGATAGTGGAGATGAAAAGCGGGTTTCCGGGGAAAGTGCGCCACAGAGTGATATTGGAGGACCGGATGATAGTAGTACCCGCCCCAGCACAGCAGACGCCTATCCCGCAAGCATTCCAGAGCATTCAAGTGGCTACTGCCCTGGGCGTAGCTCCGGACTCGGCGCTGGATACTCTCAATCCGAAGATGGCGCCACCAAAGACTTTGCCAGGACTGCAAATGGGCGTAGCCCTGCTCAGTCAACCACTACGGGCGAGAGCATCAAAAATGAAAGTCCGCAAGAAGATCCTCACGGACACCGCAAGCTCCCTAAACGGCGGAGCAGACTACGCCTTGCTTTCTGGAAACGCCGCAACCATACATCTGAGGTTCGCGGCGAGACGTGATTCTCTATTTTTGTTGCGGTTGGTTGGTGTTTACCTATCACCGACTGAGCATAACGCTGCCATGGTCTTATGAACATTTCATTCTTGTGATGAGCCATGAGACCTCAATGGTTGTTACATGAATTTCACGACTCGACAACGGAGAAGCTACTCGGGCCTTTCATCCCATGCATCAGCTCTGATATTTGACCTTTCATCTGATAGTTTGGCTCTCCCAGTCACGAACACCTACGAAGTCGATGATATTACTGAACACTTGGGCTTCTCGGGCACGAAAAGCAAACGCAAAAGCTTACTGAACCATTTATGACAACAGACAAGCTCCGCTGTATGTCCATCACACTTCCTCTCCTCTCACTTCCAAGTCGAGAGTCACGCTTCACTGTGGATTCCACTTGCAAAAACGAAGAAAAAAGGGAAAAAAAAAGGAATACTGGCGGATGTACGAATGGATGTGTTAAGCAACCTTTGTTACTCGGTCTGATATTTGCATCGGATGTGCCCTGTTGTCTTTCTACCATGAACGTTTGTACCTTTTCTTCACCCTTTCCCTCATCTCTTTCTTCTTATTCTTCTCCTTTTCCGTCATCTCTCATTTCTCTATGTCCCTTATGTCATGCCTGGGGCGGCTCTTTTCACGCCATATCTCAGAGTTGGCAACGGAGCCTGGTGGCGTTGAATCTCTTTCAGTTAAGGAGTGGGCTTGGTTTCTCTTTCTTCTCCATTTTCATCTCGGTCTCCGAGGTTCTATTTTTATGATCTTGGGCTGTCTCTGCTTTCCTCTCCTATCTATGTTCGGTTTTACACATGTATCTTGTCTCTCTCTTGTTCTGGCATGGCTTCCTTTTTTTGTAGAATCTGCTTTGCGGGATAATGAACGTTATGTGTATAGTGAGAATCAAAGAATCAAGATTTTGAAACAAGTTGTTCCTTCTATCTATGTGGTAGTCTACTAAGCTTAACTATATTGAACTTATTCCAAGTCAGGCGTCCAATTCGACAATGAGTAGTGGAGTGTTGTATCATCCAGAATGTCCCAACCGCACTTTGCAAGTGAGAGATACCAATATCAAGTACCTACCTAGGAGGGGATCCAATATCTACTGTATGCCCAAGATTCGTAGCTCACCGTCATCATCAGTTTAAGATATGTGGTATATCTCCCAATAACGATAGCGTCTAAAAAAAGTAAAATCTATGTACCATAGACAAGGCACCAAGTACCAAAACCAGGGGAAAACACCCCAAATCTCACCTACTGACAATCCTCACAAGCCTTAGCATCCTTACTCTCCTCCTCTCTTATCTTCTCCTTCTGCCCACTCTGCTGGGCCTTCAATGCACGATCCGTATGCCCCAAATCCCGCTCGGGGGCAATAACATTCCGCACGAGGGATTTAAGTGCTTTGACTTCTATAGGTGAGGTAATTAGTATACATACTCCTGAATACTCTTGGTGAACAAGTGGGTAATAAAAAGAAAAGAAAAGAAAGAAAGAACATACCAGGGAACCCCCCATCTCGCTTCCGATCCCATAGAATACTCTCCCGGGTGGTAATTTGCCCATCATCCGATGCCGTGCCATGCCATATCGTCACGGTGAATACGCCTCCGGTCATGGGGACTAGGGCGACCTCGCCTAGGTCTGTGCTGAATGTTGAGAGGAGTTCTTGGGCGAACTATAGTATTTGGTTATTAGTACATATATATATAAAAAAACATAGATCTTTGTCTGATGTTATATAAGGATTGGGTGGTACTTGTATATCAAAGTACACCACAATAATATTACGAGCCTCACCCGAAGGCAAATAGGCCAACTCAAACAGGGGACACTGTGATAGGTCGAATGGGACATACGTATGCGGCGCGGAGCATCCATCGGCACTGCGTGCAGAATTTGATGGAGATGCGGGGGAGGTGGACGTGTTCCAGGGCGGTTTTCTTGTCTTCGTTTGGAATGGACTCCATTGTGTTTGAGAAATGGGATGTAGTGTGGTGGTGATGTGATGTTCGGCTTAGGGTGGGGGTTGGAGCCGAGAACTGCAGGTAATAGTTGGGGGCCTGAACACTGAGTAATTGAGTATAGGTGAGATAGCTGATGAGTCTACGGTGGGATGTTTGCCCCAGGTGGTGTGGATGATGTCAGCGGGGATTGCTGATGATTACTGTAGATACCTACCTAGATACACTAGATAAGTTACACTAGGTAGAGGTATGTGGGTATTTCTATATTTCAGGGCTATGCTGAAACAATTACCCTGACACGCGTTCTTAATTTCAGATCAGATGCTACTCGTTAGAAGGATCATGCAAGGCCAAAACAACGGCTTCGCTCGGATCCAATCTGCTGGGCCCCAAAGCCTCGGCATTTGGGCCAAAGTACTTCGTTTAGTAGAAGATTACATCGGTATTGGATTTCTCATGGATGCGAAGTGAATCTATGATACATGGCAACCGACTCTGCCTTGCCAAAATGAGGCTTTTGAAGAGAACCGTAACAAGGATACAAAGGAGGAAAAAAAAGGTAAAGAAAAAGGCTTCCAAACACAAGGGGTAATGGTACGATCCAGAAAAATAAAGCCGGGGTGCAACAGATGCATCTTCAAGTGCACTGCCTGCATATCGGAAAAAAGGGGGACCAAGGGTGTAGAAAAGGCGGACTCGCAGGATCGCAAACTCGCAGACTCGAAGGGGTCCAAATGGTGGGCGTGGAAGGTTTCGTGCAGGACCAGCAGACGATTCTTTCAGGCCGACATCTCGCTTGTGTGCGCGATCGCAAAGTTCCGTTCAGGGTCCAGGGGGTAGTCGTGAATGGTCCGAAATTAAGTAGAAGAGAGAAAGGGAAAAAGAGCGAGATGTCATGGCGAATATTGGCGTCGTGAGTCCATTACATGACAGTGCAGCAACCGCCCTGCTGCTGGGGAGCGTAGGGGTCCTCGCGCTTGTCGACCTAGGAGGCGTTGTTAGTGAATGCGCGCGTTGAATCCATTGAGCCGAAACCCGGTCGCATACCTGTCCCCATACGGATGGAACCATGAAGTCGCGAGTGTTGTTGCAGTAGCTGATGAGGCTGTTTAGGATGTTAGCGATGGCTTGCGAACCAAGGGCGGGTGAACGGACGAGAGAGCGGCCTCGGAGACCTTGACACGAGGGCGGTCCAAGTCCTCCTTCAGACGGGCATTGAGCTCGGTGAGCCGACGGTATTTGAGGTCGGCGACACTCTGCTTCTTGTTCTTGACATCACCACCGGATCGGAGTTCGTAGGCAGGCATCGTGGGTGGTTGGGGTTGAGGAGACGCGATGTGAGAAAGGGGGAAGAGAGGGGGGGTATTGGATCGGCAGTTCCCAAGGAGGAAGAAATTAAGTCTGGATTTTTCAGGGGAACAAAGGAAGTATTCAAAAAGAGGGTGAAGAGGTTAGGGAGAGAATGAGTGACAAAGGGAAGGTTAGTCTGGAGAGGGATTTTCTCTTAGGTCCGTGGGCTTCGCCTTTTCTTTACACGTAAAGAAGTACCTGGTACTTCGGATGGGTCGGGGAACACTATTGTGTTACTATTGACGGGGGGTATTCTGGGCGGTACCGAGTACTTGACAGGAGATTCGGAATGAGATAGTTCAGATCAGAACAACTACGATGAATAGCAGGAATATAACTAGTACAATATGAAATATGCAAGTGATCAATACTTCCAGGCGTGTATCAACTCGATCCCGATGACTCTGTGATCTGACAGACACCTGATCCCTCAGGCCGTCACACGTGATCGCCATCGCTTAACCCGAGTGGGAACAGCGGCGGGTTCCAATTTTCGCTGCTTCACGCACATTGTGAATCTTCCCCTCATTATCGGGTCTTCGCGTGGCAGCATCTCCCATCGCATCTTACTAGCTGCCCGTGTGTGTGTCACTGGGTTGATCTCGACACTTTTCGATAATTTGTCCCCAGGTTTTTCTTTGAAAATTTAATTCCCCAAAGGGGCATCCACCCACCATGCCTCCTCCTCCGCATATCAAACCTGAGAATGTCCTCAAGGTGAGTCGCGACATACGAACGATGGACGATGGACGGATGCTGATGGATATAATGTGGATAGAGGGCTCAGGAACTTATCGCCGTCGGTCAGGCTCCCGCCGCCTTGACTGTTTTGCACGAACATGTCACCTCCAAGCGGACGCGCAGCAGCCCCATCGCCTCCCTCGAGCCGGTGATGCTCCTGTTTGTTGAGCTCTGTGTCGACCTTCGCAAGGGTAAGGCCGCCAAGGACGGTCTCTACCAGTACAAGAACATCGCCCAGAACACCAACGTCGGCACCATCGAGATCGTCCTCAAGAAGTTCATCGAGCTCGCCGAGCAGAAGGTCACTGAGGCCCAGGCCAAGGCCGACGAGATCCAGTCGTCCCTCGAGTCCGCCGCTCCCTCTAGCAACATCGAGGATCTGGAGGCCATCGAAACCCCCGAGACCATCCTCCTCGCTACCGTCTCTGGCGAGCAGTCCCGCGACCGCACCGACCGCGCCGTCGTGACCCCATGGCTCAAGTTCCTCTGGGAGACTTACCGTACCGTACTCGAGATCCTGAAGAACAATGCCCGTCTCGAGATCATGTATCAGTCGACTGCTCTCCAGGCCTTCAAGTTCTGCCAGAAGTACACCCGCAAGACCGAATTCCGCCGTCTTTGCGAGCTGCTCCGTAACCACGTCCAGAATGCCGCCAAGTACTCTACCCAGATGCACGCCATCAACTTGAGCGACCCCGACACCCTCCAGCGCCACCTCGACACTCGTTTCCAGCAGTTGAACGTGGCCGTTGAGCTCGAGCTCTGGCAGGAAGCCTTCCGCAGTATCGAGGATATTCACACCCTGCTCAACCTTAGCAAGCGCCCCGCTAAGAACATCATGATGGCCAACTACTACGAGAAGCTTGCTCGTATTTTCCTCGTCAGCGAGAACTACTTGTTCCACGCCGCTGCCTACAACCGTTACTACAACCTCCTCCGTCTCTCCTCCGTCGCCCTGGCCAGTGGCCAGAGCTCCAAGAAGGAAAACCCCTCAGTCACCGAGGCTGAGATGACCAAGGCTGCCTCCTTTGTTCTGCTCTCCGCTCTCTCCATCCCCGTCATCAGCACTTCCCGCTCCCGCGGTGCTCTGGTCGACGTGGACGAGGCCCGCAAGAACAAGAACACCCGTCTCACCAACCTGCTCGGCATGGCCACCGCCCCCACCCGTACCGTCCTCTTCCGCGATGCCTTGAACAAGGGTCTGCTCCGCCGTGTCCGCCCCGAGATCCGCGAGCTCTACAACATCCTGGAAGTCGACTTCCACCCTCTCTCGATTTGCAAGAAGATCACCCCCATCCTCAAGCAGATCGGTGCCGACCCCGAGATGGAGAAGTACGTTGTGCCTCTCCAGCAGGTTATCCTGACCCGTTTGTTCCAGCAGCTGTCGCAGGTCTACGAGTCCGTTGAGCTCAAGTTCGTGTACGAGCTTGCTCAGTTCCCCGAGCCTTTCCAGATCACCCCCGCCATGATTGAGAAGTTCATCATGAACGGCTGCAAGAAGGGTGACCTCTCCATCCGCGTCGATCACATTTCTGGCGTCCTCACCTTCGACTCCGACGTCTTCTCCTCTTCCAAGGCCTCCCACGCCGGCAGCGGTGCTGGCTCCGCCGAGAGTGAGGTTCAGCGTCTCCAGAACACTCCTGCCGAGATTGCCCGCTACTCGGTCGCTCGTCTCGCCAAGACTCTCCACGTCACATGTATGTACGTGGATCCTTCATACAACGAGGCTCGTCTTCAGGCCAAGCAGACTGCTCAGGCCCGCGCCCTTGCTGGTGCTGCCCAGGAGCACGAGGAGACTCTCGCTCGTCGCGTCCTCATCGACAAGAAGAAGGAGGCTGCCACCGATGCCCTCCAGAAGAAGCAGCGTGACGAGGAGAACCGCAAGCGTATCCGCACTCAGCAGCTCCAAGATGCCGAGAAGCAGCGCTTGGCTGATGAGCAGCGCGACCGTGAGCTCAAGCGCATTAAGGATGAGCAGGACCGCATCCGCCAGGAGGAGCTCAAGAAGCAGCTCGAGGAGCTCAAGACTGGTGTCAAGGGTATTGATGTCAGCGAGATCGATCTCGATGAGCTTGATGCCAACCGCCTGCGTGCCATGAAGCTCGCTCAGCTCGAGAAGGAGAAGAACGAGCTCAACGACCGCATCCGCACCACCGCCAAGCGTATCGACCACTTGGAGCGTGCTTTCCGTCGCGAGGAGCTGAAGCACATTGCATCCGACTACGAGGCCCAGAAGAAGCTCGATATGGAGCTCTACGAAAAGCAGAAAGCCGAGGCTCTCCAGGAGTCCAAGCAGAAGCACGCCGAGGCTGTTGCCCTCAAGCACCGCCTGGGCCGTCTCGTTCCCCAGTTCAGCAGCTTCCGCAAGGAAGTTTCCGAGAAGCGTCACGAGGAGTTCGAGAAGCGCCGCAAGGCCGCCGAGCGCGAGTTCGAGGCCAAGAAGAAGCAGCGTATCAAGGAAGTCCAAGAGCGCCGCCGCCGCGAGCGCCAGGAACGCGAGGAGGAGGAGCTCCGTCGCAAGGAGGAGGAAGAGCGTGCTGCCCGCGAGGAGCAGGAGCGCACTGCTCGCGAAGAGGAGCGCCGTCGTGCTCTGGCCGAAGAGAAGGCCAAGCGCGAGGAGGAGCGATCGTTAGTATTCCCACATCCCAAGCCTATCCCATACCTTCAACCTAACCGTTTTAATAGCAAACTCGACGAGATAGCTTTGAAGCAACAGCAGCGCGAGGCAGAGGCCGAAGCCCGCCTCGCAGCCCGGAGGACCGGTGGTGGATTTGCAGAACGTACCGAGCGAACTGCCCCCCGTCTCAATGTTGCCCCCCGCACTGCAGCTCCCTCCAGCTGGAGAGAGCGCGAAGCTGCCAGGGAGGCTGGTGGTTCTCCCGCCCCGGCCCCCGTCCGCGAGGAGCCCGCTCGCAAGATCGGTGGTGGCTACGTGCCTCCTCACCTGCGCGCCGGTGCCTCCGCTGGCTCTGGCTCCGCCCCTCCCCCTCGTGAACCCCGCGAGCCTCGCGAAGCCCCCACCGAGCGCTGGGCACCCCGCCAAGCCCGCGAGTCTTCTTCCCAGTCTCCCTCTCCTGCTCCCCCAGCCTCAGCCCCCAAGGCCGAAGGCAGCGGTGGCAAGTGGGTCCCTAGATGGAAGCAGCAGCAGTAAACGACCGGCTCCACGAGTAGATAGCGATGACTCTTTCCCTCCCAAAAAGTGTATGGAAGCTCTTTTCTCTTTGGCGCTGTTCTCATGACCTCTTTTCTGCATATTTCCTGTATCATCGGCCCCATGGGGCCCCTTGGTCTGTCGCTTTTGCGTTTCAATGTCAATGTCTTTAATTTATTTCCTCATTTCTGAATGGATGGATGGCTGATGCCATCTTTGATGCCAATTCCAAGCCACGCTTGTTCCCCTAGGTGTTTTAGGTTTCAGGATAGTACCCACCCAGTGTTTCAAGGCTTTGCCTTGATAGATATTCTGGAGTCTGTTAATTTACTATACATTTCCCTGCCACATACACATGTGTCTGCGTAGGTCTGGGCTCAGTTTCCCCACTCAAAAAGAAAGACTACAAAAAGGTTGATTCCCCACTACTCCACGCCTGCATTGCATACATATCTGGGGTGTTCTACCCGTCAGGAACAATCGCCTGTTCATGGTGTCACGTGATTGATAGGCCCTAAGCAGTAGCCAAACTGTATACAAACTGGATGGGTATAACACCACCTCGGGAATATTCGGAGATCGTGATGGGTAAAATCTAGAATAAGATTACTTATTTCTTTACAGAGCCTTTAGTCCAGTCATCCTTACCAAGCACAAAAGTGATAAATGCAAACTAAACAAGTGAAGATACTCGACCCCTCCTCATTGTGGCGTATATGGAATATTACTGGCCGACAATCCGGCCAAATACGAAGCTTATTGCATTAGCTATATCCTATGTTTAGATCTGATGGCTGATTTTCTCCCCCTCTATGGAGCAGAGTCAACTGACACAGCCTACAGCCTAACAGTCGCGTCACCACGGCATACTTTCACTACCTTCCCACAGCCCGTGTAATCTTCCGATACACCTTAATTTTTCACTCTTGAGCCATACTAGACGCAGACCAGAACATATAATCTAAACAAAAATGCTCCTCCCAAGCGAAGAAAAACCCCTCGACATAGAATATGCAGACCAAATGCGTTCCCACCCCTACGGCACAGCCCTATACAACCCCCAACCGCACAACATCTTCCATCCAGGAATGGTAGGCTACTTCGACAGAGCCGGCAACTGGAACCCGATCATCGATCTATCCAAGCAACCAGATCCTACCTCACCTACATCCACGACCACTCTAAAACCCCCACCGACGCTCCCACCCCTCGCAACACCGGAACACCAAACCTGGGGCCCAAAACTAGGCCTAAAAACCCACAGCCACCAAATAAACCTGCAAGCAGGCCTGTCCCAAACCCTCCTCGCAGCAGCCGGCGCACCAATAAGTCTATCTTCACATTTCCGCTTCGAAAGCGAGGACTCTAGCGGTGCGGTGCTTGTCACTAGTGCGCCAATTGTACATGAGCGTTTCTACCATGAAACACCGTTTAAGGCATGGGTTGTTGCCAATGCGGGGAGGTTACTCGCTGAACGGGGCGAGTTGAGGAAATGTGCGTTGTGGGTTGTTACTAGTACGTGGGCTGCGGAGGAGGTTGCTGTTAATTGCTGGAGGAATTGTAGGAAGGCTGTTGACGTGGGCTTTCAGGTTGGGGTTGTTGAGGTTGGGGAGGTTGCGCCTACGGGGGGTTGGGTTGATTGTGGTGCTGCGGCGGGTTGGTTGAGGGCTAGAGGGGATGATGTGAGTTTCTTTGTCGCTTGTTGTTTGTGCATGGATTGGTTTTTGTCTTGTACTAATTGCTAGATGTAGAATTCGGGGGGAAGAAGAGTGGTGTTCTTTGGGGGTCTTAGGTTTAAGTATAGGCCTGTTATTGGGGTATGTTTCATCGATGGACTGCTGTGAGGATCTATATTGACTCTGTATTGATAGGGACTCGGCTCGCAGAATAAACCGAACACATTTCGTGGAGATGCTACGGAGAAAGAGACTGTGGCAGCCTCACTAAAATCCGATGATGGCATGGAATATGACCTTTCTTGTGAAGAGGTTCTGGAAGATAGGACTTTGCGTCCGCGGGAAAACACCGTGGGATCTGGGGATAGTGAGGATTATGATGATCAGGATGACCAGGCTGAAGGTGAATCAGATGATGGCTGGTGAAGATGAGGAGGATCTAGGCCAAGGACCGCTAGAAGTAGAGTGATATAGGGTAGGAATATAGGTTCATAAACTCATTTAGACGACATATTTCTCTCAAGCTCTCAAGGACCCATATGTATATACGAAGCCCAGAATACTGGACTAACACCAGATGCCCTCAACTCCAGGATGACACGCCGAAGCGCCTTCGCCGACTGACTCGGATCGAGATTTGTCTCCAGCGCCCCAAGAGCCTTATAGAATCTCTCAGCGATATCAACACTGAAGAAATCATCCACCCGCCAAAGACTGGCAATGACATGAGGTACCCCAGCCATCTGGAAGCCACCAGCCAGATGCAACCCTTCATCACGGAACTTGGACTTGTTCAAGGCACTCTCACACGCAGAGAGATACGCAAGTTGACAATTAAGATCCCCCTGTTGAAGAAGACATCTTACATCAAGGGGCTTAGATAACCAATCCGTCAGACGGAGCGCACTACGAGCAGGATCATCACCATCGCAGACACCATGGCAGGCAAAGTGGGCGATGTCAGCTCGTCCGAGGTGGCGTAAGACCACGTCTCGATTGGGACTAAGAAGGACCTTACTCTTCCCGCCTCGGCTGTCAACAATCCCTCGGATGCTGGCTACCTCACGCTCGGCGTTGGGTAGGTGTGCGTCCTCTCCCATCTCGGGTGTCGTGTCCATAGAAATCAGGAGCGCGCGCTTCTCTGTCCGGGATTGTGGCTCTAACTGAGTAGTGCGTCGCCGGCTGCGTGTATATGCCAGAGCACGGAGACTGTTGGTATAGGATGGTACGGTCCGGTCCATAATGGTGCAGTTCGGCCCCTTCTTCGAAGTGCCTGCGGCGTGGAGGGGGAATGTACCGATTCGACCCGTGGTGATCCACCATGTTCGTGGTAACTCGCTGTCCGCAGTCATTTCGCCATTGAAACCAAGATATTGTAGAATTGGCTCCGCAATGGCATCCCACAGCCATTCGAGGACTTGTTCCAGTCGCCGTGTTGCGGCAGGGAGATCGCTACTCATGAGCTGGAGGGCTTCTGTATACCACTCCTCCCTTTCTGTCATAGATTGTCCCTCTAACATCGGGAGGCGAAGCGAGTCAACCGCTTCAGTAGTCACGATGATAGCATCGCTGCGGCAGAGGCCGTGGTTAACAATGATAATGGGCCCTTCCTGTGCATACTCGATCAGGTCAGAAGTGTCTCCTGGCAAGCGTAGAAACCCATCTAGCTCGGGATCTTTTCTCGACTCATCCAGAATCTCCTGATATGCCACGGACTCGCAATATACCTCGTGTTGTTGCACCAGGCTCTCGCCGATATCTCCCGCAAGGGCATTCTTCGTCTGGCGGGCTTTGGCTTTCGAAACAGGCTTTTGCATCTTTTCCAATTTAACCTGCAAAGCCGGGAAATCCTCAATCCGTTTCCCTTGCAGTGTCAATTGGCTACTCAGCACATGATCCCACATGACGCTGCGGACTTTGTCAAAGAGTTGGAGAGCCTGGGATGGCGGGTCTCCCGCCTCCAGAGAGTATGAGATGGTGAAGCTTGGTAAGGCGACAAAATTGTCCAAGTTGTTGAGAACATCCTTGCGGTCAAAACTGAGCAGTATAGCTTTAGGCAAGAGCTCAGCCGCTGCACGGATCATGTTGCGAGCTTCTTCTGGCTTTTTGGCCACAACGTGTTGCGCCAAGGCTGCGTAGATATAGAGTCGGACGATGGCAGAGACCTGTAGTGCCTTCATTTTGGGGAGTATCGTCAAGACAGCATTGAGGTACATCTGCCCAAACAAGGAGGTAGCGTTGTACCCGGAATCCTCCCAGGTGTCAAGAATAAAGTCGAGGAAGTTGTACATGAATGCATCCTGATGCACACGTTGGCTACTCTCTTGAAGTGGCTTCAGACGTTCAAGATTATCTTTCATTTGCGCTAGCGCAGCGACCTGGTCTTTAACGTCTTTCGTCTGTCGGGCCTTGTATCTCAACACCCGGGCTAGGTTCACAGAGGCTGCCAACTGGAAGGCGTAGCGCGTGCTACCCGAAGAGAGCGCACTCTGGAATTGCTCTTTCGCAAGGTCCAGGTATATTGGCTCTTGGTACTCGATATAGGAGAACAGATATGCCCGTCCAAGCTGGTTGCACATGTTAGAATGATGATCCGCCGGAAGGTCAAGATTCCACTCGAGAACTTCAAGTAGAATGCTCTGCGACTGTTTGACGTCGGCTATTTGCTCCGTGAGCTTGTACCGTTCCTGGTAAGCAAAGGAGAGATTGGTCGCTCGGCTGACATACTGCAGGGTTCTCTTTGTGGCACCCTGCAAACACTTTTGGTAGCACTCAATAGCTCTGTCAATGTCTCGTTGCTGCTGAGTGACCTCAAATTGCGCCGTGAGTGAGATAGCCAGTCCATGCGTGACCATCAAATTGGCCCTCTTGGCGTTTTCCAGTCCGCTTTCTTCCAAGGCCTTGAGAGAGGATTGATACCCACGAATTGAAGCTGAGAGATCCTCCAACTTCAAGCTGATCTTGAACTTGAAATAGTACGCATTGGCAAGATCATTGTGCATAGAATATGTGGTTTTTCCATCATTGCCAGGTTTCGACAACGCTTCTTCGTACTGTGTGATTGCCTGGTTGAGATCTTCGACCTGATCGCTCGTATGATATCGTGCAAAGGAGATCAGTCCGTGGACGTGAAGACATTCGCCCCTTAGAGATTCAGAGATTGTGCTTGAAGAGATGACACGGTCGGCTTCACACTGAGCTTTATCCAGATCATCCTGCTGCCCAAAGGCTTCGTAGCGCAGTAGCAGGCACTGAGAAAGCTTCATTGGATATCTGGCATGCTCCTCCTCGTCTTCGAATGGCAAGTCAACGAGCGTGCGGAACCGTTGGATAGCCTCATCGATGTCTTCCATCTTAGCGCTCCTCCTGAATAGTTCCATAAGCGTTACCGCGTGGGCGTGACAGATCGATTCGCTTGGCTGTGTGCTGGCACGAACGGCCTTGCCCAGAATCTCTGCCGACTCTGTGAGCATCTCGTCCGAGTTGGTGTAGTTGGCGAAGACGCGTAGATGGTTCCCAAGAGACTCCATTACCAGCGACGAGTCTGGCTGGATCTTGAGGGCTTCGTTCAACATCTCCACAGCAGTATCGCCGTCCTCCAGATTCCCATTCTGCATGAACCGGATCGCGTTCACTCGTCCCAGGTCTTGACAGGCGCGGAAGCGGTCTATAGAGCCGTGAACGGGTGCCAATCTGGCCTGCCCAAAACAACCAGCAGCGTGCTTCAGGTCATCCGCTCTCTGTGTAAGCTCAGAGCGCTCCCAGAAGGCGTATCCGAAATGCCACCATACGGTGCTGAGGGAAGTACGATACTGGGTGGGCCTGAACGCGTTGGTTTCGCTGGCCACGGCTTCTTTCAGCTTGCCCATATACGTGCGCAGCATCTCGGCCTTGTCGCGATGTTCAAATTCGTCCCGTTCCCTGAGCAGTCTCGCCCACCTAAACAAGAAGATGGGTCGCCCTGCTGGTCTCAGGGTAGACGCCTGTTGGAAACAGTCCTCTGCTTCAGCGAAGTCAGCGGCATCGTGCCGCGTGGCGTATCTTGCCGTGAGCTGGTCGCCCAGGTCGTAGAAGTGTAACGCACGATTAATCTCTTCGAGAGGCCCCAGCTCCACGGCCTTGCGGCAGTAGTATATCGAGTCGTCGAGTAATTTCCCGACAGAGGGCGTTTCTGAGTGTGTATGTTGCCACTGAACGAGCAGTGATCTGGCAAAAATGCTGAGCAGCACACCGCGATCAGCATTATCAGCATCGAGCGAGACATGGTAGGCAATTAGAGAGCCAAAGGCTACCGCTTTTGGCAAGTGGGAAGCTTCTTTGGTCCGAAAGTACTGACCAAATGATGCTTCACATTGCGTTGCCAGCAGTCCTGGGCGCAAGTTTGGCTCGTGGACTGTGTAGATCCGGATGAGTTGTTGGACTTCCTCCTCGCTAAATTGAACCAAGAAGCCAGCGCTGCGGCAGTAGTCACCATCCTGAATCATATGATCATTGCGAGGAGAAGTATCAATCAACTCTCGGAGTTGTTGGCGCGGATCCGCAACGGTTGGAGTCTCCTCTACCATAGTGATGATGCGTCCAGAATGCTTGATTATGGTGGGATTCGAGCAGTGAAGATGGTGAGATGTTCCTCCAGGCTGATGAAAGAGGACATCCAGTCTCACCCTAAAAATAGCCCCAACTCTCGTATAACTTAGGTGATTGCAGTGTGAGACGCAACGGGATCAAAAAGGGAAATATAAGACGACGGGCCATATCACCATCTGAATCTTCCCACCACAGGGATAAAGTAATCGAAGATTAATGGGCGGCCAATGTTGTAGCTGAAAACATGCCACGGTCGTAAAATGCAACCACCGCGATACGAGCAATGCACCTACCAGCCGCCTGCCACGAATGCTTTTCACGGAAACACTCTCGGTGATCCTACTGGGATTAGCGTAAATGGTCAAGAATGTATCCATTCGATCAGTCGGGGCTGTGGAAGAATTTCCCAAGTGGTGGTCACTAAGCATCCCGCCCTGCTTAACCCTGTTCTTTGAGGGTATTTCTTCCCATTATGCTAAGAGAGATAAGCAGTCGCTGACTGTAGTCAGGAGATTGAACTTCTGGTGGCAATAAAGGGGAAAGAACGATGCTGGCTTCGAGAGGCTTCGAGTCGAAGGTGCGAATTAGGTTTTGGGTCAAATTAGGGTTAACGTTAGTTGATGTTCATACTTTAACAGCCTGCATCAACGTCTCAGCATGACATCAACTCCTGATTGTACTCACAAAAGAAAATGATCATGCTCTAACTATCAAACAGAAGAAATGGTATCATAGTTTCGAGCTTATATGCATGTAATCTAGGGAGCTCAGTCTCAATATCAACAAGAGCCAATTCAAGGAATGGCCCAATAAAAAACCAATATGGATATCCGACAAAAGAACAAAAAATAAAGGATAGCAATCTACATCCGTTGACCTGTATAATAATGGAACTTCCCAGACATAGTCAACAACCAGGAACATGAGGCTATGCAGCAGCAACTTCAGCATTCGCCCCGAACAGCTTCTCTCGCCACTCTCCACAAACAGCCTCAAAGCCACTGACTACATCCCCGCAGACTTTACCGGCTTCTCGGTCTTTCAGCCGGCGGTCCCATTCACCTCGCTCGATCCACCGCGAGCCTTCTTCGCGGCTCTCTTCTTCCCGCCGGATTTCAGCGACAAGTTCACGCGCAGACCTTAGTCGCCGGGAAGCAGTGGATGTCAACTGTCTTGACTCATAGAGCGTGTCACTTAGACCGCGAAGTGAATGGGTAATATCGGCAGTTTGGGAGATGAGTGCTTGGAGAGAGACCAGCGGATTATGAGCAGATGACTGTGGAGTAGTTGGCCTGGAGCCGCGGCGGGACTGTTCGGGGAAGGGATAGGGGAGGTTTGGCAATAAGCCTTCGTCGATAAGGGGCATGAGAGAGTCGATGGCGTCTTCGGAGAGGAGGGGGAATGGGGAAAACAAGAGTGGGTGGATGAGGGATTGAAGGGTACGGGTTTGATGCGTGAGATGTGATGTGATTGAGGAATGAGCTGTGATGAGTCTTTACAAAGATATTAGTTTCCTATACTGATCTTTGAGAGAGTGGATGCCTTACCTCATCGCACTGTTTTCAATGCCGCTCTGCCCGCCGAGGTCTTTTAACGACTCGACTGTCCGCTGAATGACCAAGTCATTCTCACTTCCATTATTCTCTATACCCCGCCGAACAAGGCTTTCAATTTCAGCCATTTGATTCTCCAATGCTGGAGAGATATCCGCAGCCTCGTCTAGATCCGAGTCAGGTCCATAATCTGAACCGTCATATTGTGATTCCTGTCGCCGGTGCTGTCGCAGATGGTTTGCACGATTCTTAGTCCTACCGGGATGAAGCGAGTCTCTCTCTGGAGATGGAGATGTTGAGCGAGTGTGCATACCATGCACAGATTGCATATATGCATCTTCCATATCACTCTGATCCATCTGCTGTGACCCCGCGCGGCCGTTTTCCTGACCTGACGCATACCCATAGCCGTCATCTTCTTGGTCCCAGGCATCGGCTAGCTCATCTGCCAAATTTCCCAAGCCTCCACCCCCTGCCTCGGCGGCGCCAGAAAAATCCCCGGATTCTCGGTGGGATCCACTCAATGCCGTTGAGTTATGGCGGGAGGCGATTGGGGATGGAGGAGCAGATAGACGGGGTGTTTGCGGTGACCGAGGGCTTGGCAGTGCAAATCCATTCACGTTTGACGTTCCGGGTGAGATTGGTGAGTCGTCCATGGCTGATGGATAGCGGTGTGAGAGTTTCAGGGGAGAAGGAGGGAGGGGCATTTTATCGACTGAAAGGATCTCGTAAGAATCCCAGTTGCAACAAATGTCAACAGTGAGCGACAAGAGCCAAGTTATAAGCAAAATATTCACGCTAAAGAAAGAAGTATTGTCTTGGTCGAGCTGCAGGCGCAATGTTGATTCGGATGTCCGATAGTGTGGATATCTCCGTTCCGAGTCAATGATCCAGATTATAGCGAGGAACAAAGGAGCTAATGAAAATGAATATAAGCACAAAAGCCCGAATCGTCAGAACAATTGCATCACCAGGATGCAGGAGGGGCACAGTTGTATACGGAGCAATTAACACGGAGATCAATTCACCGAACTGGCGTCGCCGCCCGGCAGAAAATGACGAGGATATCAAACCCCACATTCCTTCTGCGATAGACATTCCTACATTATCTCAACTACAAGACGCCAAAATGAGCTCCGTAGAGCGCATGTCCCCTCTGGACCTCCTCAAAACGAACCTCACAAACCTCGACCCCCTCACTGAGAACTATGACCTCGGTTTCTACCTCAATTACCTGAATAAGTGGCCATCACTATTCAGCACGGTGAAAGACCGTGACGCAGGCATTGTGGGCTACAGTATGCTCTACTCTACATCTGACTGCTCAAATTGTACGAGTGAGAATACATTGGCTGACATTTATTCTTCCCACAAGTCATGGGCAAGCTCGAAGAGCAACACCCATCCATGCGAAACTCCGAGCATTACACACCGTGGCACGGTCACATCACCGTGCTGACCGTTGCACCCGCCTGGCGCCGTCTCGGATTTGCGCGCCGCTTGACCGAGCAACTGGAGCGCGGATCGGACAGCAATGACGCATGGTTCGTCGATCTATACGTTCGCGCCGGAAATAAGGTAGCGTGCAATATGTACAAAGACATGGGGTGAGTGAGATATTGAACAATCTTGGAAAGAGACAATTACTGACGAATGTGAATCAAAATCAGATACTCTGTCTTCCGGCGTGTAGTAAATTACTATAGTGATGATCCGTCAGGGTTGTCAGATACTGGAGAGGATGCGTTCGACATGCGGAAACCATGCAGTCGAGACAAGAAGCTTGAGCATGTGCGGGAAAATGGAGAGGAATTCCGGGTTGGGCCGGAAGATGTTATGTAGCGATGATACCTTATACTAATACGTCTCTTGTTATACGCTTCTCAACTTTGATATGGCATCGGACATCCATGCTAATTTGGGGGTTAAACTTCTACATAACCATTTGTACGTCAATATTATTAAGGTTCTTAGACCGGACTGCAAGGTCATGTCATAAAGAATTAGATTTTAATAGGAAATACCCTGTTCCCGTTTCGCCTATGTAGCATGGCTATGCGCCGTGTTTCCCACCCACTCCATAAGATGCAGAAAAAAGTTCTTTCGGGGGGTAATGCAGTATGCAAAGCTTTTTGGGGATCCGCCAAACACAATGCCAGTGGATTCTGTCATGATGCTATAATACTCAGGTCATATTGAGGGAAACCCCATGTACCCAGAGTTCATTTGATCTGAGTGACAATGTTGAAGGTTGCGCAGCCGCCATTCTGTAGCAAAGCAAAGTCACCTCCGTCGTATGACTCCATAGGAGAGGAAATGCGTTTTGCGGGATTTCGAGATATATGGTGCCGCAATTCTGATCTAGGTTTTGGAACGAAGATTGGGACCCGAGCGCAAGAACCGTACGGTTGTAAAGAGGCATGCAGACGTGGTCAGACAGCAAGATGTAAAGAGTTGCACTCCGAGATACTCGTTTGTGTCGCTCAGGATTGCACCGCCAATGGGTGTACCGATTAGCAGACCGATGGAAGTCACAGCAAAGACCATGCCCATGCGTGTGCCTAAATTGCGAACATCGGAAGTCATGGTAGCCATCACAACAGGCGGCAGAGACACAAAGCCCCCAGAGAAGAAGCCGTAGAACACGGCCAGAATGATGATGCCAGGCACAGTGTGGACACGGATCCAGACGAAAGCAAGAATAGCGGTGATGGTCACTGCGGGGGTGAGCATGTTCAGAGGACCAACGTGGTCAGCGAGGAAGTTGGGGCCTATACGGCCGCATGTTGAGGCAGCGTTCAGCATGGACAGGAGATAGAATCCCAGATTCGAGTCGACAATCCCAGTCTGAATTGCGTACGACTGCACATAGAAAAGGAAGTTATAAAATCCCAGGAAGCCCATAAACATGGCAACAGCAAATATGGTAAATGCGGGTTCTTTAAAGGAAGAAAGCTGCCAGAGCTTGCGCTTCTCCTTTGGCTGGAACCGTGCACGCATAATGCTAACGGAAATGCAAATCGTTCCGAAGCAGACAAATCCCAGTGCCCTGGTGGCCCAGGCAAAGCCGACCTTCTTTTGCAACTGGTCAAACATGATCGGGTAGACAACACCACCGATACTGCTGCCACTGGCAGCCAGACCGTTAGCCAGTCCTTTCTTCTTTCGGAAGTACTGCGGCAGAATAGCAACGGATGGAACGAAAAGACAGCCTGCTGCTAGACCGACACAGACACCTTGAGAAAGGATCAGCTGCCAATATTTGGTGGCCAGACTGGTCATCATCAAGCCAAATGGTAGAAGAAAAGCGGCAAAGCTTATGAGGGCTCGGAAGTAGCCTGCATCGAACAGCGGGCCTGTAATGACTCCGATCATCATCAATAGGAACGATTGCAGCGATCCAATCCAGGCAATGGTGGATGAGGAAGTACCAACGAGCAGTTCCTGCTCATAATATGTTTGATATGCACCCCAGGTATTGATGACGCCCCTGTTCATGAAGTCTGGTCAGCTATATGCACTCTATATAGTTTTCGTGGAGACATACCATGAGTTGAAGAAGAGGAAGAACGAGCCCAGTACTTGTAGCCATGCCTTGAGCCCCGTATCATACGTTAGGTCAGGCTCAGGCTCTTTCTCTGCCACAGAATCTGATGTTTTGGGAGAGGTGACAATGCCGTCATGTTGAGCGGCGGAAGGTTCAGTGAAGACCTTCTGCTCTAGATCCAGAGTATTGGATCCCATACTCAGTGTTTTGCGCTTGACGGGTCAATGCGAGGTCTGTCTCAAAGGTAAGAGTCGACAGAGGATAAAGTGGGCGACGAGACAGAGTTAAAGAGCCCGCCACAAACCGCAATGATGCAAGACACTGGTCTCACGAGGCCATGGAAAGCCTTTGTGAAAAAAATCCTCGGAGTTGATTATAAACCCCGAACCAAGCGGGGCTCACCAGGGCCAAGCTGCCCTGGGGGCGGAAGGAGCCGAATGGAAGCGCCCTTCAGGCAGCGGCCTAGGGCCCACTGGGTCCTCGTCCATGGTGGAGAGGGCTATTCACCTGTCTGCTGGTGGAAATCGAGAGATGATCCAATGATGAACCGTAGTCTACGTGCCGGTTATCCAGGCGAAACGACCAAGATCAGATTAGTGCGTCTGTGACCCCAAATGACAGGGATATTAGTGGATCTTTGTGCATTCTGATACTTCCCCAATTCCTTGGGGATGGGAAAATGGAGTTGATTTCCTGACTCCAATATGGAGAGGTGAAGAATCTCGAGTGCGTCAGGATTCTACTTTCGGCAAATGATTGACCGGCTGGGCACGTGGTCTGAACTACATGCATCAGAGAAATGAAGAAAGCGTCATATTATTTCTGGATATCTTTTTTTTTGTCTTTCTAAATGTGCAAAGGCCTTCTGTCCATGCATCCAAGACATTCAAAGCTCTTTTTTTGACAGTTTCTTCGAATCCCAGAACTCCAAACGCTATGCTGAAACCCAAAGAAAAGGAAAAGATGGTAAACAGCCACCCTGTGAACGATTGGCACCTGTGAGGCACCTACAGAAGCTCCTCGCAAGTCCAGTCCTCGTACCTGAAGCCAAGTATTGTTAGATATAGCCCACCACTCATGTCTCACAAGGGTATGCTTACCATCCATCGGGCAAGTATCGGCGCACGATCAGGGGAATCTTCTTCTGGTTCAACTCCTTCATCGCAATCTGGAGGGGATCGGTTTCACCCTCAAGATCAACGAGAACGGGAGCGTTCATACTAGAGAGATGTCAGCAAATCCATCTTGTCTCCGGTCCATTTCCGCAATGCTTCATATAGCTGTCAACGCACCTGATCTGTAAGGCACGGGTGCCGAGGACGCGCGCACGCTCGTACTTGGTCAAGTACGGGGTGGTTGTGCGCTGGTCATTGGGCACCTTCTTCTCGCGCGACTGTTCCATCACCTTCCCAGTGTATCCGGCATTGGGGTCGCCCGAAACGACGACATTCTCGCCATTGACGGCAGGGTTGTAGATATCGCCTTCGCCTTCCTCACCCTCGAGGCCCTCCTGGTCGGCCAAGTCCTCGGGCTCCATCTCCTCGAACACATCCTCGCCGGGCTCATAGTCATAGCTGCGCAAACAATCAGATTAGCAACACTGCTTGTGGCGATTCATGCGAACACAATTTGAGGGTGCTTGGAGGTGAGACAGAAACCGAGCTCTTTTGCGCCCAGAGTCTGATCAACCTCATGATGTGGGAGGTAGCTCTTACGGTTCGGCATCGTTTTCACCATAGTCAGACATGATGGCTGGTAGACTGAATGAGCGGAATATGCGTAAACCGTAGAGAACGAGAAAAGAACCGGATGGGGAGAAGCGACTCGGAGATCGAAGTGGGATTGATGCTTGTAAAATCCTTGGAGCGGAAAAACTTCCTCTCGCGTTCGCCGTCACCGCCTTTTTGGCAAAATAAAATTATTGGGACGTTCACGTCAGATCTTCCATTTCCTGCATGGGAATTCCCTTTTTCTCAATCGTCTTCTCAGGGGCCTCTCATTATGGCCCAGAAAAGGAAGGCCTCGTCGCAAGGAGCCTCGACTTCCAAGCGATTTCAGAAGGAAACAATCCTAGACACCTCTGGTATGCTTCATCTCTAGATAACGATAAAGGAACCGAATCGCTGATCATTCAACAGACCCGATATATGAGGAGTATCATTCTGATGCTGAGTATTCAGCCCCAGGCACTCCGAGTGCTATGAGCCAAGACTTGAATGAAACCCCTGCCACTCCATACTCAACTACGTCTTCCCGCTATCCATCCGAGCTCAAAACCCACCGTTGCCCATTTGGAGGATGCGACAAAGCTTTCAATCGTCCAGCTCGTCTTCAGGAACATATTCGATCACACAACAATGAAAGACTGTTCCAGTGCACGTTCGAGGGTTGTGACAAGACGTTTCTGCGCACGTCTCATCTAAACCACCACGTCAAAAGTGCCCATACTGGTGTCCGAGACTACGTTTGTGGCCGACCAGGGTGCGGTAAAAGCTTCGTGACGGGGTCACGACTCCGCCGACATGAAGCTGCACACGACGGAAGAGACAAGTTCCGCTGCACTGAGTATCCGCCCTGTAACGAGACATTCCGAAAGCACACGACGCTCCAGAAACATGTCACGACCGTTCATTTAAAGCAGAAACCATACCCTTGTAACCGCACAGATCCAGTGACCAACCAAAAATGCCAAATGGCCTTTGATACCGCTGGAAATCTGCGAGCCCACGAAAGCAGGGTCCATGCCGAAAAGCGATTTACTTGCGCAGAATGTTCTGAAAACCTACCAGATCAATCGTCAGACATGAACCGTACCGACAACATTCCGAGCCAAGACGTGACGTTCCCCACTTATGCACTTCTACAAGATCACATCCGGATTGTTCACCCTCCCAAATGTCCTCATTGTCCAATCGTGTGCTCCACATCACGAGAGCTCCGACGTCATCTCGAGGTTGCTCACGGAGATGTCAGTCTTGACGAACGTAAGGTGTTCCTTTGCACTTACTCCGGTTGTGATCGCAGCTTCACCAAGCAAGGCAACCTGACAGTCCATATTCGCACCGTCCATGAAGGCGAAAAACGGTTCGTCTGCGGCGAAACAGACCTCTCATCCTCCAAAAAGGTTGCAGGTTGGGATGCCATTGGTTGTGGAAACCGTTACGGCAGCAAACTTGCACTCGAAGAGCACATACGCACTGCTCACATGGGACTCCAGAATGCCAAGGCAGAGCGGCGTCAACGACTGGGACTGAACAAGAAACCCTCGCATAGCTCCATCTCTACATTAGCCGCCCTCACAGGCCAGGGTTACGTGGAGGAAACAGGTCGACACATTGCCTGCTTCTACGATCAGTGCCCTCATCGTTTCCATCGCGACTACGATCTCTGGGTGCACATGACCAGCAAACATGGCTGCTCCGAAGACGAGGTGCAGGGATTGTTCATGCAACGTGCCTTGCTTGCTGATGACTCCGGCCCTGGAGGCAACTCATTGGGCATGTATGGTCTTGGCCTTGACCAGGAGGGCCAGTCCTTTTTCCAAGAAAACTATACTGCAGGCGACCATTCATCGGATATGGCTTTCGGCTCACAGTCGAATGATTCGAACTACCTTCCCGGCCAGCAAGGCGTGAATACCGATTATTTGATGCAAGATGACTTTTCAGCGGGTGCAAGCGGGGAGATTGATTCTATGTTATCTGGCGGTAGCGACATGGCTATGATTGACCCTGTTCTTGCTTATAATTTGATGGAGCAATGAACCAGGTCATATTTACGACTGTTACGATTATCTAGCGGCATTGGCAAAATACATCTCTATGTTTCATTTAACTTTTATATGGTTCTGCGTCATAGAGCGCTACGATTGAGCACTTCATCCAAGATATGAAAAGTAGACGATATAGTTTAAGATATAATACTGATCGGCTTCAGTACTCGCTATTGAACCCGACCATCCCCTCCAAGTCACGGTCCGTGAACTCCCCATGTCATCCTTCAACATGTCCACCAGTCCCCACGGAATGTGTCTGGTCTTGTTCTGGAGAGGCGGATTCCTCAGGACCAAAACGTGAGCATTCTCACTTTTCTTCCATATCAGAGTCTGCAGAGGGCGCCAAGCAATAGCGCTGTCATTTCTTGACCAAAGTGAGTAAACCATAATCAAGAGTGGCACCAAATCCCGATTCCGCTTGACCCTGTTCTGAGCTTCCTCTAGATCTTCCTCGTACTTCTTGGATATCCTCGGCCAATGACGGGAAGGCCGGCTGCTCTACGGGGTCAACAGGCAATTCCATGCTAGCAAAGTGTTTGCAAAATTCCAATAAAGCGCGGGGTCTGCCATTGTCGCATTGATTCGATCGAGTGGCCGCAGTATAAAATCAAGAGACTTGCCGCACTGGATATACTAGCCATCTCTCTCTCAGATACTGTGGTTGTATCCAACTCACTATGCAAGGACTGCCTTGCTTCGCAATTTTACAACTCCCGACTTCAACAACCTCACTGTTGCTCTTGTCCAAGCACCGCCGGCTAATTGACCATTACCGCTGATGAACAAAAACTGGACCGGGGTGGAGTTTGACCTCAACAGAACAGTGGCCAAGGGTGTTGATCTCATCACAGGCACAGAATGGGGCAAACCTGGTGGTGTGTCAGTCTGAGAGTTGATTACTGCCTCGGAAAAAAACACTAGATGCTTGCACAGAAATACAACTCTCCTATACTTGCTCGGGGGTATCCATGGATGAGGCATCAAGATAAGCATAAATTGCGAGTTACCAAAGAAAGACGACTAAACTAGGCCTAGTTTACTGTCCCAAAAAGGGTTAGGGCGAAAACAACCCTGCAAACCCACCTGATCAGATTGGGCAGCAGGGATCTTCTCCAGGTGTCTCACATGGCATGGATGATCTCTAATTGCCTCGATCTACGCCAAGCCACCAAGCCCGCGGTCTGTGAACGAAAGTTGTGGCTGGGACTGGGGATACCCTAATGCAGGAGCGCAAACAAAGGCCCGTGTGTCGCCTAGAGCTATTTGGGGCAAATGCCGAGCCCAAGAAGAGAGAGTGACTTATTGGAAATTACAAAAGACGCTATGGTTCGTGGGTTGCCTATGTATGCGAAAGCAGGAGATTCTGACCTTAGCGGTGAAGCTCGGCCGATATGAGTACGCGTTCGAAGCCCGGGGGAAGGCCAAGTTTTGCCTTGGGCCACGCCATGGTGGATCCACAGGAAGCGACGCAACGTGGAACGTTGGGGAGACTTTGAGCTGTGGCAATCAGCCACTAACCCAAAGTGTAGCGAAATGAGGCACATTGTTCGCCCCGGCCGTGGTCATCTATCTGGGTCAAGCGCCCATTTTAGCTGGCATGTGGCGCAAATTTAAAGCGACGCCATGACCAGAATGAGCCTTAATGAGAAATCACGTTATATTAGGGAAAAGGAGAGAATCAGGGGTGTCAAAAGAGGAAACAATGTTGCCTTATATATGATAGAGTCGAATAGTGGATGGACCATAGTTCTAAATTGACTAAGACATGCACTGCTAAATTTACTTATGTCTTAGTTTTTCAAAATCGGCTAGTCTAGAGTCTCTCTTGGGAACCATATCTTTGTTGCAAGAATGTCCAGAGTATACAATGTAAAAATAGGCAACATTGGCTTGGCCTAAGGTCACACGGAGTTTACGGAGTGTCCCCCAGATTAGTCGCCTCTAAAGTAATTCACACCTTAATCTTCTCTTCTTCATATACCCAAATCTCCCAAAAAGTTTCCCAAATAACCCAACTTCTTTCTCTCGCTAAGGCCAACGTCATCTTCCTTGGCAGACACACCTTTCCGGCCTAACCGCTCGTTCTTCTCTCTTTACTTTTTACTGTTTGCCATAACCCTGCGCTCCATGGAGTAACCTTTCTCAGTCCTGTTCAGGCTGAACGACTTCCTTTTAAATCCCACTGATCTCCATTCGCTTCTTACCTTCTGGTGTCACACTCGTTGAGGGGCTTTTTCGGGGTCATCTTCACACCTTCCGACGTCATGGGTCGTTCGCGTGGTAAGCCGATCATCGGACCGCCGGAAAATTGACTAGAGCCCGTTATTGACTATCCCTTGCGTTTTCTACAGTTCGCTCATTTATCTCAAGCTTCGGGGGTCAAAAAAACAATGACTCCGGTAAAGGAAGCAGACTATCGTCAAGTAACGCCACTCCGGAGAGCGTGACGCCCTCCGATACACCACCCCGGTGGCAAACTCCTCCCCCCGAGACAGCATCGCCTCCTTCCGAGTTGTCACCCGTGGGATCTGCTCCGAGACACAACGGAGGTGGCTCACGACCGGCATCCATGGTGTTCTCGCGCAATCCGCCGTTACTGCAGCAGGCGACCGACACCCCGCCGGAGCTGTCGCCTATTTTCTCCTTCCTTAACATCCACACGAACAAGGTCTACCAGGAGGGATATTTCTTGAAATTGAATGATCTGGATTCTCGTAGGTGGACCGACTATCTTTGCGGGGAACTGGCTAACGAATGCAGTTGGTCGACCTTGTGGTGATCGGCAATGGGTGGAATGCTATGCGCAACTTGTCGGGACCGTTCTTTCGCTATGGGATGGTGCTGCGCTGGACGCAGCAGGTGGCGAAGAGGTCCCTGCGACCTTTATCAATTTGGCCGATGCGTCAATCAAAATGGTAAGTCCCGACTTCTGCCGAGTCCCGCATGAGCTTACATTCGTGATAGATTGAGACCCTGCCGATCCGAAATGGCGCAGTACAGCCATTAAAGAATGTCCTTAGCCTTTCATCTGCTGGCAAAAACCGATACCTTTTACATTTCAACTCTTTCCACTCATTGACGCAATGGACCGCCGCGATCCGTCTCTCGCTTTTCGAACACACATCCTTATACGAAGCTTATACCGGCTCTCTGATTGCGGCGAAAGGAAGAACCCTCAATGGAATCAACACCATCCTGGCACCCACAAAATTCAAATACGAAGACTGGGCGCGCGTGCGATTTGGAGCCGGAACTCCATGGAGACGGTGCTGGTTCGTGATCAGTCCGCCAGACGAGAAAGAGATGCAAAAGGCGCGCAAGATGACCAAGAAATCGGCATATGACCGCTTGTCAATTCCGGTAACTGGAAACATCAAGTTTTACGAGACAAAGAAGACCAAAAAGGTGACACCGATTGCCACCATCACTAATGTGTACTCGGCATATGCGATTTACCCGCAGTCCAAGGCTTTAATCGATGCGTCGACACTGGTGAAGTTGGAGGGTAGGATTACTACCCATGCAGATGGAAGTTCCACGGAAGGCCTTGTCTTCGTCATGCCCGAACTGCATGCTGCCGTTTCTGGATTCGAGATGATGCTGCGGTTCCTCTTCCCGACCTTCGACACGTTCAATCTATACGGCCGTCCCACTCGCCTGGTGGCTGATACCAACCACATCAAGAGTATCATGTTTGCATTTCCCAAGGAGCGGCGCTACGGCTATCTGGATGTGCTGGATATCGCCAGTCTCCTCCAGACCCCCGGAAGTCAAGAGTGGAGCGAGGCGGAGTGGAGGAAACAGTTGAAAGCAGCAACCCAACGACGAATCTCGACAGGCAGAAGCAGAACCAACAGCGTCAACAGCTCGAAGCCTCGTTATCGCTCCAGCATGTCTGGCCGCTACAGCGATGTCCCCGTTGACGCGCGACGTCAAGTCTCTGCTTTCCAGAATAAGCCTGACTTTAACCACTCTGCGGAGGCTGTTATCCAAGAAGTTCCTAGGACCGATGATTCGCCACTTGCGTATCATACTCGCGGTTTCTCCGACACCACCGGTTTAAACAGTGCCCCCACACCTGGCCGTAGATTGGCCGAGAGCTCCCCTAATTCATCTGCTCAAGACCTAACGCCTCGTGATGGAACTCCGACAGTGGCTCCCATTGCCGAGAGTACCAGCTCCGAGAGTTTCCCAGCCTACGAGAATGGACATCTCGAACCTGTGAGAGAGCAGCTTCCGCCACCCACCCCACCATCTCCAGTTATGAGCCCGCCCGCATTTTCGCATGGCCCGAGAGAGATGCCAACCAACCGACCGGAGGCATCATCGGAGCAGAGACTGGCAAATAACCGCATGTCTCACGCAACTCTCTCTCAACTTACATCAGTTGGAGGGGTTGGATTGAGCGGGGCTGCTTCTCCAGCCGCCTGGAAACAATCGCAAAAACCAAACGAGCAACAGCCTCAGCAACGGGACGCCAACAGTGTCTACCACCCTAGTCCTGTTGCTTATAACAACTCTCTTGCGCACTCATCGAGCGACGAGGCCATGACAATGGCTTTCCCAGTTCGCCCGCCCATGGTTCCGGAACATCGTCCTAACACACCCAACACTGCCGGCAGCTCCTCCCCTCAGCGGCCATCCCCCCAGCGTGTTCCAATTGATACCAGCAAGTCCGTCCGACGCAAACCAGTCCCACACCGTGATATTTTCGCCGAGGAGTCCCAGAGACAGGGCGAACCGAGCTATGATGACCTGCGCCACACTCTTGACGAGGATGTGTTGAACCAAATTGCTCCTCACCTCCCATCCCCGATATCGTCAACAGCCAGAAACGACGAGGAAAGCGTCTACGATGATGCATCGACGGTTTCGCCTGACTATGCCAGTACCCATGGCTCTGTCTACAGCAAGAGATCCTCCAAGTCGACCAAGCCCAGAATGGGTGTCATGAAGACCGTGGGAGTTCCGGCAGCTAAGGATCTTGTCATTGGTGACGCCCACTATACTACGGACAGAGCGCCAACCTCGAACCCTGACATCCCCAACGTGGACTTTGGGCCAACTATGACCTACATGCCTACCACTGGACGCCCGAGCACTTCTGATGCTCTCAAAAAGCCTTTCCATCAACGGAGGGACTCAGAGGGAACTAAACTCACGATCCCTACTCACCAAATGGACCAGGCTAATGGAAGACCATCCTCCCAGGAGGAATACCGACGGAGTATGCTGTGGCAACCAGGGATGGCTTCTGGTCGCCCTGTCACTCCTGGTGGACTCACTCCAGAACAATATGTACAGCAACGGGCAGCCCCCAGCCCTCCGATGCACATGCACAACCGTACCCCATCCGGAGCCACCATGGTGCAACGCCCGGTATCGGGCGAGTGGGCCCATCTCGCCCGCTCTAGCTCGCCCATGAACCGAGACCCCAACTACCGACCCTCATCTCGCGGCGCCACGAGCATGCTCAACCACAACGATGCCTCGATCCATCTTTCCGCCCGAGAGCAGGAGCACGTCGCCCGCATGACCGGCTCTTCATTCTTCAACATGAACAACGACACCCGCAAGCCCCATGCACCGGTGAACCCCGGCGGTCTCGTCTCTGCCATTGACGCTCGCGAACGCGAGAAGCGCGAAATGAGAGAGGGAATGTCGAACCAGATGGTCCAGCAAGCCATTGCACAGCGCCAGCAGCACATGATGCACCAGCAACAGTACGCACCCCAGCCGATGTTGCACCAGCCCATGTCGCCCCAACAGGCTGCCTCCGTGTACCCACCACCCCATGGTGGTCAGGCGTCCATGTACAACATGCCCGTTGCCAGTCACACATGGGACGCCCTTCACCAGATGAACCGCCCCGACGAGCCCCGACGATCCTCTTGGTACGGTCAGCTTGCTCAGCAAGCTCCTCAGGCTCCGTCTGTCTACCCGCAAAGCCAACACACTCAGAACCCGGGCTACTATGGCTACGCTAAATAGACGGGGTCACTCCATGGATCACCACACCCTTTCCTATCATCATCCTGTCACTACCACTAAACCAAACTTTCCTTTCCGTCAACCTACATTCCTTGCACATCATTATCATCACAGTACATCATTTATTCCATTCGCATACCTATTCCAAACCCAGGTCCACCACTACAGGCACTCCTTTCTCTTTTCACTCTCCCACTCTCCACGGCACACACTATCATTACCACGATTTCACCTTCCATTGCTCATTTCCATTACTCTATTACTCATTGCCAAGTACCCATTACCTTGTTGCATCGCATCCAACCGGAGTTGCAGATTGGCGCGGGTGTCTCGTCTCATTTTGTGATTTGCGTGCGATTTGCTTTTCCCATTTTCACATCTTCACAATGGGAATTCTCTTTACTCTGGCCATTTCTTTTGCGCCCTTTTCTACCTTCCTGACTTGACTAGTATTTTTTTCTTCGTCTTCTTCTATTATCATATTCCTCGCTCTCTCTTCGTGTAGATGTCTCTGTTCGGCATATATTTTGTCTTCTCTAGTTTTAGACTGGTTATTGTTATTTGATCAGGTAAAAATGTTCATGCTTTCATTCTCTGGCTTTTATTTGAGGTGTGTGATGTAGTGTATGATCTAAATATGCTCGTGGTTATACAGTGCATGTAGATGCCGATCCCCCGATTCACCCAGTCGGAGAACCCCTTCTCTCCCGTAGATACGTTATCAACAACAAATCCCGAGGAGCATACAGGCATAGGCCGCAAGTCCTTTCACACCCTCACCTTTATATGATCTAGAATGAGTAACCAGAGGCACTTGAAATGGGCAAAAAAGAGGTGAAAAAAGAGAGGCCAAAGTAGGGCCAAAACAATGCATAACACGGTATACTCGCTTCGAGGCCTTCGTGTAGAGCCTGTCCAATGCTTCATGGCACTGTATACATATTTATGACCCCCGTTGTACATACATGTAGTGAACCGAAGAGAGTAAGATATCAGAAACATGCATACACTGTTCACCAGGCAGGACATTAGTGTTACAGTTGTTCTCGCCAATCGGAGTCTATCAATGGCTCCAGTAAATGTATTAGAGTCTAAGTTATGTTGTGTTGAGACTGGGTCTGGACTTATACTGTAGTGTACTTATGCACGCCCGACGAACCGAGGTTTGGTTAATTGGTTGATACCTAGACTGTGTGTGTGCTTAGTCTGAAATTTGGCCCCAGGAGGCTGATGTGACGTACAAGGATTGCAACCTGTTCTTGTTTGGACGTACTTCATAGACCTATTGCTTGGTGTTTGTATCGACTATCAATTGTTGTGTAGAATATTGTCATATAATGTTGGATAATATAAGTAGCGAAATAAATGCTTCTTTCTACAGAATATAAGTTAGCTGCGTTGTATCTTGGTATGGAACAAGACGAAAGGCTATAGAACCAACGGGCACTGATAAGTCGAATCAGGGCTATGACAACATAGACGCCGAGCTCCGGTCAATCCCCTCATTTCATTCAATGAACGTGGAGAAGTATACATCCGAGTTTGAGGTTTGACGTAGCCCCAGGCGAGTATGACGTAGTTCGGGTTGCCGTTACAGTCGGGGCCGAACTACACCCTTTCCCATTCAGCCATGATTGGTTGATGAGTTGGATATCTGCCAGGCTGATATCCAATGAGGTGAGGTGCCAACCACCCAACATGGCCATCCGAGATCCGAATGGCACGATGCGCTGTTGGGAGATATCTTATAAACAGCGAGGTCGCCTCTCGTTGCAATGCATTTATACAGACAAGTTGTACATAGGACGACTGTCCATTCTGTCCTTGCCACCACTCACAGGCCCCCACTTCCCCAGATCCCCATACATATACATGATTGTGGACCCTATACAGTAGTCCGCAACCAAAGTCTACCTCATGGCCTCAAACGACTTCCCGGCCTCTGAGAAGCCCGAGGCCTCAAATTCCAAAGTTTCTTCAATCAAAGACGAAGCCGGTCTACAGAAAGAAAAGAACGAACAAGATCGTGGTGGCGATGCCCACGCCGAACATGCCTCCGACTCCGACGCAAACAGTCACTCAGACTCGGCCAAACTACGTACTGGCGGTAAACCCGAACTCACAGAAGATGACTGCTACGATAAACTTGGCTTCTGCTTTCCATTCTGGAAAAAATGGTCTATCCTCAGCGTCATCTTCGTCGTCCAGATGTCCATGAACTTCAACACTGGGGTCTATGCCAACGCCGTGACGGGCATGACGGAGGAATTCCATATCAGCGAGCAAGCAGCCCGAGTCGGTCAGTGTGTTTTTCTCGTTGCATATGCCTTCGGATGTGAGCTGTGGGCACCATGGAGCGAGGAGTTCGGCCGCTGGCCCATCATGCAGCTCTCTCTCTTCCTGGTGAATATCTGGCAGATCCCCTGTGCCCTCGCACCCAACTTCGGCACCATCGTCGTGTGTCGCATCCTGGGTGGTCTCAGTTCAGCCGGAGGCTCTGTCACCCTCGGCATGACCGCTGATATGTGGGAAGCCGACGACCAAGGCTTCGCTGTAGCCTTCGTGGTGCTCTCCTCCGTCGGCGGCTCGACAGTAGGCCCATTCTTCGGCGGCTTCATCGGTGAATGGCTCTCCTGGCACTGGGTCTTCTGGATCCAGTTAATAGTCGGAGCCGTAACGCAAATAATGCACTTCTTCATCGTGCCCGAAACACGCGCAACAATCCTAATCGACCGCGAAGCCAAACGCCGCCGCAAAGCAGGCGAAGACATCTGGGGGCCAGATGAACTAAAAACCCCTCGTCTAGACCTCCACGATGTCCTCCGCATCTGGATTCGACCCTTCGAAATGTTCCTCCGCGAACCAATCGTCCTCTTCCTCTCCCTCCTCTCCGGTTTCTCAGATGCCCTAATCTTCGTCTTCACCGAATCCTTCACCCTAGTCTTCGAGCAATGGAACTTCTCAACCCTAGCAATAGGCCTAACCTTCGGCTCAATCCTAATCGGCTACCTAATAGCCTATATAATCTTTCTGCCTGACATCTACCGCCAAATGAAAATTCGCCGCGCAAACGGCGCAGCAAGCCGCCTCGCCGAACGCCGTCTCCTCCTCCTCCTCTTTATAGCGCCCCTCGAACCAATCGGTCTCCTAGGCTTCGCCTGGACATCAATGGGTCCACCCATCCCCTGGGTCGCACCCTGCATCTTCGCCTGCCTAATCGCAATGGCAAACTACGCCATCTACATGGCAACAATCGACTACATGGTCGCAGCCTACGGGCCATATTCAGCATCAGCAACAGGTGGCAATGGTTTCGCGCGGGATTTCCTAGCGGGTATTGCCACTATGTATTCGACGCCCATGTACCAGAATATAGGGAGCAAGTATCACCTCCAGTGGGCGAGTACGTTGCTGGGATGTGTTGGGTTCTTGGTGTTGATTCCGATTTATGTCTTCTATTGGAAGGGTCCTGCTATTCGGGCTAAGAGTAAGTTTGCGCAGCAGCTGGCTGCTGATCGTGAGAGGCATTCTGAGTCGAGGAGGGTTAGTTATGCGCGTGCGTCTGTTGGTGCGTGAGGTGTGGGGCTTGGTGAGTTGACGTGCATGAAGTGGGTTTCTTGCGTTATGATACCCTTTTGTATAGATTCATTGTATGTGGTTAATGGCATTTTCTTGTATATTGAGTGTTTGTCATTGATATTCGTGTTGCAGGTCTGTTTCTTGTAGGCAATCTGGATCGACTTCCTGGTGTATGTACCAGCTACCTCCATCGTTAGGGCATTTCCATACGTTGCGTAGACACTACTGTCTTTTTCTACGATATTAACCTTAACTGATAACAGAATCCAATGCTATTGCTGAATGAACACTTACATCCAGACCCCAATACAACCGCAAAAAAAGCATTTATAGGTATCCCAAGAACGCCACAAGTGCCAACTTCTCAATCCCACAAAGCTCCACAAAACTCGAAACCAGAATAGATCGATCATGCAGAGATGCTCTGTATATGCTAACCCCATACCATCTCCAACAAAAGAATCTAGTTCGAGTGTGACTTCTTGACGCGCATAGCACCCTCATAAAGACCACGGTCCAGAGCAGCAGCGACAGTCAAAGTACCACCGATAATAGCACAGACTCCAGTGAGGAAGCCAGTGAAAGTCTTGGGGCGAGCCTCACGGTTGATAACCTTCATAGGAGAGATGTCATAGTTGAAGAAAACACCGGGGATACCACCGCCGGCATGCACACGCTCCTTGTGGCCCTCTGCAGCATCGTTGCCTCCCATAAGGGGACGCTTGTGCGAAGTGACCGAGTACTGGTGCGCCTCGATACTTCCCTGAGAACCATATCCAAGACCCTGGGCACCGAGAGGAGCCTTGTCGTAGGCACTGTGTATGGCAGATGAGAAAAGAGGATCCCAGCCAAGGGGCAGGTAAGAAGTCGAAACGACCTTGACAAAGTACATGAAGTTGTACCCGGGCTCGTCGGTCTCCTGCTGGGTGTCGTCGAGCGGGTTAGTGTGGTGGTGGTCGGACCACTGCCAGCGGTCAGCGAGCTCCGCAGGGAGCTGAGGTCCGAATCGGAGCTCGTGGATAAAGTGGGACATAGTGTGTTGGTCCGAGGGAGGTGCGTTGGGAACGACGTAGCTGTCGAGGTCATGGACGTGCATGTTGCCGGTTGTGAAACTGCGGCCCGGCGCAATGTGGAAATTTCCTACCACCTTGTTCACACGCAGCACACCCTCGATCCGGCATCCCTCCTTGCGCTGTGCGGCGAGCTTTTCTGCGTATCCTTCACGGATGCACTGCTCAATGCCGCCGCCGTCGCCGAAGGCCCACTGCTTCTGAGCGTAGGCCTCGCGCACTTCATCACAAGTGCTGCAGCATCCGGGCTTGATTGCATTCGGGGGTGCGTCTGGTACTCCACCACACTGTCCGCAGTAGTCTGGGGCCAGGTGCTTAGCAGCATCTGCTGGGGAGTGTCTGGGAGATAATGAGTTCATGTTTGCGGTGGAAGGGGTTCCCGAGAGCCATCACTTACAGGTCCAAGGCCTGGACGTCGATAACCTTTCCTCCCTCCAAGTGAGAACTGAGGCGGACCTTGTTCACACCATGTGCGACACCAACCTGCTGTTCACCAGAGACATCCATGACATCCAGTGTTAGGAGCTCACATGGCAACCGAGGGAAGGTCATGTTCAGATGAATCTCCATTCTCTCTCCTGCGTATCAAATACGAATTGTCAGTCATCTTGCCCCAATCTTCTTCAGATGCCATCGTGGGTCCGATCAGATCGAAACTCTATTCATACCTCGCGATTTGTCAACGACGAGCTCTGGTTGCACAACAATGCGTCGATAGTCGGCCCATTCTCCCCATACCAGCCACATGACGATTAAAAGGGAGGCAATGGTGATAACACCGCCGGAGTTTGTGCGAATCCGAGCATCTTCAACGGTCTTGGCGAAGGCGTCGAGCCTTGTGAATCGCGACTTTGCCATTTCGCCAGTCAGTTGACGACCATATGGTGAAGCGCAGGGCTTAGTTAGGGTCCGTGGAGAGTGTGAATATCAGAAGTGCCTGTAAATCAAAGAGAACATGAACACGTTAGCTGGGGATTCATTGAACGCGCACACCTCGGACCCATCGAGTCAATAGACAAAACAACAGTTGAAATTGAATAGAGACAACCATACCAGCAATCCAATATGTGCAAATCAATCCAAATACGGTATTATTCTAGCCGCGAAGGAGTGTGTTTGAGCTAGACAATCCAATGCCAGTCCGACATACCTGCAGCTCAATGTATGGAGATACCATTCAAAGGCCAGAAAACAATCTCTGATTGGTCAATGGCATTGATGAGTCATCATATGTACCACGTGACTATTAACCGCCGCGTCACGTGCTCTTCACGTCACTTTTTGCTTAAACTAGTCGGCCATTGTTCTTGCGTTTATTGACCACTTCTCTGTCGGATTTCTTGGAGTGTTGCACCTGCAACTTCTCTGTGTCATATTTTCTCTCTTTCGTCTACCCCTCGACACCCTCCCTTTCGATTTGCACTCCGCTTGCGACGCTCATTGCATGCTTGCAACTTTTTTTCCGTGCCTGATCTGAGGCGCATCGCGCGCAGCTTCCTTTGCTAGAGCATTTTCACCTTTCAACCACTTTCCTTGCTTTCCACGAATCCTCCTTCATCTTTCCACGTCCTTCGGCTCCACCCAAGAACCATCATGCCGTCGATGAAATCCCGCCGCGGCGGCGGTAGTGACCGCGGGGGCATTCGCAAGCGGGGCCCCACTCGCACCGACAGAGACGGCGATATGGATATGGATGCAGGTGGCTCCCGGGCCAAGGGATCACGTCCTGAGTCGAGCCGCTCTGGCGCTGGTGGTGTTCGCCCTCCAGCTCCACGCTCCGGAGGTACCACTGCAGGTGGCCGAAGTTCTGGCCGAGCTAATCGAGGTGGCCGAGTTCAGTCGCGTGACAAGACCATGGATGCGATTCAGCGTGCGATCGCCAGTACCGAATCGCAGGCCACTATCCGACAGAATCGCCAAAACGACAACAACAGCCGCAAGCGTGAATCGGTTCCATTCAGCGTCCGTGGATGGAAACAGAGCAAGGTAGCTTCCGACAAAGACGGCGGCGTCGGGAGCGTTATCTCATTCCTTGAACGACGTCTCAACTCCCTCACCAAGACTGGTCCTCGCGCAAGAATTACAAAGGTAAGTCCAACACTCGAAATGGCGGTCACCAACTTCAATCCTCGACATCCCCCGCTACCGTGTCCTCTCGTTTCCGAGGCTGGTCCTCTTACCGAACGATCATCGACACTTTTTGGGCTTTTTGGCTTTTCCTCCACTGGGTGACCCCAGGTCAAGGTCCTTTGGCACCTTTCTAACTTTCAACTAGTCGCGCGTGGAAGGCGACACAGTTGTGGCATTTGTTCATCCTGATCTTGTCGACACAATGCTCCGAATCAACAACAACACCTTTGCTGGAATCAATATCAGCGTTGAGCCGTACGACCCCAACACTATGATCGATCATGAAATCGCCGCAGTGGAAACTGGTCCTGGCTCGACTGCCGATACCAAGGCAAAGATGACTACCATCCTTAGCAAGCGATTCTACCCCGATACCAAGCTTCTCGATATGTCGAAGCTGGCCAGCGACCCCGATCTGCAGGCCATGGGTATCTTCAACACCACTTCTACCGAGTCCAAGTTCTTCCCTGCTCTCATGAAGGTGTGGGACATGGGTTTCAAGAGCCCTTCTGAGAGACGAGCTGCAGTTGAAAGCGCCAGCCTTGCAGACAATCAGCTGAACAACATCACTGTTGTTACAACCCTCGCCCAGGCTGTTCCCGATATCAAGAACCTTGATCTTTCCAACAACAACTTGAAAGATGCCCAATCAATGATTGGATGGCGGTGGAAATTCCGCAGCCTCGAATTTCTAGATATGACCGGCAATCCTTTTTGTGCCGATCCCGAATTCAAGGACACTATGCTCAAGTGGTACCCCAGGCTTCAAAAGCTCAATAACGTTCAGGTCCGCACACCCGAGGAGGTCGCTGCTCAAAAGAAGACACCTATTCCGGTTCGCCCTCCCCACTTCCTAGATGAATCGCAAATCGGAGAGACCTTCGTCCGTGGGTTCTTTACTGGCTACGATAATGACCGCAACACCGTGATCAACAATGTCTACGACGAGAACTCAGTCTTCTCACTCAACATCAACACCTCAGCCCCCAGAGCTCCCAACAGCGAAACAGCAGCCTGGGATGAATATATCAAAAAGAGTCGCAATCTGCAAAAGATCAACCACCTTAGCGCTCGCATGTCGCGCTCGTTCAAGGGTGCTGAGAAGATCCGCGAAGTTTGGAATGCACTCCCTCCAACTCGCCACCCCGACATGACCGCTTTCCCCGAGAAATGGCTCATTGAGTGCAACCCAGTTCCCGGTCTGCCTGATCCCACTGGACAGAGCCCCACCGGAGTGGGTGGCCTTCTCCTGACGATCCATGGACACCTCGAAGAGAGCGTTGGTGGAAAGGTCGAGATGCGCAGCTTCGATCGGACCTTCGTCATTGGCCCTGGTGCGGTTCCTGGAGCTATACGAGTGGTCAGCGACATGTTCTGCCTTCGCGCCTACGGTGGACACGAGGCCTGGATCCCCGAGACCCCGGAAATTCCTCAAACTATTGCTCCCCCTGCTCCGGGACCTGTCCCAGCCGCTCCGGGTGCAGCTCCCGGTGTTGAGCAGGCTCAGCGCGAACAATTGATTGCGCAGATGAGTGCCAAATCTGGCATGACCCCTCAGTTCTCGGAGATGGCCTTGTCGAGCAATAACTGGAACCCCGAGCTTGCGTGGAAGAATTTCGAGCAGCTAAAGGTAAGCGCATATATTTCTCCCCTGGCGTTATTCCGTCATATACTAACGACCTTTATAGGCGCAAAACCAGTTGCCACCAACTGCTTTCCTTGCTCCTGCGTGAGCTTTGCTTCACTCCCCGTTTAGATTCCCATACACTTGCGCTTTGGCTTGGTTGCTTTCGTTTTTAGCTACACATATGCACCCCGAAAAGGGTTGCACGTACGATGCATCGGATTGTGTTTTCTTTTCTAAATGTTTCAATATTTGTATTTGCATGGCTCCGGCGATGGGGGACAATTGTCATACTTCTGGACATGGGCCAATGGGCCAAAACCTAAAACAAAAAAATGACAGACAAACATTACATAGTCTATTGACTCTTTGTTCGTAAATGGAGTAAATTGGGGTTGGTAGGTAGCAATATCTAAGTTATGTAGGTAGCTATACGTACTTGATTTCCTCTGCCGGGTGGGGCTTTCCTATCTTAGCTGCCGCCGCTTTTATGAGGGCGCTCAGAGTCAGGCTCACTGAGTAGATTTCAGTCCGGGCTCAGACTCACTGAGCTGCTCAGGCCAGTCACGTGATTGATCAGTGAGGTCCAATGAACGCTCAGTGAGCGCTCAGTGAGTCTGATTGGATGCTCACTGATCGCTCACTGATTACTCAGAGACCGCTCAGAGTCATCTATTGAGCACCCAGTCTACACTCAGACCATACCCAAAGAAGGCACTCGCCCCACAATACTATTTACTCTGCGACTACTTTTTGATGGCCATCAATTTTCACCATGCTCCTCCTATTTCTGGAGGTGCATGATCTTCCAGTCTCATTCCGCTCTCAAAAGTAGCGCACTCAGCCATGATGACGCAAAACTGGAAGGCACAGAGTCCATCTGTCACGGGGAGCTGCTGGAGAACAGTCTCGGGTCATATCAAATTACTGAATTATAAATTGGAACTATTTTCCTGCTTCAATCCTCCAAAATAGCTTTCTCTGTTTTCTACCTCGTCCTTTCAGATTCTCAGCCTTTTTCTTGCATTGCGTGGGAAATCAAACTGGCCATGGGTAGAAAACAGTTCTTTGCTCAACGAGATGAGATCGCCAAAGAAAAGCGCCACAATCAACTGCAAAAGAACGGCTATGTTTTTGGCGCTCATGCAGATGAGGATTCTATCCGAGAGAAGGATAAAAGGGTACCCAAGACCAAGAGGATGTACTACGGAGCTGTTAATCTTTGGATGAAGTGAGTTGACGTGCAGTTGTACTTGAAAAATACCGGGATAATGAGTTACTGACTAGTGCAGGTTCGTTGAACAGTATAGGATCGAGGGCTACAAACCGGGGCCAGGCTGTGCGATCCCAGACCATACACTCATCAAAGAATTTCTTCGGTGGTACAGTCACTCAGCGCGTGGGAAAAAAAGTAAAAATGGACGGCCAGTGATGACATCAGTTCTCAATTGCGCAGAAAGGCTGTTTGGAGGATTTGAAGAGAAAATGGAAATCAAGATTGTGTTGGAAGACCGGAAAGAGATATCCAGTGTAAGCCCTTATTTGGATTTTACTTTCTGTGTTCCGCAATGGAAGCCAAACTAATTGCGACACAGTGGGTAAAAAGAACATTGACAGAAAATGAAAGAACGGTTGAGAACGTCGAGGATCCAGACCACAGCTTTACGAAGAAGGACTTTCTCCGAATGATATCCTCTATGTGGCAAGCGGATCATCGCATTTTTATGCCCGGGTTGCTCAAGGCTATCATGACGTTAGCCCTTCAATTATACCTCTTCACCGGAGCAAGGATTGGAGCATTCATACCGGCCCATGAGGACAGAGACGAGAGAGGCCTAAGATATAAGGTAGGAAACTACGATTTTGGGGCTGTGCGTGGCTAATTTTCCAAACAAGGACATCGATCTAGTCTTGTTTCCATCTTCTACGGCACCTTGGAAGGTAGAATGGAAAATTAACCAAGTGTGGCTCAAAGGGAACCGAAACCCAGACTACACAGTGTAAGCAATCTAAACAGCCTTGAGATGGTTGGCTTGAATTGAGGGCTTACTCGTTGACTGTATTTTTAGGTTCGGAATCGGTATTCGTGACACCAAGAGACCGCAATTCGCCTCTGGTTATATACTCCTAGCTATTGCCCTCCAGCACGGTGCTCTGTATGGCATTGAAACCGTTGAAGACTTTGCCAGGTTTGACCTTTCAGGCGGAGAACCCATTGAATTACGTTGGAAGGAGGAATTTCTGGAAAAGCCTGTTCTCAGGAATGTCACAGCTGATGGCCCACAAGATGTTCCACTCCACAAAGAGCGGTTCTGTGAATTATTGAGAGGAATAGTTACGACCGCTGGATATAACAAGAGTGTTACTATCCATAAGATTCGAAAGTATCTCGGAAGTGTGGTTGAAGGTGAGTGCATCCAAATTTCACAGTTCGCTGAAGGAAACAGATTTGCTGACTTCTGGCACAGGAAAGCATGGCTCAGCCTTGGTATCTCAAATATATGGACACAAGGACGCAGGGACATATCCTAAAGAGTATCTGTTACACTGCTCTTCGATCGATACAGTCTCGGCCGTTCTTGGAGAAGAAGAGCAGACAAGTCATATCGAGTATTTCCAAGGCTTTGAGAGGTTTTATGAACGTGGACTTCCAGGGGAACTGCCGGCTGAAATTGAGGCGAGTATCCTGCAGACCCCAGAAGTCGTCGATATTAGACGTCGAATCGAGCAGCTTGAAGCATCAAACAGCGACAAAAAGGTTACAGCTGCCGAGAAGCTGAACCACAGGAAAACCTTGATCCGGCTCCGCCTTGCAGGACTAAAGGAATACCAGAACCGCTGGGTACGAGAGAAACGAGACCAAAGAATCCTCAATAGGGGCAAAGCAGAGCCGGTAATAAGTGATAACGACGTTTCCACGCGGGCTCAATCCTTACTTATGCCCGAACTTGCCCACATTTCAACCCTCATGTCTTCTGACAGGGAGCTCTCGTTTGATGAAATGCTTCTTTTCGTGGACGACCTAAAAACTTATTGTGAACACGATTTCGACGTGGCTTATCTTCCACGGGAAAGCCCCATCCAAGATCGCTGCCCGGTTAGAGATTGTCTCCAGGAAATCAAATGGTGAGTGGTCCCAAAATATAATTCTGAAATACATGCTGATTTTCCTAGTATGAAAAAGTCTGACAGAAGCGCTCACATTCACAACTGTGTTCGACGTGAGAAGGCTCTAAATCTTAAAATCTCAGAATCAGAGTTGAAATTCTGTTACGAGTGCATGGGATGGTTTCAATCAAGCCAATGGCGAGATCACTGCTCTTCTCATATTCAGTCATGGAGGACACAGCATTGTGAAGTGATTATATACCGAAACACAGTGATCCGGCCTGGTTACTGCCCCTTTTGCTTGTGGGACATAGACCTCGAAGCAGAAGACCGATTACATCAATGGTTGAAAAGTGGCAATCTGAAGCAACACATTGAAGAAAAGCATATACCTGGAAGCCACGGGCCTGGAGCGGAGCCAATTTGTGGATGTGGCCAAGCTTTTGCCGATGAGCGTGACCTTCGACATCATTTGCATGACACCCACAAGCTGAACAAAGCTATTTGGTCAAATCCAAAGCTTCCGAGAAAGAGAAAGCGTCCCTGCAAGGCAGAAGCGCAAGATTCTTCCATGAAGCGAGATGAGCAGCTTACGAAGAAACTACGCTTTTACCGCTACCCCCCTCCGCGTCTTGAACATGAGTATCAACTGCCAGAAAACATATCCATGCCCGTTCCCACATTGCATTCATTTGTCGAGGAACATCCGGAGCAGTTCTTCTATTCAAGTCTCAGTGACGAGTCAACTAAAAGCAGCAGAAGCAGCCCAGTTGTTTCTTGCTTTTCTCGTTCAAGTTCACCATGCAGCTCGGATCCAACAACTCCCGGATTGGAGGAATTTATTGACCCTCGAATCCTTGAGCCTTATACGATCGATGAGAACCAGGGACCTCAACCATGTGATCAAGCTTCCATGCAACCAAACCCTCTGCATGAGCATGACATCAAGGACAAACTGTTTGGGAATGCGACGCGCCCACAGCCTCCCGGCCAAAGCCTTGCCGTTCAACCGAATCCTGCTTCTAAGATCAGTGATCTTCGAATCCTCGATACCTCTGATCCCCGCGTGGAGAATGTGCGCCAGACTTGTGAGCAGGTTACTTCTCAGCTGAGCTTGGTCAGTGGCTCTCCACATGCGATGGTAATCAAACCAATGCAGTCACTTTACTCTCCCCCAGGCTTTGTGACCAGCGAAGAAAACAAGAACGAAGACTTGCTAAAAGATTCTGGCTCCTTCACATCACACGGTAACGGACGTTCTTCTACAGAGTTTGAGAATCAAAACCATTCTCCTACCCATCAAGATCAAACGCTACCTCGTGATAGGAATCAGGCCATTAGCCTCCGCAGACCTCTCACTAGGTCCCAGGCAAAACAGCAATCGACTCAGCACTGTCTAGATCATGTGGACAAAACAAAATCACGAAAGAAACTCAACACAAAAGATAAACGAAAGCTGTTTGACTTCAAGAGTCAGAAGATGACCCTGAGGCAAATTGGACCTTATTTCCCCGATATTGATACGGTCTTCCTGCGGCAAGCTTGGGCGGACATCAGGCTTCCTGACCGACGCACAAGATCAAGGGTGAAGTAAAGCAATAGGTTTCCATTGTTGGTAGTATTATACTGTGTTTTAATTAGAGTGTATATTATTTGCTTTTCAGCGACGCAAATGCAACCAGGTAATACCATTTTTTTGTAAGGGTTTAGCCCCCTCTCGAGCCTATAAGGGATTCTAGCTCCAGGTAAGACCAAGTTTGTCAGAGTTCGATACATCTATACCAGATATTATTGGTTCGCTCATTCGGACGATATCTGACATCAAGAGAATAATATTAAAGAACACTTTTTGAAGCATGTCTCTTCAATTCCCCTTTCTCAACCAATATTGTTGGAAAGAATGCGCCGCGTGAAGATTGAATCTAGAAATCCAAGATGTCGTTATAAGCGAGTGGGTAGTTGACAACTGTATGTTTAAGACATGGATTGGCGTAATATGAAAGGAAGCCCATTACAAGGTCCGGTCGTCACACTGGAGAATTTGATATTACCATTACCAGGGCCTGCACCGCCACATTTGTTTCTGCGTAATGTTCTGTAAGTAATGTATTGTAAACATATGGTTTGGTCTTGTATGATACTTAGTCAGCATAGGTAGGCTAAGGCAAAATGAAGGCAATCAAATGACCACTATGTGTATTCCTCACTGTGCGTATACCTCACTATGTGCATTCCTCACTATGCGTATTCCTCACTATGCGTATTCCTCACTATGCGTATTCCTCACTATGCGTATTCCTCACTATGCGTATTCCTCACTATGCGTATTGCTTGAGCACACTATGCGGGTTGTTCACTATGCGAATTGCTCACTAGGCGGATTGCTCACCATGCGGATTAACTATACATATTGTCCACTTTGCGAATTTCTCACCATACGGATATGTTATGCCAAAGCTTAGGTTATTTAATTGATGACACGAAAGCAATGCACGGGCTGTACTATATGGAATGCAGGAAAGAAACATTTCATTTCACGCCCCCTTTTCCTAATTTTATGAAATCATGGCTCTCATACATGTTGGACCACGATAGATGAATTTTTTTGATCTAGAGAGAGACAGTTCTTTCCCAATGGCTCTGAGCACCTTTTACCCACGGACAGGTAGACACAACTCAATTCCACACCAGCACGAAATTATTTCGCATTAGTCTTTGTCGCGACGGGCCAAATTAAAAATTGAAAAATAAAAAACATCATGGTGACCGCAGTAAAGTCAGCTTCAAGGTATTGAACACCAGTAATGGGTGAATACTGCGTTGATTGAAGACTATGGTGCTGTGGCAAATCTCAATGGATGCCCGGTGTTATTCATCCCTGCAGCGACAGACATAAAGCCTGAACACCTCCTCCGGCTGACCAAAGTGAAGGCATGAAAAAGGGATGGATTTTGACAGGCTATCGACTGTCTAAACTAAAGCAAGCTTCTACACATTTACACAACTATCTCTCCACATGACTACCCGGCTGTTGTTTCTGGCATTAGCCGCCGTGGTCAATGCCAACCTTCAGATATCGCGATCCACTGAAGATCTTTGTGGCTTGCTCAGTATTTGGGAAGGATCTGGGAATGTGATGAGCTCAGTGCATTCTTTATGGGGCGGTCATGAAAGATCGCTCTTGCTTTCCGAGAATTGCGCAGACGATCTAGAGACAGCTGTTGTGAATTGTGGGTATGAGAACCTAGTAAAAAACAAATGGCTAACAGCTGCGGAGGTATGAACAGCTCAGGCTTTCATTGTAGCGAATTTTCAATATCGATTAAAAACGCAAAACATCCTACGAAAGGGTCTATGAGTGTGCCTTTGGACCGAAAATCCCACTCTTACCCGGAATCCTTACCCGGCTGCATTTGTCCTGCTCCAGAGTCCTCGTCAAAGTCATCGTTTTCCACGGCTCATGCGTTTACGGTAATGAGTGCATCCCCAGTTACTGCAACAGGTCCAAGTGTGAGCCCCTCAAAAGCATCTTCTTCACTTACCCTCGTTGGGTCCGATACTCAGAATGTTGTTTACTGGGGTCAGAACGGTGCTAGTGCTGTTGAGAACAATGACTTGACCACCTACTGCAAGTCAAATTCCGACATAGATATCATTGTACTCGCCTTCTTGAACCAGTATGGAAATGGTCAGACCATTCCATCTGGCTCAATTGGCCAGTCATGCTCCATATCAACGTCTGGTGAGCCTCGGGAATGCGATGCCCTAGCCGCGGCTATCCAGCAATGTCAGTCAAATGGGATTAAGGTGATATTGTCCTTGGGTGGTGCAGTAGGCACCTACTCGCTCTCATCCCAACAAGAAGCCGAGATTATCGGACAGAATCTATGGGAAGCGTATGGCAATACGGACGGGAGCGATATCCCCCGACCCTTCGGTAGCACCTTCGTCAACGGCTGGGACTTCGATCTTGAACGTAATAGTGGCAACCAATACTATCAGTATCTGATTAGCAAATTACGCTCTAATTTCGCATCTGACTCCTCTAATACTTACTACATCACTGCTGCACCGCAGTGTCCTATACCAGAACCTAACATGCAAGAGGTCGTCACCAAGGCCCAATTTGACTACTTGTGGGTTCAGTTCTATAATAATCCTAGCTGCTCTGTCAACAATGCAATCAATTACGATCAATGGGTGTCCAATATCGCGAACACTCCCTCTCTCAATGCCAAGATTTTTATTGGCGTACCAGCATCTCCATTTGGAGCCACGGGCACCCAGAGCGGCTCGCAATACTACCTCGCACCGAGCGATCTCGCCTCCCTTGTCAGTCAGCACAAGGGCGATACCGCCTTTGGTGGAATCATGATGTGGTCTGCTAGCTTCTCTGATGCAAACGTTAATAATGGATGCACCTACGCCCAGGAAGCTAAGCACATCCTTAGCACTGGCTTGCCTTGTTGAAAAAGCTAATTGTTGTTATGCGAAGCTGGTGCAGACCAGGAACCAACCCACGTCGTCGGAAATATTGTTTAGCAACCTTTACAAAGGACTCAACTTGGATATACATTATTTTCGTATTCATGATTCATAAGTTCCCATCAAACACTTTCTCTTGTCCGGTTTCGTTTGATCACTTTGTACCGAGGCCCACGTTGAGAAGTGCTGTTGCGCAGGGAGGAAGGAAGTGAAGGGCTGCCGCTCGTCTCCCGAGCCGGTCGAATAGAGCTGGGCTGGCCGCGAAGAAAGGAACCATGATGATAGGCACCCCCGACTTTGTGGAATCCATAGTAGTATAGCCGCCGAACGAGCGACTGGTAGCTTTTTGTATTGAGCCTTGGGAGCAAATGGGCAGGGAACGTGCTTTCTGGGGCAATGGAAACAGATTGCCCATCTTCCGACCAGCGCAATGCTTCGCCATTCTTTGGATCATCAAGAACACTTTCACGTATTAATTGACAAGTTAATGTTTCAGTTGTTGCTTCACTTACTCGCTCAGGCTTTGGATAAAGTCGGATGCGTGTAATCTGCATCCCGATCTTGTGTCGCGCCCAGGTTGTAAACCATCCCGTTGAGAATTGTTCCTCACAATGGCAACAACTGGTAGAGCTGGTTCATTTGGCTCTATATCAACTGGCTGAGCCAATCCCTCATTTCTACCGTAGCGGATAGTAGTAGGGGCAAATGGGGAATCTCGGCCACCCAAGTTTTCATCTTCTGTCGAGGCATGCGCGTCAGAAACACCTTGAGTTGTAAGAGAGGAATGAGCACCATCAAATGGCAGGTCAATTGCCTTGGGCTTGATGTGATTCTGATTCTCAGAGAGCTGAGAGACTAAATCGTGATGGTTTCGGAGACACTGCTCAACAAGCGAGATTTGTTCCAAAACTATATTCCTCAATTTCAGATTCAAATATAAAACTAAGGGATCAATCCTTAAAGCGCTCACCTTCACTTATCGTTTTCCGAGAATCAGCAAGCTCGTGCAGTGCCATCTTGCTCGATTCAAGCTCCTTCATGCAATCGTCTTTATCGGGCCAAGGAGAGAGAAACCGCCAAGGTCTACCGGAGTGTAGGAGTTTAAAGTCACCCTTTGGCAGCTCGACGCTGGAGTCACCGACCTTGAGCTGCGCTGGACCCTCATAATGAGGACCTGCAAAGAGAACAAGCTTCGTCCAGGTCACAGGTGGGCCTTCCCTGACGAACGGTGTTGTAGTCGAGAAAAGGCTCTCTAAGTTCTTGCTTAGGCCGATGCTAGCTAGATATTCTCCACGGCCAAGGGCAATACTGCCGCCGTCATTGATCACCGACAAATGGTTCCTCAATTCGGTATAGAATTCAGAGACGGAGATATTGGCAAGTCTGAGAGGGTTTAGACCATTGTCATGAATTTGAGAAATGAAGTTGTTTACTATGTTCTCAACAGGTTGGCAGGTTTCACGGGCGGTCATTTCGTTGAAAGGGGTGGTCACTATCTCACAACCGAAGACTGACACCATAAGAATCTGGGGATGTCGTAAGCGACCTACTAAATCGGGATAAAGATATTCCGCATTACTAATCCGTCACAAGATTAGGCCACTGACAGCCACTAACGTTAATTAGTTGACTAGCTACTCAAGGTGGTGTGTAAGGTAAACTCATATTTTCCCTTTATTTCTTTTTGGCTGAGGTGGGGAATGGAGCGGAGAAGAAGCAAAATGCGGGAAATTAAAAGGCTAAGGACTCGCAATTGAGGTTATTAATTGAGAGAGTAGACGAGGCAGACATTTTGGGAACAAGGGACATGGATTATTGCAGATCCAGGTCACAGGAGAATCCTTTTGTGAAATGAAACGGAATTCTTGCGTGCGCCTGGGATATGGTAAAGTTTTCAGGTCCCGCGGCAGCTAACCCAATGTCCCTTCAACAATTCCAGTCAAGCGAATCTACTATTGAGGCTAGCCCTAGAGTAACAACAATCTCAACCCCCTGGCCTATTTCGTCGAATTCGGTTCCACCACCTTCCCCCCTCCTTTCCTTCTCTTTGAAACCATGGCGACCGTGTTGATCACCAACGACGCGACGGGATTGGCCACTTCGGGCTAGCGCGGTCGTAGTGGTTTTGGGGGCCAAGATTATTTGAGAAGCACGGAAAGTCGTTTCAGCTCTCACCGTAATTCGGTTCCCACAAGATGTGCCGGCTTCTCGACCTGCCCCCGGAGATGGTCGTCCGGGTATTTGAGTCTCTTGATAACATAGACGACGCCTTGCATCTTGCTCGATGCTGCAATTTATCCATTCTGTTTTTGACGCGCCGAGCATTCGGTTGAAGATTTTCAGGTCCATAATTGTATGGTCGACCACTTTCATTGACGAACTGCCGACTGTCTGACAATGTAATAGACACACGCCCCACAACATCACTATGATCTTGCCCTCAATCAGTCTATTGGCATGTATGGCGGCTTCTCATCTGAGTTTTACAGCAAGCCATCTATTCCAGCAAATCCCGACCGCCGCAGATGGTATCTCAACATGCTGAAACCACTGGAATGCGGGGAGGTCATATCCGATGGAGTTGTTTGGGATGTAGTATGCCGATGGCAAGGGCTGCGTCTGCTTTTTGATCTTTACGTTGATACGGCAAAAAGGAAATCTTATGTGAACTCGGTCTTTTCATATTCAACCGGTTTGGGTATGGCAGACAGAACGGAAGAGTCGGCTAGCGAAGGGGATTTGCCGAAGCCATCCCAGATTCCTAGCCCATGCGCAAATGCAATGATTCCAGGGGACAGAAAAAGCGCCTATGAACGATTCTACAAGGCATTGACCGCACACTGGGTTGCCATTGAAAAACCCTCTGGAAAGTCAGAACTCAGGTGTGGCCAAATGCCCAACAGTTTGATAGCGCATTTGAGTCCGCCGTTGAAGTGTGGAGCAATAACCCGGGGAGGCCGCTCAAAGAGAAGATGGACATCATTGAGATAGTTGACTTCGTATGGGGCTTTCTCGGACGGAAGGCTTTCCATGTTGCTAGCGTCCCCTCTTGGATTGAAGGTGAAGGTGACCTAGTCAGAGAGCAATATCTCGACCAGGACGAAACCGAAGTCGGGAATTGGGGCTTCTTTGTACGAGGCGTTATTCAATTCTTGAGACCACCGCAAATCATCGAACTAGTTCTCTCATCTTGGTACTCGTCGGATTGGAGCCACGATCGACCGGGGTTTATTCGTCATTTGGGGCTTTTCGATACGTGGGAAGGTATACTTGTGGATGCTCAAGACGGTCCATCATGCGATAACTGGGTCCCGTTGAATACCGTGGATGACGACGTGGAAAATTCACTTACCTGCGCTGTTAAAACGGAGGATATTGGGAAGCAATGGGAAAGCTATAGGAATGTCCTGTGGCCATCGAAGATAAGAGGCCATTTGTTTCTTCGACCCACAGCCGAGCGAGAGATTCTGAAAAAGATCACAAGGACAAGGGTTGGTCAATAGAGAAGGCGCCAAAAAAAAGTGGTTTTTTTTTTGTGATTCCCTGGCTCTCACCCTCTCTTCTTCTCCTCTCTTTCTCTCTTTCTCTCTCTCTCTCTCTCACACCTATTTCGTGATTGATCCACTCATCTTCATTCACTCATTTTGTACCTGTTCCCAAAAATCGCCCCACTATACAATATTTTTTTCAATTATTGAGGATGTCAACTCAGCCCTCGAGCACCAGCACCTTGATGAACTTTGCGAAGACAGTGCCTTTGTTATAGTACAGTACTTCCGGAAACTGGTGTCACCACCTACACTCTTCAACTCATTCTCGAACCCTAATGCCAAGGTAAGCTAGTCCGTTCTGAGGACCCTCCGAACTACCCCTGTCTTTACATGAAATATTGTATTGTATCAGTACTAAGCATAACAAACCTCTTCGTACCTTGATGCCCCTCATCTCCCAGGGCCAGCATTAGGCATCCATCTGGTCAGCCTCCCCCCGCAACGAGGCTGAACTGACGCCCTCCTCTTTCCATTTCTGCCATCTCCCTGATGCGACTATATTTTTGAGAAACAATTCTATGTTCGAGTCTGCGCGACCGACTGGCTATCAAAATGGCTGATCCACTCTCGATCGCAGCTGGGATCATCAGGTTCCTCTCATCTGGGATTCAAGTCACGCAAAGTTTGGTTGATTTTTATTCTGTTTACAAAGACCGGGACACCAATCTTGCAAAAATCACGCAAAATATTGAAAATCTTCAAAATACTTTTCGAGCCCTGGAAATTGCAGTCCAGCATCACCAATCTCAGGCCAACGCGGAAGAGCTACTCCAAGAAGTCGGCAAGGCCACACAAAAATGCCAGAAAATCCTCATGGAGCTCCAGATGGAGTGCCAGAAGCTCCACACAGACTCGGTCGCCGATGTGATAGGTAGTCACCGAGTTGCAGGACATCGCGCCGCCTATCCGTTCCGGAAGAGCACCATACAGAAGATCGAAGAGGATATTGGCGAGACACGTGAAGCCTTGTCGTTCGCACTGGACGTCTTACAGCTCAAAAGCCACAGTCGTATTGAAGATGAAAGCTCAAGTGCTTGCGAACACATCTACCGTGCTGGTGACTGTCAGAGCGATATGTCAGACGCGCCATCTATTTTTTCTTTGCCGAGCAGGCAATCAACCTCTCTTACCACAAACACTCATCTCACCGCCGAAGAGATGCATTCAGCAATAGACGAGCTTGTCGGCATATTCCTGGAAGACAAGGAATTAGCAATTCTCTACAGAGAAGCCATCCTCGAAAGGCGTATTGCCCGGTCACGCTTCGTCCGCAATTTCAGAAGACTTCTCAAGCGTTTTGCAGCGGGCTTAAAAGAGGAAGCCGGGGAAGCAATTGATCTTGACCTCGCGAATCTCATCTCGTCGAAAGCTGGCCTTGTTGCTGATAAAGTAGGAAGTAAAATTGAGCAGCAGTATTCTCAACCAGACACCATAGCCGCCCGAGAAAAAGTTGAATACGAAGCACAAGATGCGAGTAGTGCCGACGAGGATGGGGATGGACAGGAGCGAGCACTTGATGAAAAGTTCCCCGCACTGGTGTCCCACGGCCGCAGTTTTATCAAAGAGAGCATCGCCTTCCAAAAGCTTCAGGAGGAGTTCAAAAGTTTCATCATGCCGCCTAGGCTGAATGAAGGGCCTAATAACGAGCCTTTTGTCGATGTTGAGTCGTGGTTTAAGAGATGGATTCGTGCTATATCTCCCAGGTCTCAGGCCTTAGACCCCAAGTACGAGGCGCCAGGGTTGGCGAAAAGAGTACAGGATCTTAAGGAGCTCCTCGCTGAGATTGGATTGGTGGAGAAGGGTATACCAAAGAATCATCAGCGATTTAGGTGGACAAATGTGGGTATTATCATATTCTATAACTTCAACATCTGCTAATGCTTGATAGCGACATGGCAAAAAGCTCTATGACGACTATATCGTGCATGAACCAGGTGCAATCCAGGCTCTGCAGGAATATCTAGATGCAACAACCGTTCCACCCGGTCCAACAAATGCAAGTCCCATCAGCAGTCAAGCACAGGCTTCCTCTCGCGCTGCAAACATGTATACCCCCAATCCAATACCTCTGTCTGCAGCCATCTCTACTTCCATTGATATCACTGATCAGTCAACACCTACTCCCAAAGGTTTCCAAACAGACATTACGCAACAAAATATTGAATCGGGAGTTTCATCCACACGTCCACTTCGGCTTCTATCTTGCATAGAAAGAAGAGGTCGTCCCGTCAAATTGCATCAAGAAATTATCACGCACGTCACAAATGACCGAGAGTTATTCCATGCGTTACGAAAAATATACTACAATCACAGAAGAAAGTTCGAATCATTCTGGTCATTGCGGACACTGCATAGTATCCATTTCATGAAGGTAAGTTAGGAATCATCAATATCCAAGGATTCTCATACAGAATCTATGGGTAGTTAGTCCGACATCATTTATTATGGAGTCAATATCTAGTTCTGCAACTACGAAGCTAATTTCTCAATGTTGATTAGTTCTGGTACGGTGGTCACGGACTTATCGACGTCCGTTGTCACCCCGAGCCCTGCGAGCCCGGTAAACCCTGTGCCTGCATCCCACCGGCCCACCTTGTTGCGCCGCAGGGCAAAGACTACGCGTGCCAGCCGATCCCCTCCCAGCGGTCACCACCTTGGGGTCCTAAAATATTGATGGACTTTTTCAAAGATCCGGATAGCCGGAAACCTCAGGCAGATACAATTCTACAGCAATTGCCAAAGAAAATTACCACAGAGGCAGACTTAGATAGAGCGGAGATGATAGAGGCGTGGGGAATCTTTTTCCGGGAGGATTGGGATTGGATGCGGATTTGGGTTGTGCTGGGAATTGCGTTATTTCCGCCGAGTCTTTTGTTTGGGATTCTGTGGGGAATTTTGAGGCAGGATATTCAGGGGGCGTTTGGGGTGGCGAGTTGGTGGATGGCAGGGGCGACTATTGGGGTTGGGATTATTGGGACTTGTACATAGAAACAAACTGCATCAGCCCCACCCTGGCGACAAGATCAGCTCTCAGACATGAGCCATGTACATGCGTTCGGTAAATTCCTGTATGGAAGATGATACAGGAATATTAAAACTCCGGAGCTATATCTTCTAGGTTAATCAGTCTTGGCATTAGGGTTCGAGAATGTGTCGAGGAGTGTAGGTGGTGACACCGGTTTCCGGAAGTACTGTAGTGCTCTGAATAGTGATCCTTTCATAGTCGATTGTTAGACTATCGGATATTAGCAGGAATTTTAACAACCCAGCAACCAAACAGACCCCATGGCCAGATTTACATGCGAGAGCAAATCACGTAAGTTGGAGTATTATACCGATAGTTCTACGGGGTGGGCTAAGATACCCATATGCTTCAGTAGGATGATCTATCTTATATCGCTTTCTCATGCCACGTGGTTCCATAGCAAAACTAATTTGATATAGGTTCTTTTGGGTACGAATATCGGCCTCGTTGGCCATGTCCCGGTCTGCTGCTGTCGGTAGGTGATAGCGCCTTTTCTGAAGGCCTGGACAATCAGTACCTTGCTGAGTGGGTGATCTGTGAGCTTGTCTGCATACTAGTCCGTATCAGGTTACATAGTAATCAAACTCTGTTTAGCCGTATCGTGTTTCTTAACGTATAATGTTTCTGCGTCAGATAGCCGCCCAGCACCGATAATCTATTATTAGATGGTTACTAATTTTAGAACCGACGCCTATGGTCGAATAATATACATCTCATTTCCTAAGAAAGAAACCCTCGAACTGTTTCAGTACTTGATCTGAAACGTTGGCACGACAGAAAATACAATAGAGCAGTGACATGGGTTTTACGTGCCGGGTCAACGATGAACATTGTTCCTGATTGGATACATGCATCCGCCTCAAACAACACTTGGTATGCAGGTTCTGGGGGCATCACTGAAGTGAAGGATGGTGAAATGTGATCGGGGCATCATGTATCTTTTGTTGGGCAGCTAAAGTGAATGTGACAGTGTTTGAGCGTTTATATTTAGTGAGCCTAAACCCATCTACCTGAACAATAAACTGATAAAGGAGTTCGTCCTTCCTATCGTTCTCTACTTTGACGATTATTTTGTGAGATATGCCGGTTACAGTATTTGACCTGATGCGGGAGCCGAGTCGTCCGCCCCTCACTGTCGATAACGAACTTACTGTCACTACAAAACCGTGGACGAGGGAATATCATGACTTTTTGGAATCTGATGTCACAGTCTGGCCTCCGACTTTTCCAGCCATTGACGAATTCCTGGGCCCTCATAATGACGGACATTCAAGCGCTGATTATATCGGCCTTCAGACTCCCGCTCATATGTTAAACATGTTCAAACATGAGGTCGAAAGTGAAGCCGATGTGACGATGGACTTCAACCACCTCATGGTCCCATGCCTTGCGAAAGCTTTTTCTGGTGCTTCTGCACTTACTAGTCAGGGCCGCCACTCAGCTGTTTTGCCTGGTGCTCCCCTCCTCTGGCCACGATCACAGGTTGGACCGACAGGATCGACAATTTCCTCAGCGATGGTTGATTACCAAATGACAATGCCACACTCAGGACGGGATCTTGAGCGCGCTGCTATGATCGGGGAAATGAAAAGGCCCCTTACTGTCAGGGGAAGGGAATGGGGATCCCCGGGACCCGTTAGTACAGCGACCACCAAACTCCAAAGAGAGCTCAGAGGGTATGATAACACGTTTCACTTCTTTCTCTCATTCAATATGCATGTAACTGACTACTAGAAGGTACGCTTACGTATACGACTGCCCTCAAGTCTTTTTGTTCGACTCTCAAAGCCTAGTGATTGTGCAATTCCAGGCTAGAAACCGCGAGGAGATCAAGAGCCGAAGGTGTCGCATTGATTGTTGTGTTATTCCCCGAGGAACAAACGCAGAGATAGCCAACCAATGCACTATGCAGTATGCGTTGTACAGGCTTGCCTGGCGGGGATGGATTCGCTTATGTGCCACTCTAGAAAGTGAGGTGGGAGGCTCTGGGGATTTGCTACGGGCGCAGATGCCTCTTTCTTTGGGTAAGTGTAGACGAGAATATGAATGGTACTCAGGACGGCCGAGGTTTTTTGATGAATACAACCATCCATGCTCTGCACCCCGCGGATACACGCGTGTATTTGTCCACAGAACTGTCCAGCGGCGGGATGGTAGTCAGAAGCCAGGTGGCTTTTGGGTTTGGACGAATGGGCGTGAGATGAAGGATGATACTTTGAATTGTTTCATATAGTGATAGTCTCGAGGTAGCTGCAAGGAGGAGCCAAATTGGGCTTACAGGGGGTATCATCCCTGAGCCTAGTTGACATTTAGCCCCCGATTACTTTACATCACAGTAGCTAATACTGCTTTGTTTGTGTTGTCACACTTAACGTAGAGAGGGTATTTTCTAGGGGAGGAGCATGTAGTTCCATCCTCTCCAGTCACTGCAGTTACGTGAGACTCAAATTTGGAGAAGAGCTGCGGGACAGATGACAAGCACACTTGAAATCTTAGGGTAAAAATGCATTACCAATAACAGTAATCGTTTTGTATTGCGAAGCCATAGAGGAAAGACATTGCGGCCAGTGATTGATCGTAGGTTCCCTCGTTGGTCAGAGGTCGGGTGAAAATTACGGCTAAGGCAGAAAAACACCCCTTGCGTATACTGCGCTAGTGGTACCCATATTAGTAATCAACGACAGTGCCCGTGGTGTTCCCATCCCCACCCTTCGTTGGACCTTTTCCGTCGCGCCCTTCGCCCTAAACACCATGGATCTCAGCCTTCAAATAGCGATATCTCCGGTAAAGCGCTATCTGTGCACATAATTTAGATGATTTGGCAAAGCTCACACAATATAGATCTTTCATTTTGGCGGCAAACGTATCACCGTGACAAAAGATACGCTTCTGAATAAGCTTCGTCCGACCGTATACCGCTTAGAACTCGAGGAGCCCCGTTTTGGACTTCCAGAGACAGTCATTGTCAAGCAACAGAAAAACGAACGGGAAGCTGAGTTTCGCGCTGAGATATCTGCCTACAAGAAGCTACAAAAGCTTCAAGGGACCGTGATCCCAACTCTATTTGGTGAAGGCTCTTTCAATGGGCGCCCGGCCTTAATCCTTTCAGAGATTAAAGGGATTACTCTGCGCGATCTCGCGAAACTAGTCGAAACGAGCGTCGAAGAGAATACTTTGAAGTCTCATCTTGAGAACGCTTTCCAGGAGCTCTACAAGTACGGAGCCGAGCATTGTGACCTGAATCTAGGTAATTTTCTAGTCTGCGACAATGGACAAGTGGTGGTTATCGATCTTGAAGAGGTCGAATTCCCTCATAGACAGCAAGCTTGGGAACGCAGCGTTAATTTGGGTAGTGTGAATTACCTGATGAGCAGATTCAGGGATGTGAGATATCCGCGTCGTGCTCCGTCACCAGTTTTGTATTGGATGCATCACACTGGGGACAGCGATGATAAGACCGGCTCAGGAATGTCCGGTTCCTGCTGTTCCATGGGACTCGTGAGCTGAGGCACATTAGGCTCACGCTCCGAAGGGGAACAGTAGCCCATAACGGTTTTCGAGAATAAAAAAGACCTGGTATGAAGTTGGACCTTCTCTACAAGCTAGGAACCGACGATGGCGTTTAGAGGTGACGATAACCAGGGGAGGGATCTATGTAATTCATTCTTATATCGTCGTTTGCGTGACTGTCTGTTGAATATTGTAAATGATGTTCGCCATTTATTTGTCTATGTTGCGCAAATGATTAACGACGACCCGATCAAACCCAACGTAGTTAATCAGTGAGACATTGTGTATTGCTTTACTGTAAGTTCTTCGTAATACATAGCCGTCCGATCAGTCTAGATTTGATTTCCTCTACATTCCTCTTGTCCGTTGCAGAGAAACAGATTCCATAGTACAAATCGTCACGGCTCGGTCAAGAGAGGTTTCAGAATTATATAAATCGGCTTTAGAGAGGAGTTACACACACGGTCAATTCCAATAACTTAGAAAAATGCTATCGAATGTTGCTTGCTCTTCATAGCTCCGGTCTGTCAAGAGGGGAATTCAGTCGCAAAATAATTTAAACACCATAAAGATCCTAGGAGGAAATAGAAGTGCAAATTTGTAGTTCGCATAAAGGATTCCGATGAACATGACTTGATGCAATCCTCGCGCGTACAGAATCTCGCCACAAAAATAGGGACAACTAATCCTGGCTAATCCGTCCTAACTTGAGAGGTGACCTTGACAAGGAGAAAGACTGGCAAATGAAGGAAAACTACCGTGGCTCTGCATGTATTCCGCACTGAGACATAAAAAGCATCCACCATCTGTCTACAATAAGGATGTTTTTTAAGAATTTGGGAAGGGCAGAGGAACAGGATTTGTAGGCGTAGTTCGCATCTAGTAATATATCCATCGTGTATAAGTTGACAGGCTTGACATGTTGAAAAAAATAAGTGGAGCTTTGCTTACTGTCTTTCTCTTTGATTTTGTTCTAGGCAAAAGCTCTTGTGATGGCGAAGAAGTAACGCACGTATATTGGAAAGGCGGCTCAAGTGCATTTGAGCTTGAGACCCGGCTCTGAGAGACTGGCTTCACAGCCGACGCGCAATTGTATAAGGCGTATTGAAGCTCTTGCGTAAGACTTTCAGCCAAGGGGGATGACCGAAACGCCATATTGCAGAAATACGGAGGGAAGGTGTAGAAAATAATCAATAGTTAAAGCGTTCGCAAACGGGAACTGGGCTAGCTTTTTGTATTAGCAGAAAACATGATGTACTGTAGACTTGAGATGTGATCAAAATGGTCGGCGTCAGAGAACACCTCCCTCCAGTTCCCAGGAGAGAATCCGGCGGTCAAGAACAGCCCGCTACATGTATCCTTTTTGGGAAAAGTAAATTCTTTTTGATTATTTTCCAAAGATCCCATTGCTACCCGCACCAATTGTTTCGGATTTCACGTTGAAAGCAATTTACGATATCACATGGACATTCTATGGTCGACTAGCACAGGATGCCGGCGCGCTTTTTTGAGGTCCGCAACTTTAAGATGCATCACCGAGTCCTGGGAACTGCGACATGTGCATTTTGGTCGGTGGAAGCAGGGCGGTAAACTGGCTGCACATCGTGCATATTGCTCCTAGGACGGATTGCATACGTCGTATGAACATGTGCTCGTTGGACCTGGTGAACAAAGGTATACGTCACCTTTTGCCTCAGAACCACTGGCTATTGTAAGGCGGTTCCAAGTTCCAAAGATGAGTTATAAAGCTTGGTTAAATCCCCATGGATGGTGAAGTGTCAAACTTTCCACCGGAATTCGCAAGTATAACAAACCGTCATTTTTTTACTCTTTTGCCTTGAGTACTCAAACTCATCCCGCGTCCAATTCCAATCTTGAGATATGGGAATTCATCTTCGGACTTTCGATTCAGCAAGCAAGAGACAAAATCTGCGTGCTGCCAGTGTCAAAGCGATTCACCGGAGGTACGTTGGGATTTGGGTTGGGTGAGTAGCCACGATATGCTTTCCTAGTTTTCTTGTTTCTGACTCCCCAGGTTTCTTGTTGACAGCGGGAATGTTCCAGTTGGCTATAAGCTGGAGAAGGGATCTTCTGTTCCCAATATTACCATGATCAAAGAGTTCATCCTGTGGTACATGTACCACACGCGTCCTACGAAAGGACGTCTTCAACCAGATGGAAGACCCACGGTGAAGCCTACTCTGGTATGCGCCGAGAGGGTTTTCAGTGGCTTTGAGACAGCTACTGGGAACAGGGTTGCTGCAGAGGACCGTACAGAGGTATACAGGGTTAGTATAGCAAGTTGCGAAAGTTGATGATACCGGCCGGGGCTTACCTTTTCATAGTGGATCAGATTGGATCGAATGGCCACTGAGGTTATATGAGGGATCGCTGAAGAGGCACAACTACTAAATGCTTGATTCTTTGTCTCATTACTGTATACAGCACATCAAGTGTTTAAGTGGAGCTCATTCATCGAGCTTGACAGTTCTTATTAAAGTACAGTAGACAGCGAAGGCTAAACTAAGCGAATTCGCACATCGAAAATGACGACTTCCTGTCTTAACTGTAGAGTACGTGATTTTCCCAAATAGCAGCCATGCATAATTGGCAAATACAACCAGAGACAACATTCGTGCTACTTGCTTTGGCTGCTCCGTAGTGAAGCCTAGGCCCTCCGTTGTATATCTAACTTGTCCATACTGCTAAGGGTAGATAAAGCCGAGAATCATGAACTTAATGATATCCTATATTCCACTAGCCCGACGATATCATTTCAAAAGATCTGAAAAGAAGACGTGGAAAGTATTTCTCCATATGGGCGGGGCGGGTTCATCTCTTAAGAACCCCATAAATCTTTGATGGTTACTGAAGACAATTATGTAGAAAGAAGGGGCTATTATAGAGGAAGCTTACTCCAAAGGTGTGACTCCCAGGCAAATGGAATTGTTGTTCCCACTACCAGTAGCCTCAGAAAGCAAGACCGATACAGATGCCCCCCATATGTGAAGAATGATTCCAGTGTGGTTTACCAGGAAGTAGGAAGAAGGGAGCTGCTTTCCCGAATCCGTATATGTACCCATCTTTGCTTTTCCCTTAGTATACTGCTTATCTCTAACAGCAAATAGAAAAGCCTCCCCGGAAAGGTTACTTTAGTATGGTTCATGACCGATGAAAGCGACCCTTCCACCCCCCTACCCCGGCCCCCAAACCCCGTCCCTTATCGAATCACGGCTTAATGCAACCAACAATTTAACTTGGGTTTTAGAATTAGATTCACCACCAATCAGTTCGTTCGTCACTAGCGTTTATCATGGGTTCGGATGGTGAGGCTCAATGCGACCCGTTCGCTGCCCGCGGGCAGTGACCCAATTCCTTATGGCTTCCGTACTCCGACAGGTATGCTCACGCTCGGTTTGTCCAAGATAAAATGTGACCGGAAACGGCAAAGATGTGTTCGCAGCAACAGGCTTCATAGTGACCGGTGTGAGGTCGCCGTGGCAGAGTAACGCCTGTCGAAGATGATCAACACAATGGTCAATGTGTATACGGCGATATTCTGGTGGGAGAGCCATGGAGTCTGCGTAATAATCCATGTCTAAATGTTTCCGTACAGCATTCAAACAATGGAGACTGTGAAGCACGTCGGGGCCACCGTAGAAACCTTCTTTGGTTATCCGCTCATTGCTATGCATCTTCGTGAGCGCTGGGAGCTCGGAGTCTTGGTTCAGTAGTGATACTTCAGAGTCTTCTAAGCGAAAGTATCGACCTATAGAGCCATTAGAACGACAGTGGGGTGAATAATATTGTGAGTACAAACCGCCAATAAGCTCATTCCAGTTCTTATCGATCTTGGGGCTAGGAAGGCCGGCATACTGCAGTTCATCCGGATTGATTGAAGAGTAGAGATTGCCATTGGAGTCGTCTCGAACCGCGTTCGTGAATCGTCTTTTCTCCAACCTGAATAGTGGTTCTGGCATATCTAGAAGGATTCAGTTGTTAGGGGGTTTTTTTTTTCTGCACGCTACGCGCCATCCGCACAAACCTGAATCTGGCATCGCCCATATTGAAATGCTGTCTTCGCAATCGCATCCACACTGAGAGAAATTGCCAATGAGCATGGTCAATAATACCAATGTGGTGAACGACCAAGCATTCGGAGAGATTGCTCGCATGAGCAGCGTCGACCTGGATGGTTTCTGTGTGGCAATATCTTCATCTGACTCGGCATCTGGTTCATGTTCTAGGCCGACGTAAGCAGGATCACTCTGGTTGTAGAACGCCACCCAGACGCGCTGGAGTAGGTTCAAACGATGCATGATAATGTTCTCGGAGAAAGGAGTACTGAAGGATGAGCTTAACTTAATGTAACCCGGTATTTGCAGGTCCCGCCGGACAATCTTCAGCAGAGAATCTATTAATCTCGGGAACTTCCTGTCGAACAATATCCAGTAATTCGTCCAACCACTGTGTGTGACCCCAAGCAAGCAAGAGGAAATTGCCCTTCGCGGCAAACTATGGAGCCGCCGGTGTAAATCTAATCAATATTCGTAAGCTGCGCTGTATTCTAGATATGAGAGCAATTCACGCAAGGTTGAGTGAGTTAAATTGTGATGATCTACGGAATGGGCTACTGTAAGGGTATCATCAATAAAACAATATCATATTGAAATCTACTATTACTGTTGAACATGAAAATTACCCATTTTAACGCAGTTATGCTTATTAATTAAGTGTTTTTGTGACAGACCGTGCATTTAGTTGCAGGTGACTTTGTGTTGCTCAGGATTTTCAACAATACCGGATCATTCACAGTCCGGCTCTTCGAAACGGCCAACAATCTGAATAATCTTTTGGTACTGATGGAATATAATGACATGATGTTATTTATGAACAAAGCAGGGTCTTATCCTGATGAGCTATTATGGGGACGGTGCGTGAGCATTATGAAGTTTGAACTCCAAGTTGAATATTCAAGGATGGTATCAAATAGATTCGCAGGTATCTCGTGTTGGATTTGATCTTGTATCTGGTGACCTCATTGATGAACTGTCTCCAGGTAAATAGCCTCGATACTAGGAGAGCAAATGAAGAACGGGAGGATAATCAGACAGACTTCTGGTGAAACAATGCTGATATTTGCGCTCCATTGTAAGCTGTCATACAAACGGAGCCATATAAGATGCCACCAAGAGCCCAATGCTTTATCCCCTTCATCCTTTATTTAACAACAATTCTTCTCAAGGTCCGGCATTCATACAGTGAGTGATTTCATTCCCAACATATTCTGTGTGTTGACTCTCGCTAACTCATACCTCCTTCCTTCGAGTTTGAAATGCAACTCCGCGCTCTTACTATTTGCTTGGCTATGGCTGCGTCAGCGCTTCCCTTGGCATCTGTCAAATCCTATGCAGTAAATGCGGATGTTTTCAAAAGCATCGATGGGAGCCTGACTTCTATCATTATTGCCCGGCGTGTTGATGAAGGCGACTCACCTATCGGTATCGCTAAACGTGGAAGCCAGGCAGATGCTTCTATCGACATTGCCCGCCGTGTTGATAAGAGCGACCCATCTATTGGTATCGTTAAACGTGGAAGCGAGGCAGATGCTTCTATCGACATTGCTCGGCGTGGTGATATGAGCGACCCATCTATTGATATCGCTAAACGTGGAAGGGAGGCAGATGCTTCTATCGACATTGCCCGGCGTGGTGATATGAGCGACCCATCTATTGATATCGTGTGATGGATTCACAAATACCACCGCTCAATTTAACGGCCAGACGTTCGAAATTGACTATCTGCAGCTGGTCTCCAAGACATAGCAATAGCTACTTCCCGGTTAGTCTACAATGGTTATGGCATTCTTTCGTGTACCTAGATTGATCTCTCAGAATCAGTTTCAATTATTACTTGAAATCACCCGATATACAACTCATCCAGCAGCTTGGGTTAATTATAACTACAGATGTCTGTTCGTTTCGTACGGTACTCTGCGTATTTGGTCTGACCTTAGCATGCCCATGACTAGATTCTCGGGAACTATATTCTGTAAACGCAAGCTCTAATTAGTGATGTTCTCGGGCGCCAGATCGTAGAACGCTTCATGATATAATCTGTGTAATTGCTGGTGCATATCTAGTACTGATGGGACGAATATATTTCAGATAAAACCGTCATAGTAATTTCCCAAACTACTGACATTCAGCTTGTTCTATACGATAAGTAGTCAGGTTATTTGTACGATACAGAATTGCCCAATCATTTCTCTCCGGTGATTTTCCTGCGCAAGGGATAAAGTTTACCACACCACTAAAGTGAACGAGTCATATGTTCGAGCGGCACCTTATCACATGCTTTTAAACCTGGTAGGTGTGATCCTGAGCAGATGTTGCCTGATCATAGTCTTACAATGGAGGGGAACTCTGTCGTTGAATTCGACCATCGCAATCGAAATTGGAGGCGGTATGCCAGCTTCACCATGTGGTCAAGCTAGGGACACGAAATAGTTCACGAACTGGAAAGAATGCAGATTGATATATCTATCACGTGGGCGAGCCGAATTAATCATCTTCTACGAGATACATCAATACTATATAACCTAACATCACCGCGATCGCTAAAACCCAGCCACCCACAGCAGCCCCCAAGGACGTTGTCGGCGTGAAAATGAGGAAGAGGGACATATTGAAATATCCGATTTTAATTGCCCCATAACATTTACTATAAGTACTCATGAGTTAGCCGTGCTACTTTTAGTACTCAACGTAGGCTGTACTTTAACGTCACTGTCAATTCATGGTTGTGAACCTCACGGCATCGACGACTGAGAAGCAACATGGCTGAACAAATGAACACCATGCACACTACCATCGTTATTACGGCAGTTGCGAAGGAGCTTTGGTCAGTAAGCATTAGAGAATTAGGCTGCATTGTCCACGGAAGAAGTAGAAAACTAATATATTAGTCCCTATAACCCAGTCAATCGTCCTGAAAAGAAAAAGGCCCACCTGATTGTCAATAGAAATGGATAAAGATGACTGCTGAGGCTCAATGAAACAAACAGAAGACTGTTCCGAGGTCCGTTTCGATGTAAAGGAAGCAGAGGGGTTACCATCTTCATTGTGAATATGTACTGCGTACGCGTAGAGCGTAGCATTCAAGAGAAGGGTTGGGTATTTCAAATTCTTTTAGAGCTTCGGTACAGCGATTCTCGAAATCGGCTTGACCAATGCACACTGAGTAACTATTTTCTCGCCCCACCGCCAAGTAACGCGCATAGAGTATTCAGCAAGCCACATTAAAATGGGGGCAAACAACAAAATACTTTAGTTTGGTCCTGTATCTTGCCACATAAAATTACATCTTATGGTTTGACCGTTGAAGGATACACGTCAATCGCGACTATACTACATGGCGGCATAATATTGCGACCCTCGATTTGATGTGGCTTGTTCAATAATCTATCCGCGCTAAGGCCTTGGCGGTGGGACAAGAAAGACATACTCAGTGTGCATTGGTCAAGCCGATTTCGAGAATCACTGTAGCTCGTTGTTTGTTGGACATCAACTTCTGTCCATTGTGCCGGGCAAATCTCAGAAATTTCCAACGAGCAAAGTTGCTGCTGCAAAATAACACCATAAATTGGTCAATTTGGAATGCTAAGGCTACGATGTAGTCGGGTTTCCTTGCGTATTGTTGCATGGAACGCCGTTCATATAAGGGATGTTGAAGTATGTGGATGGCATATTTAGCTTGAACATGCAGCCTGTCAGGCGTATAATGCACATGTGTTGCTTTTCATGTTAGCACTGCCGTTTGTTTTACTTGGAGTAAATTTATTTGAACACCTCTGTCGTAGAAAAAAAGAAAAAGAAAAAAGAAAAGCCTAAAGAAAGTGATTAAACGTTCACCCCGCACAAATTTGACTGAGGCCGCGCTCGTAGTTGTCGAGCTTTTGATGAATACAGAGTCGGTTAAAAAAGAGTTGGTAGTGGACCGCAAACCAGGGACGGTCTGATGGTTGCAAGGAGTTAAACAGGGCGCCTCGCAGTTGGTGAATTGTGGTGAATATTTGCAGCAAGCTGGTCGGAGGTAATTAATCCAAAGTTTGCCTTTTCCTCAAACGATTATTGACCTCCACTTCTAGCAAAAATTTCTGGACAGGGACCTACGTCGTCGCCAGGAAACCTACCAAGTAGCCTGGTGTATATGACCACAAAGACTGTTTCCCCTTTCAGCTATTCCAGCTATAAATGCCTACCGCGAAGGCTCTACGGCAGTCATATCTTCTCATCTAAAACAATCACCACCTGAGTCTTCAACTTCGCAAAGGCACAGTATTTTCGCAAACGAACACACTACATTGGTCGATTCAGTCCACCCACTTTATGATGGAGAGCATTGAGGAGGAATCCGTCCATTCCCAATATGGCCAGGGATACTTTGCGGGTACGGATGCCATCCGTGAACAGGAGTATCCTCTTCTCAATGGTATGGCCTAACCTTTGATATTACTTCATTCATCTGTACTGACTACCCTCTTTCACGGGTTGCAGGAACAACTTATCTGGACCACGCCGGAACAACGCTCTATGCCAGATCGTCTATCGAATCATTTTCGGATGATATGATATCCAATCTCTTCGGAAATCCCCATTCTATGTCTGTATCATCACAGCTGTCTACAGAGCGGACTGACGATGTGCGACTCCGAGTCCTCCAGTTCTTCAATGCAAGCCCCGATGAGTTTGATGTGGTTTTTGTGGCAAATGCAACAGCAGCTATTAAGTTGATTGGAGAATCTTTTCGAGATGACCCTAGGGGATTTTGGTATGGGTACCACGTTGATTCCCACACCAGTGTGATTGGTGTTCGGGAACTCGCGGATATGGGCTGTCAATGTTTCGATGATACCGATGTAGACGCTTGGATCTCTGAGCTAGGCACAGCTCAGTCGAAAATTCCCAAGCTATTTGCCTTTCCAGCTCAATCTAACATGAACGGTCGACGTCTCCCACTCCAGTGGTGCGGGCAAATCCGTTCCGCTGCCAATGAAGGAAGGAATGTATTCACCTTGCTTGATGCCGCCTCGTTTCTATCAACCGCTCCTCTTGACCTAGGTGAAGCAGCCACCGCGCCGGACTTTACGGCGCTCAGTTTTTACAAAATCTTTGGATATCCTGATTTGGGGGCTTTGATTGTTCGGAAAAGCACTGCATCCGTACTTGAGCGACGAAAGTATTTTGGCGGGGGTACAGTGGATATGGTGATAGCATCCGGAGCGCAATGGCATGCCAAAAAAGAAACCTCAATCCATGAGCGGCTTGAGGACGGCACCCTTCCGTTTCACAGCATTATTGCACTTGATGCCGCCCTAACGACGCACAAACGTCTGTACGGGTCAATGTCGAATATTTCTTCCCATACTGGGTTTCTCGCTCAGCGAGTCTATGATCGACTCTCTGGATTGAGACACTTCAATGGCATGAAGGTCTGCGAGATTTACCAATCAGGTTATGGGAACCCCGCCCTCCAAGGTCCGATCATCGCTTTTAATATGAGAAACAGTCACGGCGAGTGGATCCCTAAGTCTGAGGTAGAAAAACTGGCAACGGTACACAACATCCAACTGCGTTCTGGTTCTGTTTGCAACCCTGGACGAACGGCCATGTCTCTTGGATGGGCAGGTGAAGAGCTACGCCGCCATTATGCCACTGGCTTACGCTGCGGTGATGACCATGATGTGTTAGATGGCCGGCCAACTGGCATTCTGCGTGTTAGTCTGGGAGCAATGACCAACCTGAAGGATATAGACTCACTGACAGACTTCGTCGAGGAGTTTTATGTGGAGAAAGTCCCTCCTTTGGTGCCATTGAGTCTTCCGATGGATGCGAACAATATCGTCGCCCCTCAATTTTATGTTGAGAGTCTGACGATATTTCCCATCAAAGGTTGTGCCCCGTTCAAGATCCCTGAAGGCAAGCGTTGGGAGGTCAAAAGAGAAGGGCTTGCATGGGACCGAGAATGGTACCTCGTTCATCAGGTGACCGGTTTTCCCCTGAAGCAGAAAGAATATCCTCAGATGGCTTCTATATATCCATCTGTTGATATGGAACGCGGCATACTTCGCATCACCTGCAACCCCAAGGTCACAAATGGTCCATTCAGCCTCGAAATTCCACTTATTTGGGATGCCAAAAGCACGAGCGTTATGAGTTCTCCAGTGCGCTCGAGTTGTCGAAAAGGAGTGCCCAGTGCCTACGAGCATAGCTCAAGCCTTCGTGCCTACGCCTCGCCAGTGGTCTCGGCATTCTTTACAGAGCTCTTAGGTGTAGCTTGTACTCTCGCGCGATTTTCTTCACTTGATGCAGAACTCGACATAAAGCCACCAAACCTCGCTAGTATCTGGAAGAATCGGTTCCGGAGGTTTGCTACCTTGGATTCCTTTTCACGTGCGGACCGAATACCGCGCCAAAATTGCCAAAAATACGTGCTTGTATCAAACGAAATGTCCATTTTAATCGTATCCAGGTCATCAGTCAACCGTCTCAACGAAATAATCAAAGCAAACACTAAGCCTACCTCTGGCGTGAGCAAGGCCATTGGTGCAGATTTGTTTACGAGCAACATCGTTGTTGCTGAGCGGGTCTGTCAACCAGCTCGTGCCGAACACCCCTATGCCGAAGACCACTGGTCATCCATTCGTATTGGGAAAGACCAGCTCCTCTTTGATACCGTTGACCCTTGCCAGCGCTGTCAGATGCTGTGCGTTGACCAGCCTACGGGCGTGAGACGCAATGAAATATTTGCTGCGCTGCCCAAGATGCGAAAAGTCGATGGTAGAGTTCAATTTGGTAGATATGCGGTAATTTCAACAAAGGAAGGCGAGAACATTGGGATGGGCCCGGGTAGCAGGACAATTATGGTGGGAGATGTGGTGTTACCAACAGAGCAGAACCACTGAGTCACCATAAGGAGCTTCCTCCATTTGCATCTTTAGTCGTTTGAGTTCGGAGACATATATTAGAACATTGGTCACTAGTATTCAAGGAGTTCTGCGAAATGGTTGTATGTATTTGCCAAACCTTGTCATATTTCGAATATTCCTACGGATGATAGGCAATGTGGTCCGCACTCAAGGAGAATTGTTATTCTATATACAATTCGCCAAAGGGCTAACAGAAACTTTTATATATTCGAGAGTTGATAGTAGGTAACAATGGCTACCTATGTCCAAGGTATCTCTTATCGCCAATATAGCCGAACGCAACAGATAAGATGGGTACAGTCACTCTTGAAATCGGCTTGACCAATACACACTAAGTCTTTTTTAGCCCCACCGCTAAGGTTTTCGCCTAGAGAAAATATTGAGCAAGCCGCATCAAAGTGAGGCCGCAGTACTACGCCATCTGTGTTCTGCCGCTACATAGTACAGTGACATTAAGCTCGACCGTTTAACGGTCAAAGTGTAGAATGTAACTACAGGATGGATCGAAATTAGTTTCACCACTTTACTCGCATAGAATTTTTCTCGACCCCTGTTCCGAAACATGCTAATCCAATTCAGACCTAGCCCGGTTTCGAATATTGAATCGTATTGAAAGTATTCGTCGAGTGATTAAAGGTTAATTAAATTACTCGTAATGCTCTTGCCGTGCTTCATCTTGTGAGTATTCATCCCCTGCACCTCAAGCATATCGGGCTCTGCCCACCGACCTAAGTCACAGACGTCGCCGCTAGACTGGCCATTTGCAGCCTTCACACTAGACAGGTAATCTGTGCAGTACAATTTCATGTGTTCGTGTTGCAATTATTTTCGCTTGCAACATTCAGAGAATTCCCGGTGGTTCCCGATTGCAATTTGCGAAATAAGCGAGCTCGATGCGTCGCTTCCGGGGGTGCTTTTCTAATGCACTAAACATAAAGGAATGATAATCAAACGTGCTTGTTGTTCTCTCCATGTTGTAACTCCATGGTGCGCCTTGGGTCATAATGAAATCATCCGACAAGGCAATATCAAGAGCTGACGGTCCGACCCTCTGAGCGGTTAACCACATAGGCGACATTAGATCGTCTGTGGTCAAAGCGAGGACAAGTCTCCTTGCAACACTCTTCCTCTTGTGAACAAGAGCTAGGTACAAAAAGCTTTCGCCTTCACAGTTGTAGTATGACGGTAGAATGGCCCGCTGGTCAAGGAGAAATTGAAAGCACGAGGGACACTCAACAATGGTGCGCGATACAAGGTCCTGCTCCCTTAAAGGACGGTGGAGGAAGGCGTAAGATATATCAGACGATGAGGTTGATTGACAACCTTTACGGGCGCTTTTGTAATCGCGGTAAAGATTGTATCGCTTCTGGATCTCCGTTCGGAGCCACTCTGTTCTCATAAAACCAAATATTTGGTGCTGCAAACGCGGGAACCTCTTAAGTCGAGAGAATCGCTCCATATTATGAAGAACAGAGTGATTGTCATCCCCAAATGACCTGGAAAAGAGGCTGAGTTGAAGGATACGGTCCAGAAGCTCAGGAGGGAGACGTTCAAGGTTACCCAGAAATGATAGTTCCCCTTGAGTTAGAATCATGGTCAAAGCCTTTGATAAGACTTCGAGGAAAGTGAAGGCCGAGATTTGACAATACTCTGAAGTCCCGCAGCTTTATGAAGAGTGCTTATTATAATAGAGGGGTAAGGGCATGAATTTAAATAGTGCTAGCACTAGGCGGTGAAAGAAACTAGAATTCTACCCTCCAGTTCGGAGCACTCTGCACTTTGCATTTCAAATACACAATTGGTAGGAGTTACTGATTATCAGAGACTCCTAGGAACGGCGAGGAGTTTATAGGGCCAGAATGGTTGTTTTCATGGCCAACGTAAGATGATTGTTCTGACCTAGCGAACACCCTTTCTGAGGGTCGTAGCTTTGAGATGGGCCTCCAACCTCCTAGGAACTGCGAGATCATCAAGTCACGTGCATTTATTATTATCCGGCATGCCCCAGACCTTCCATTCAACATGATTTCATTTCCTCGCTAACCAGAGAGGTGAGCAAAGGTGAGCACACGGTTTTGCTTTTCATCACATTTCGGCGGTAGCCCATCCCTCCCCTGCCAAAGCCTTCTTTGACTAACGTCCTCATTCTCCCACCGACTCTGAGGATCATGGCGCCCGCTGAGTCTACCTCTTTCAAAGATTGAATTGATTAATAATATGTTATCGAGCAAATCACTGACTACGCCGCAAATTCATAAATCTGCTGAATGTATGAAGCACCTAGATCTAATGTTCACAAAATTCTACAAGCCCCGGAAGCCATACAAGCTTAATACAGTGCGTCCCGAAACTGGTGCGACCACCTACACTCTTCGATTGTTTCTCCAGCCCCACCGCCAAGAGACCTTAGTCTACACTAGGAATATACTCGTATCATCAATCTTCCGGTATCAATCTCAATACCATGACTTACCCTCATTAAAATACGATTTTTTGTCTCGTAACTGTACTGGGGATCCAAGGGCAGTAGAATTATGCAAACAAGTCAAACGCCCAAGCTGAAGAGTGCCTGCCTCTAGAACCTCCCGAGCTGTCACTTCCCTCTGCCGCCCCGTATGTCCAAGTGACAGTCCGAGGCTTATTCGGCGCCCCAACATTGCAAAAAGTGACTTGCATTACTTGCTTACTTGCAGACGACTCATAATCCTGCTTATCATAATACCCAGCCTGTCAGCCACAGCTCTCTCTACTTGACGCTCTTTTAACACCCTTAGAGGAAGCTAACAAAACCATGTCAATAGACTCCTCAGTGGCATCCTTTGCCTTGGGGGGTGACTTAGCTTCCTTTCAACGATGATGATATTTGCTGACCTGAACTTCCTGATCTGTGGGAACGGACTCCCTCGTATGCCCCTACCCCTAGTTATCCTGACCGCGAATGGACTCCATCAGTAATCTGCCCCTCACCTAACCCTGAGGAGATAACTGGTGAATGTTCAACTTCCTTGCATCAACATCTGTCCGACCAGTTGATTTATAGTCCTGTGATTTAACCCGCAGATGGAAGTGCATGGGATAGACAATCTCCAGACCGTATCCACTACTAGATCGGGTGGAGGGTTAAACTGGACAATCGAGTTGTGGTCAAGGATACAAGACAGCACCTGATTCAACAGCCCAGATCATTCTGGGAACAGATGAAAGAGGATGCTAGTAATATTCTACGATAGAAGATAACCCGTGGCCGACGGGTGAGACTAGATGATACTGACATGGTGTTGTCGGTGAACTCCCAACGGGCCGTTGAATCCATTTTGAAGGTGCTTCTGTTGATTGGACAGCGGTGGAGAAACAGCTACTAGCGTGGGGCCATGTGTTCCATCGTGGCAAGAAGATCCGGCTTCAGACATCGATTAATTACATAGAAGACAGTGGGCTTCCTTCTATAAGAGAGGAAATTTATCGGTGACTATACGGATGCTCACTGTCCGAGACGGTTAAATTGACACCGAGTAGATGTCCGGCCAACATTCCGTCTGGCGCGATCTGTATTGTATCAGCGTTGTCATGGCCTCCATGTCGCCACAAAGGTAATACTGCTGGCAAGAACCGGAGGGAAAAAGACACCATCTAAAGCTCTTATCAAGTACGTGGAGCAAGGTGAAGTTCTCGAGATACACAATGACGTCCCTCAAAACGTTTGCGAGCAGCTCTATGCTGAGAAGAGCTAGCGACTGGACAAAAAAAGAAAAAGAAAGCTGCGGAAAACTCTACAATGGGTTCAATGTGCCTTTCCATCAATATCAACAATTTCCTTTCCGCTGGATCATCTCAGCACTCGATGGCTTTGCCGAACCAATCATGATGCACGGGCTGCTTGAAGTCGCCCTGGAGAAATACGCCGAATAGCAGCTATCACGAGCAAACAACGAGACGTTTCGGGATAAAATTAACAAAGCACACGATGTGACACTTGAAAATTGCCTCGACCTCATGCAAATTCATGAGGATCAAGACCCGGGTTTCTTCGTCAAGCACGGCGTGAAAGTAGGTGCCACCCGGCGGTTCGTCCGTGACATTGGGCTTTGGGTGAAAAGACGCACAGAAATCACTACTCATGGAAAATAGGAGTAATTTGAACTAGACAACAAAGCGAATAGAGACCAGCCGACACCGGCATATTGCATTTACCTCTCCGCAAAAGGTTCTAGAATATGTCATACTGTATCTTACATGGACTTTAGTACGGACAGTGGTGTATAGTAGCGCCCGACATCGCCTTGCATGTCGAAAACAGAGACGCTCTTTTAAAAACCTAATCACGTGTTACTTTTCCGTAACACATTCAGTACTACTAGTAATTATACCAGTGCCATTTCTGGCGCTGTAAGACTGACACAAGAGCTTAAACTAGAATCTAAAACTAGAACACGGGTAAGAATTGAGGTCAAGCGGGACTTTGATTACAAGTGTCCCTTGATTGAAATCCAGACCCATCTAGGATTCAAAGCCCGGCAAACAGATGTGATAACTTGTCGGAATCAAAGTCGAAAATTGACACCCGCCCCGATCTGCAGCCAAGGCTCAGTTTCGAAAGCGAGACCGCAGAAGTATATGGACGATAATCGGGAGGTAACCAAAGTAGATTTCCAGAGTTCCAAGTGATCCATGTTCCGTCGGGACTGATACCAAGTCCTTGAAACAGCGGGAGTTGAGGATCCGTGGTGGTCAGGGTTTCACTTGACCCAGGACGAAAACGAATGGTACCAATATCGAGCTCAAAACAACCAGCGCGATCATCGAATGAGTTAATTTTGACCCATCGGTTAACCAGGACGGTCTGCAGGCAGTGCCCGCTGCATGTATCCCATACCTTGACGGTCTTGTCATCTGAAGCGAAGGCGAGGAGCTTAGAATCATGGGAGAAGATGACCGACCTCACCCCTGCGCTATGACCATCGAGGGTCTGCAGGCATTGCCCGCTGCTAGCATCCCACATCTTGACGGTATTGTCCCATGAAGCGGAGGTGAGGAGCTTGGAATCATGGGAGAAGACGACAGAGCTGACCTTTTCGCTATGACCCCCGAGCGTCTGCAGGCATTGCCCGCTGCTAGCATCCCACATCTTGACGGTTTTATCCCATGAAGCGGAGGCGAGAAGCTCAGAATCATGCGAGAAAGTGACGGAGCGGACCCCCGTGTGATGACCTTCCAGGGTCTGCAGGCATTGCCCGCTGCTAGCATCCCACATCCTGGCGGTACTGTCTTCTGAAGCGGAAGCGAGGAGCTTAGAATCATGGGAGAAAGCGATGAAGTTGACCGGCTCACTATGACCCTCGAGGGTCTGTAGGCATTGGCCGTTGCTACTATTCCACACCTTGACGGTGTTGTCTTCTGAAGCGGAGGCGAGGAGCTTAGAATCATGGGAGAAGACGACTGAGTAGACCGGCTCACTATGACCCTCGAGGGTCTGCAGGCATTGCCCGCTGCTAGCATCCCACACCTTCACGGTTTTATCCCACGAAGCGGAGGCGAGGAGCTTAGAATCATGGGAGAAGGTGACCGAGTTGACCCCCGTGCAATGACCTTCCAGGGTCTGTAGGCATTGCCCGCTGCTACTATCCCACACCTTGACGGTTTGGTCCCATGAAGCGGAGGCGAGGAGCTTAGAATCATGGGAGAAGGCGACGAAGTTGACCGCGTTGCTGTGACCTTCGAGGGTCTGTAGGCATGCATTCCAATTCTCTTCCGTGAGTGGTCTTCCAGATAACCAAAGCGGTCTCTCTTTCTCAAACTGATTTCGGGTCATGCTACTGGTGGGACTAAAGATAAGTGCGGAATTGTATACTTGGAGTGGGAAACTCTCGATCCCTGTCTTGGAGTTAAGGACAAATCGGCATGCATCTTGAACTCTATCCATCAAACATGAGATTTTCGTTGTCGTCTAAGAAAAAATGTTAGAACCGTTCCATTGCCTACACATGAGAGCATACTTGTAGAAAACCTTCGAGTTTCAACATCGACCCTACCCCTTTGGGTAAGCTCCGCGACAGACTAAGTGCCTCGAGCCATTGAAGGTAGTCCTGGCGAAAGAAAAGTCCGACCAAGCCACTATCCTGGAGGTCGTCTTTCGCGTTCACGGTAGGGGAGCACTCCAGAAAATGGTCAATCCAGTAGGCACATGAGTAACGCATTGTAGCTAATGGATCAGGGCATGGCTTGTTGACCCGCTCAATTGGAAGCCCCGGCGTAACTAAGCCGTATATATCCCGTCGCAGCGTCTTGGAAATGGACTGTAAGGACTTTGAGTAAATAGCATAGTGTACTCGTTCTACTCCGCCGGGGAATATGATATGGGCTGCCTCTTGAATGAGGAAATCTTTAGCTGACTGATGAACTAAAGAGATTGTGCCTTGCCGAAGGGTCAAAAAGGACCCACAGTGGCCCACAATCTCTTCCAGCGCCTTATAATCGCCTACAACATCTTCAGGCAAGTCGTCAAAGCAAGATGCTAGTTCATCTAACGTGATGGGCCTGTAGACGGTCGTCGTGACGGAGAGAAGAGACTTGCAGAGATCTGCATCATCTGATTCACTGATTTGGCTTAGCATCCGTTTATAAAGCTCATCAAGTCCAGGCGGGAAATCTTTTAACTTCCCCCGAACATTCCTGTTTGCGACTTTGGCGAGTCTTTTGCAAACCAAAGCTACCCAGAGGAAAGTACCATTTGCATTTGTTTTCAGGTGATCATGGACGTCTTCCCGAGTCTTCAGCTTGTATTCGTTCTTTTCAGATAGTTCATTGACTTTGAATTGGATATATGAGTCAATAGCAGCAGCGAGTGTGTTCTCGTTCGACTCGAGACGAAGCTCTATCGGTGTCGCGCCCCTAAGGCCTTTCTCAATGTCCGGCCAATTGCGGCTAGAGACGATCCATTTAACGTTCGAACGAGCAGATGTCTTATGGGCAAGAAGATCAAGGAGTTGATCCAAATCCGTGGCACACTCATCAAGTGCATCAATAATCAGATATGTTTTTCGCAATTGCGGGTCTCCGAGGATATTAGTGAAGACTTTAAGTAATGCAACCCATGCATTCTCGCCCTCGAATGACCCAACGCGGACATGGGCCGCGAGCGAGGATTGTTGTTGCACAAGCATGTATATAAGTCCACGCAGGACTGCTGTCGCACTATTAATGCGACTATTCGTAGCTTGGCAGAAAAAGAACGAGATATTGATATCGTGCGTGGCCACTTTAGAGAGCTCGTCAATAATCCCGCAGAGCAACATTGTTTTGCCCTTGCCTGGATCACCCTTGATCCAGAGAAGCTGGCCGTATCTCTCATCTCTCCACCTGCGAAAGTCGACGTGGTCAAGCACCCAGCGGTACGAGTCTCTAAGAAGGCCACCCTTGACATTTTCGATCCTAGCTTTGTCAAGACTGGGATCAAAGCTAGGATCGTTGATCTGGAGACTGGCGAGACAACGCCGGTGTTCGTCATTAGACGTGCGTTGCTCGGTCCTTTCAAGGAACCCAACAATTCCCTGGATATTATCGGAAATACGGTTCATAATCTTGCGCGATTCTTCTGCTTCTCCGGCTAGCTTCTTGAGTTGCTGCATATTTGAGCCAGACAAAGCACTCTCAAACTTTTCCTTCAGTTTCCTCTCTTCAGCCATGAGGTGATCCAGTCGATCTTGCCATTTATCGTAGTTGATGACACTCCTGAAATAGTTCTTGGTCCCGCTGCGATAGAACCGAATAACACTCTGCACTTGGAAGTCGATGATGAGCTTATACAGATCCACTATGCCTTCCGTTAGGTAAGCTTTCAAACCGTGTTTCATGTCCGCGGGCAAAATGACTGTCTCCAGCTCAACATAGTAACGCATTTGCGAGGTAACATATGTGAACCCGGCTCGATTGGCAGCGTCGACAGTCGCCGGGTTCTTGAAGAGGGGCAGGATAAGTGAAATTCCGGCCATCACCGCGGGCGCATAAGGCACATCCTTGATTGCGTCTTTGACGTACTCTTGGGCCCAAGCCACAGCCTCGCCAAGCTGACCCACCCTGTCTTGCAGACTGACCTCATGTCCTAGGATGGTCACTTTGGCCTTCTTATCTTCCATGTGCTGCAGACCTAGCTCAGCTATCCGTTTCAGTTTTTCCCGACGCGCTGCCACATCTTGCTGAGGGATCTGATTTCCGATATCCTCGATGTCTTCTTGCTGGCTTGGGGCAGATAAAGCATTCGCTTCTACTACGTAGTGTCAGCAGAATCTTTATGGAACGGCTTCGGTTATATTAAGGCTACCTCTGACAAGGACTCGGGACAGAAGATCCTCATATCTGGACATCAAATCTGGTCTCTCTTGTTTCAGAGTATCATATGCTTCATCCCATAGAGATTCAAAAATGGGTTGAGTGTCTCTGGTATCCGTGGCTTGTCTTTGAGGTAGGGTGACAGTGGCTGGTGTTTCTTGTACACGGACTCGTGCAGCAGGTGGCTTGAACTCGTCCGTCTTGGTTCGGGGTGCTTTCTCCAAGGCATTAAAGTTCGAGGCGGAAAGACTTTCGGTTGCCTGGTCGGCAATTGCGACCACAGAACTCGTCCTTGTAACACAATCAAGGCCAATCGTGGGAGGTCCTACATCAGGTTAATAGTGACAAGATTAGGGTTGTTGTCTTCCCATACCGACTGCCGCATTGTTTCCTGGCTCCTTTATTTCCGCCGAATCCCTCTTGAATGCCCGTTTCAACAAAGACGCAAGCCGGTCGTTGCTCATCGCTTTTGTGGGCACCCTGCTGAGGGTGTAGATATTTCTCAATAGTTAATTGCAGGATGGATACGGCGCTCTTGAAATGCTTCACGGTCGATCGGGACAAGACGAGTGGATGTCTGTGTTGGGATCACTCTTGTCATGAGTGCCCAAGCGTTCTAAGAACGAACAGGAAGCGGGTCTTACTCAGGCCGGTGCCTAGCGTCATGAAATTGGCTCTTTGGGATAAATGGTGCCGAAAGATAGCTCTCATAGCCGACCTACTCTGCTTCAATATAGTCTACTCTTGCTGTAATGAGGTGGCCTCTAGGGCAGTAATCACCTGATCTGGAATAGCAAAGAATCGCGTAGAATAGATCCATATCTCGTTACACGTGATATCAGCCTCGGGTCGGCTCGCGCCGTCAGGGACGCTCGATTACGAACCTACAATAATTCACGGAGCGAGCCGCAGTATAATTAATGCGATAGCATCAAGCACACTTATTGTTGTCAACGGTCCCTTCAATCAAGTACTGAAGTCGGGTTGATGGATCTCATCCAACCGTCCTCGCAATCGCGCTATTATAGTGGAAGGTACTTATTCACAAAGTGTTTACGTGTCTTTGGTTTCCCAATGCTAGATCTTGGGGGAATATATTAAGAAGGTCCTTCGGGATGTGGCGGAATTGGATGTCAGAGAAGACGGGTCAACGCATTTGGGACATCTTGCGGGTCTACGACTCGACGGATGGTTAACATCCCTATCTGATTGTTAATGCTTTGTGGCCGACCACCTTTATTGGGCGGTGCTTTGACGCTGCCAAACATCCGTATATTGGAAGAGATCCTCAGGATTATACTCATGTTGCGGCCAGCAGTCTATGCCATCTGCGATATAGATAGTTCCCTACTGTTGTTGATCATGTCATAGATAAGCTCAGGCTTTGAAGAGGCTAGGTTTGGCGCCATCTTGGTTCGACCAGTCGTGATTGACTGTTAAGATCCCTTTCCTCGGGAGGTTGCTTTGGAGGTGGGGTAGTGGTGGTGAATGTATTAAACTTACGAGCGAATACGTACTCGAGACTACTATGTAATCCAAATACAAATCCAACTGACGGGGGCGCTTCGGAAAAACTCCTAATATAGACTAGTGCCTCTTGGCGGTGGGGCTGGAGAAACAATCGAAGAGTGCAGGTGGTCGCACCAGTTTCGGGACGCACTGTATGGAAGCTATATCATTCTGTTATTTACCAGTGTACTGGAATACTGTCAAGAACAGGAGTCAGGGGTAGAGTAACCGTACAGCTAAATTCGAAATTGGCTTCCACATTTTACACAGAGAAACTCTCCCAAACCCTAACGCCAAGCCGATGGTGAAACTGCCTAGTCTCAATCTAGCTAGACTGCAGATCATTTCTGTGCGTCAGAATGGAAATGTAAGGTATCTGACAAGAACAATACACCAAAGCGTTGAATTACACGTTACTCGCAGTCTTTCCAACTTTAACCGCCTTGACCGCCACCACGAGACGAACATCCACGGCACAAAACCGTTCTAAATCTGCCTTCTCCAACCCAGAATTCATCCGCGATAAAATTCGGAACAAGTAAATGACTACAGCCCATATTGCTGATGCCACAAAATGCGGCCCTTATTCCGTCACCACCAAGACTTTGGGCGGGGCAGGGCGGTACTATCCCTATATTGACTGGCTGAGTGATAGGCGCGTAGACATTTCGCTTAGACAGCGCGGTAGTGGCCACGAAGTCACCTGAGAATGAGGCTGACGCTTGGCTCTAAACAATGGGGGCCCAGCACCTTTCTTTGATCCGAAACTTGAACTTCGTCTGCATCGTATATTGATAATGACCTCTATATCGTTTGGCGACCAGAATCGGGGGTTACAGGTGGGTACTAGTCACGGAGACATATACTATACATCTGGTGAGTTTCTAATCACTTAAAAAAAACAAAAAAAAACAAAAAAAAAAGGGTCAAGATCAGAATCAAGGACTAATAATGGCTTTCCGTCGTAGAGCACCCGGAACCCCGCCCAGAGCCACTGTCGACCGTGCCGTTCCCGCATGATCCAGATTTTGTCAGCCGCGATGAACTCCTCGATCAAATCCACGAAAAATCCTTGATCCCGGGATCTAGAATAGGTCTCGTTGGCCTAGGGGGCGTTGGGTGAGGTCAATCCAGCCCTTGGCGGTCCGTTGAAGGCTGACTTTGCAACAGGAAATCTCGACTCGCCATCGAATACTGCCACCGAGTCCGGCAGCAATCGCCTGACACCTGGGTTTTCTGGGTTCACGCGAGTAATGCCGCGCGCTGCGAGGAAAGTCTCCGCAACCTTGCCGACCGTGCTAAGATCCCCGGGCGCCAGGATCGCAACGCTAATATTTTCCAACTCTTCGGGAACTGGTTGCAAGATGGGAAGATCGGAAAATGGATTCTTGTCCTTGATAATGTCGATGATGACGAGCTCCTTCGGAATCCATTAACTACTCGGATGGAGGCCCAAGCAGACACCCAGAGGCATGCCCTAACGCAGCCACCGCTAAGGTACCTTTTCGAAAGTTCAAATGGCTCTATAATTATCACGAGCCGGAATAAAGGAGTAGCATTGGAGATTGTTGGCCATAAGAAGAATCTGATCGACGTACGACCAATGAATACAGCCGAGGCGCTAGTTCTCATGCGGACCAAGCTAGATGAATGTGCAGAGAGAGAGGAATTGGTTCAGCTAGTCGAGGAACTTGAGTTCATGCCACTCGCGATTGTGCAAGCGGCTAGCTACATCACCCACCGTTCACCCCGCTGCTCGGCATTGCAATACCTAGAAAAGCTTCGGCAGAGTGATCGCCAAGCCACGAAACTTCTGAATCACGAGGGAAAACACATCCATCGAGACTGGGAGGCAAAAAACTCTATCCTACTGACTTGGCAAATTTCGTTCGACCATATTCGACGGATCAGGCAGTCTGCCGCTGATTTACTGTCTCTTATGAGCTTTTTCGACTGGCAGGGGATCCCAGAGGATCTTCTACGGCTGCAAGAAATAGACAGAAACCATGACCGTTTGGGTTTTCTGCAAGACGTTAGGAACAGATCCAGTGATGAGGATACGGATTGCTCATCTGAACCCGACGTAGAGGACGATTTTGAGAGCGATATTGCGATTCTCAGAGACTATTCCTTTATTACTTCAGGTGAAGGTAGCATGGTGTTCGCGATGCATCGACTTGTGCAGCTAACAGTACGCACATGGTTGAAAACCTATGGTCAGGAGGAGGAGTGGAAGGAACGTTTCATTAAGAACCTATATGGTGAATTCCCGACCGGTCAATATGAAAATTGGGAGAGATGCCGGTCACTGTTTCCACATGTTAGGTCGGCCGTGTTACATCGACCGAAATCGCAAGACTCACTCCGAAGTTGGGCTGCGCTACTATACAAAGGGGCGTGGTATGCGATAAAATGTGGCAGTATTTCGGTTGCAGAGGATATGGCAGCTATGTCAAGGAAGCAAAGAATGAAGATTGGCGGCGCCGAAGATGAAGACACCCTTAATAGCACTGCGATGTTAGCAGAAGCCTACCGACTAGAGGGCCGATGGGAAGAGGCGGAGCAGCTCTTTGTGCAGGTTATGGCGACTCGCAAGACGAAACTCGGGGCGGACCATCCTCACACGCTGACGAGCATGGCCAACCTAGCGTCGACGTTTTGCAGCCAGGGCCGATGGGAAGAGGCGGAGCAGCTCGAGGTGCAGGTCATGGAGACGAGCAAGACGAAACTCGGGGCGGACCATCCTCACACGCTGACGAGCATGGCCAACCTGGCGTCGACGTATAGGAACCAGGGCCGATGGGAAGAGGCGGAGCAGCTCGAGGTGCAGGTCATGGAAACGAGCAAGACGAAACTCGGGGCGGACCATCCTCACACGCTGACGAGCATGGCCAACCTGGCGTCGACGTATAGGAACCAGGGCCGATGGGAAGAGGCGGAGCAGCTCTTTGTGCAGGTTATGGCGACTCGCAAGACGAAACTCGGCGCGGACCATCCTGACACGCTGACGAGCATGGCTAACCTGGCGTCGACGTTATGGAACCAGGGTCGATGGGAAGAGGCGGAGCAGCTCTTTGTGCAGGTCATGGAGACGAGCAAGACGAAACTCGGGGCGGACCATCCTCACACGCTGACGAGCATGGCCAACCTGGCGTCGACGTATAGGGACCAGGGCCGATGGGAAGAGGCGGAGCGGCTCTTTGTGCAGGTCATGGAGACGAGCAAGACGAAACTCGGGGCGGACCATCCCGACACGCTGACCAGTATGGCCAACCTAGCGTCGACGTTTTGGAACCAGGGCCGATGGGAAGAGGCGGAGCAGCTCTTTGTGCAGGTCATAGAGACGAGCAAGACGAAACTCGGCGCGGACCATCCTCACACGCTGACGAGCGTGGCCAACCTGGCGTTGACGTATAGGAACCAGGGCCGATGGGAAGAGGCGGAGCAGCTCTTTGTGCAGGTTATGGCGACTCGCAAGACGAAACTCGGCGCGGACCATCCCTCCACACTGACGAGTATTGCCAACCTGGCGTCGACGTTATGGAACCAGGGCCGATGGGAAGAGGCGGAGCAGCTTGAGGTGCAGGTCATGGAGACGAGCAAGACGAAACTCGGCGCGGACCATCCTGACACGCTGACGAGCATGGCCAACCTGGCTTTCACGTGGGAATCTACAGGCCAACATGCGAAAGCAATCGATTTGCTTCGAACATGCGTGGTCAAGCAACAACGAGTTTTAGGCCCAGCTCATCCTCATACTGTCTCCAATGGCAACACGCTGCTGGAATGGGAAACTGCGCATCTTGCTATCAAGGCATGATCAGTTTATCTGTACTCTGTTTTTCTCATATTTAGTTCGTTTCGCTATACTGTATTCGATTGTCTAATTTTGTTTACGATTCATTTCGATTCTCCCTAGCAACCTGACAATCCATTGTTTCTTACAAGTGTAAAGTGCACTATCTGTATCGGTGTTTTCAAACAACAGTACTGCGTAATTTTGGCGTAACAGCCCCTGCATTGATACTATCCGTGTTAGGACTAGCATGTTTTGGGTAAGGGTTCCGGAAACAATCTTCTTTCGCAAAGCAAGGAAGCCAATTTCGAATCTAGCTGTAATAGGTACAGTGTGTTTCGAAAGAGGGTTCGAGAAAGAACCTCTGAGAGGAAACGGTGAAACAGATTTCGATCCATCCTGTATACGTGGCAGGATATAGGACCATACTAAAGCATTTTCCTATTTCCCTTCATCTTAATGTGGCCTACTCAATAATTTATCCGCGCTAAGGCCTTAGTGACGGGTGCAGAAGAGAGATACTTAGTGTTATTAGTCAAGCTGATTTCGAGAATCGCTGTAGTTCATCCGACATATGAGCGTTCATTTTACGGGAGTGATAAATTCGAAGAAAGTGATGAATTGGACAGGGAGTGATGAATTCGTAGGGAGTGATGGATTCGTAGGGAGTGATGAATCCGTAAGGAGTGATGAATCCGTAAGGAGTGATGAATTCGTAAGGAGTGATGAATTCGTAGGAAGTAATGGGTGAGATGGAGTGAGGAATTGAGAGAGGATTACGCCATTTCAACTAGATTTCCTTCAGCCTAGTTGCCCCAAATTATCAGTAATACTGTTCATAGCACCCCCGCAAGCTCGAGGTGACAAGTAAGGAAAATGAACAATCGTGTTCCTAGAACATTGGTGTGGCGAATGATGGCGTTGGTGACAACTAAAGGACAATTTGCAAGGTCGTACTTTCTGCGTCATCCATTCGCCCCCTAAGGGCCCCTGCGGGTATTTAGGGAGATCACAAGCATACATGAGTAATTCATGGTGACGAGATAACAGGTGCACAAAAGCACAAGCAGAGCTTGTTTATCTAAGTTCCGCTGGACACGTAGAAACCAGTTCCTCGGTTTCATCGAAATACGTTTCTTTTTACGGTTAAGGATGGCCACACTGATCTATTACATATTCCCAACAGCTGTTTATCTTTCATCTAGTTTTTAGAAGTTTATACCAAGTTCCCGGGAGCCGAGGTGCAACAGATGATTCAAGACTTTCTGAGCATCTCCCTCCTAGGAACTCGAGCTTCGGTTCCTAGTGATTAGTACCCTACCCTGATGACTTCGCGGGACACCTTCCCCTCTATAGAGATCCTGACGGAGCTTCAAAATAAATGATGCAAACTGTAATTCGCTGAGAATATTTAAAAGGGAACAAGCTCCCATTTCTGAATGTAATTAATATATTTCCTTTCCTCCAAGCGTACTTGAATATTTGAATATTAGGGTCAACGGCAGGATGTCTTCGCAACGAAAGGTTCTCCTGAATAACCCTTTACCTCAAACCATGGATGCAGGTTAGTCCTTTGTTTTTATCTCGTGCCCAAAGGAAAATTTAGGCTAACAGGCAAAACTTAAACTAGCTATACATCCTCCAAAGTCATCGCTAGATACAATTACCGCGAAGATCTATAACGAATTCACGATTGTTCAACGCGAATGCTACCAAAAAGACGGCATGCTTCGTGCCTACGAAAAGCAAAATTTTGACTTAAACGCCCAGCTTTGCGACATGTCCCGGTATATCAAAACACTTGAACAGAAGAACTGGAATCTTAACGAGAAAGTGAGAGGCATGGAACCTGAGAGGACAAGTATGGGACAGGCAAGTTCTTTTCAATGGAAAGGCTGCCAGGGGTAAAAGCTTGATTATGACAGCGCAACATGGAATGTAAAGACATTGCTGGGTCCCACATCTTGAAAGTTGAAGGTACAAGTCAGATGAATCAGGCAGGGGGGTTCTTGGCCTAATGTCTGCAAGGAAGTTTTTGGCACGCCTTTGAACGATGCTTATTTAGCTGTGTCGTGTAAACAAGTTATTTTCAGACAAAATTATTCAAGAGCATCTGAAATTTCACTTAGATGTCCACTGGACGCAGCATGACAGCCTCAATAGACAATGTAACTGGTTGTAAGGGCCGAAGGGGCCACCTGGCTATGAAAGACTCTTATACACTGATTCAAGGCCATGGAAGCCCAATGTGAAGAGTTCAGCATCTAAATTTGCCGGTGATCAACTATCACAAATCCGATGGCAGTAAACTATAGATGACTGACTGCTGTTCCAGAGCTTGCGCCAAATGGTCATGGTTAAAAGGCAGTGGCATGTGAGATAAAGGACGAGATCAAGTGGCCATGAGCACCGGTCGCCAGTTGACGGCCAAAGAGCCCAGCTGGCCCATGAGCCACGGACCATGGGCCAGCTGGGCTCTTTGGCCGTCAACTGGCGACCGGTGTGGCTTACTAACCTGACAGGCCAGGGAACACGCGGCTACAGTGCCAATTCGATCATGAACAGGGTCTCTTGCAGCAGAAAGTAATTATTAGAGCGAGGCTACATCATCCGGCATGCTTTGATCACTACCCTCCGCTAAAGCACGCGAAACAGAGTCCATGTTCTCCTCATTGCGAGCCACTTCATGACCAAAAGCCACAAAGATGGTGTTCGTGCCATCCTGAACAGCCGCGTCAAAGCACTGCGCAGGGACAACCGTGCGAAGGTTTTGGTCATAGAAAGTTGCCGGAACTTGCTCCCTCGCTTTCTCCCTGGCGAATCTTTCCACCGGTCCTGGGTCAGACGGATCGACCGTTATCTGATCAATCACGTGATCCCAGCCACCCCGACCATCTCTTCCCCTAAAAACGATACGGACTTTTTGATTCTCCCCGCTCTGTGGCTCATAATCAACAGTCTGAGCTTCACGTTGTTCAGCATGTGCGGGGTAAAATTTCTCGCTATCATCTAGGTCCATGTCGTTTGACCGAGTCGACTGGTTTGTGTCGTGCCAACGTTTAGGAGCCAATGAGTCCTTTTGCACTGCATTCGCTTCACGAGGATCTCCGGAGTCTCCTTGCGAAGTAGCAACGTCACTCCAGTTTGTGAAATCAATTTGCGTGATTGCCCTTGGCTTCTTGACTTCTTTCCGGGGGCGTCGATGGCCGAACAAGATTCCTCTCTTTCTGCCCGACGGCCCGTCTACCATCATATGATCGGAAGCTCCAGAGATACCTGTAGGGCGTAGTGTTTCGTCACGGCGTCGTTTAGGGACATGAGGCGCTGCTGTCGTGTCATTCTGCAGACTCTCCTCGACCCTGCTATTATACTCAGATGCGACAACATTCTCAGATATAGGCGGCTGTTCTCCAATTGCGTGTCTTTCTACCGGTTGATCGGTTAGCGTTGTTGAAGTGGGTGGCTCGTGGTCCTCCCCTGCCCGGGACCCCACTGGAGCAGCCTGAACTTCCGGTGATGTATTCTCTGGTATGTCGTCTGCCGGTGGCTGCTTAGATTCTGAATGCTCAAAAATCATTCCGTTTCGTTTTGATTTCTGTCCGACCTGCGCGGGTATTTGCGACTTGGGCTCTGTTGGGCTTTTGGGAGATGTCGGGGCACTTGTCAGAATTTCTGACAAACTGGTCTGGTCATCCCCTACCGGGTTTGCTTCGTTTGCCGGGATGTTCTCAGTTGTCATTTGGACAGTGCTTGGTTCAACAGCATGCGTCGAATAGTTGTCTCCATTCCCCGTGGGCTCCCGAAATTCCTCATTCTCGCCACTCCCGGGGTCAAAAATCTCCGCGGAGGTCGTAACAGTTGCATCCCAAGGGGTCTGGCTTTGGGTAGATGCGCCCTGGTCTTGTCCATCCGTTATACCGGCTTCTTTCTGGACTTGACTGGCCCTTGGCGGCTCAAAAGACATCTCTGTAAAGTCTACTTGGGTCACTGGCCTGATTGGACGCTCCCGGTTGGACACCTCGCTTGGCTGTAATAGCTTGTCGATCTGTCGTTCTAATACCTCATGTGGTTGCTCAGGAATGAAAGGCTTTTCTTGCTTTTTCCGCTGTGCCATATCATAAGGACTCCATTTGGCGTCGCCTCGACTCCTAGGACGTACTACACTCTTTGTTCTGGACGGCCCGTGGCCAGAGGGAGAACCGACTTGTTGTGGGTCCACTTCTGTTGATTCTAGTTCTCCGGTTTTTTCCACATCTGCATGCTCACACGCATAGTTTGTTGTCGTTTCTTCCTCGCGTTGATTGCTCAATTCCAATTGTTCTCCCGGGATATGCTGCTCAGCAGCTGTGGTTGTTGAGCTGTGGCTGCGTGTGTTCTGCATCTGCTCATGCGCAATTTCAACAGACATTAGGTCGTCGGCTTGATATTCATAATTTGGGTCACCAGCAGATTCCGTGCCTGTCTCGTCTGGCATCTCCATGTCGTCGTTTCTACCAAGTTCCGAGCTTTGCTGCAAACGCTCACCGTAATCGGCACGGCACCCTTCCTCTTCTCCTGAATGTGACGACCAATCCATATCACTTGAACCATCATGTGTACTGCAGATTCTTATTGGTGAATTTTCTGACGCACGCCATTTTAACGGCTCTTGATGAGAGCGAGGCAATTGGTGCTTCTGGCGCTCATGTTCTCGCCGCCTCTTCTTCTTTTCCTGTGGGTTTTGTCTCTCTCGCTTTTCTCGACTCCGGCCATGGCGATTCGCCTTTCTAAGCCTTTTCCGATCAATTCTTCGTGAATATGCCCGGCTTGGAGGTATCTCTTCTTTGCTGGAAGGTGTGCTCGATTCGGAGCTTTCCTCGGTGACGAAAAGCGGCGACATCGCACGCTGATCTTCGACACAGGGGGGACTGAATTCTAACTGGTTGAAGAATGTGTAATACACACACTGTCTCACAAACAAAGTGGAGACCTTTTTGGTAGTCGATGGCCATGCAGTATGGAGCTGGTCGACGAAGAGAAACCAACGGTCTTGCCTCTGGGCCTTGGCTTGCGGATTGCCACATCGAAATCTGACCTTAGTCTCTCTATCATCAATATGTCCCCTCTCGGGGTCGCAGTCAAGTGGCGAAGCCTGTTGAAAGCACTCGGCTACGCGATCCACGAGGGAGTCGAAAACATCGTTGTCATATTTGTATTTCACATGGTCTCGTGCCTTCAGAAGCGCCTCGCGTGCGATTTGTCGATCAGGGGAATGCTTTAACAGAGCTCTGATTTGGTCAGATTGATACCCCAGCTTCCGAGCCAGAACAGCCAAGTCGTAAAGGACTCTAGGGTCTGCTTTCTCCCAACCCTTCACCACCTGATCCTGGTTCTCGGGTTCTTTGGCCATTTTCGGATAATGGCGCATTGCATACAGCCAAAGTTGTCGATAGGCTAGTTCCGCAAGATCGATCCTGAGGCTCTTGCAATGCTGGAATTTTGTTTCGGACATCTGGACTAAGCAGTCGCCACCTTCAGAGGGTAACTTCGAAAATGCATTTCGCATTGCGCGTTTGACAGTCGGTTGAAATTTGTTGAGCGAAACTAGTCGCTTCAAGCAATTTGCGGAAGACTCCAGATACCACACATTCTGGAAAAAGGTGTAAAGTGAGGGAATGATGCGTTTCCTTGATTTCATTTTTTTCCAGATTGAGGCACGCTCAGCCGAAGTGAATCCTGAGAAGGCTTCGCCGCCAAAAACAAGCCCTTTTGCAAGTTTTCTGTCTTTGTTTGAAACTCCAGGAGCCAAGAGCTGCAATGATTGTATTGAATGGGGGTCGATTTTCAACATTTTTGAACGCTTATGCTTTACCAAAGACGCCCAGTAATCGTACAAATCGTTCAGACCGTGGACCAATTCCTGCATTCATTAGATTTGGAAACACAGATTCTGCACCATACAACTAACCTCATCGCAGCCAATAGCCAAAGCCCGGGAGATTGAGCAAAGTTTCATTCCCTGCTCGAGTAGAGCTGGCAGTGCTAACAGAGAATTTACTGCAGCGCGAACATCATCGTGGGATTCAAGTTGCTGCAAACGCTTCAGTTTGTTCGGTGAAAGACGAGCCTTCCATCGCTTCTCAAAGTGGGCATTTGCCTCATGCTGATATTGGCGAATCTTACGATATATTTCGCCATCGGTTGGCGTTTTCTCGTTGCAGTATTCATCTATGAGAGTTGCTTTAAGCGAGGGGCTTATGTCTGTAAGTCGTCAGTGCCATATACCGCACAGAGATGCTCTATCTCAAATTCTGTAGCAGTCTGGTGTCGGCCGATTTTTGAATGCTTGGAGCGATTGATGAGCTTCGAGATGGCGAAGTGCACGTACCATCTAAGTATAGATTTACTGTCCACCACTGATCGCAGTCTGCTAAGAATTCTTCGCCGGCCTTCAAACGATGCTGTCCGTGCAGGCATTTCACTTGCCCACTGGAAAACTGCAGGTGAGGATATTCGTCGGATGTGTCACTCATTAGTTGAGCAGCGCTCATTCGCGCCTTTTGGAGTGCAGCATCGAGACTGCGGCTCGATACAACGGCAGTGACATGGTTAGGAACATCCAATCGTCGACACCCTTCTTTACTGAAGACTTCGCATAGTCTATCCACGTTCCTTGGATCCAATGCCCGGCAAATAGAATTGTCCGGCACAATCTGGCTCAAGTTGATTAGAGCTATCCCTCGGTATTTCTTATTTCGTTCGCTGGTCACACGACGTTCATGATCTGTGTACATAGACCGTTCCATGACTAGAATTCAGCTGCCAGACAGACGCATTATTGGCGGGGCGGGGGAGGGTTGTACCTGTACTTATCGTTTTCCTCGGCCTCAGAAATGCGAAATAAAGTCACACCCTTGTTTTCTTCGCCTTTATTGAGTGATTAATCCAATTCGTTGCCGGGCCCAGTCGACGCGAAAAGTGAGGGCTCAGTCACACAAACAACCAAGGATTGTCTGTTTATTAATATATATGGTAACTCTTCGAGCTTCAATTGAGAGTTCTTCAAACCCTATTCTTTAGAACCCATTCATCTTGAGCAATCCACAACAGCCATGTCTGACCATGGCGATAAACGTATTACGATGGTCGACTTCACAGGGGCGATGAAAGAGTCAGCTCAGTTGAATGGGACAATACAACAACAGCAGCGTGATGATACAAAAAAGAAAACTTATTCTGCGCTTAGCAAGAAAACGACGAAAGTAATCAAGGGAGGCCCGAAAACTTTCGGGTTACCTCAAATAAGTGAAAACGACCATGGTTCTCATTCTTGTATCGTGAGATATGAGTCTCCTTGGGACACATATCGGCGAGCTATCTCTTGTATAATTGCGGGCAAGGTGACCATTGCCACTCATCATTCCAACCCATCACGAGTGATCGCCATTAGGGAATACCAAAAGAAAGATGTGGGACAAATGGTTGAGCTGTACGGCCGTCTTCATCACCAAAACATTTTGTCTGCACAAGAGTGCTTCATAAACGAGAGCTCTATGTTTGCCCTAGTGGACGACTTAGCCCTCTCTTTAGAACACCTTGTCGGGTGCCGTACCCTTTACCCGTCTGAATGCGAATTAGCCTCGATGCTTTGGCAAGTATGTTACCTTTTGTACTTCAAACACGGGAGACTTATTTATGTGCGAAGACCCTCAACGGCGCCAGTTATCTCGGCGAGAATGGTTGGGAACACCAGTCAATGACATGCCGGTATGTTCTTTTGGGCCTGGATGGTGTAATCAAAATTGGTATGTAGTTCTAATTTTCTGGAAGCTTATTACTGAAAGCTTTCCAAGCGAACCTTGAGTCCTGCGAGAAAAGATTACCCAGTGAGACACAAAGTACACACATAAAGTCTCTTGCTGGTATTTCTATGGAGCTTATGCAGAAATATACAAAAGATAATGGGATGGTTGGAGTTGATGATGTGGATCGATGGCCCGTGGATTCAGACGCCTTTGGCTTTCTCTCGGCGATATCTACTACAACATCAATAGAAGCCTTGAAGAAGGTAATCAGTGCTTCAATTCCATTATTGTTACATGTCATTTGCTAATCATCTGAAGCATTCGCTTTTCATCAATAAGAATCGGTCCCGGGGGAAACTGGTTCTGCTAGCGCGAACAGTTATTCTCTCTGCGAAGATTTTTTATTCACATGACACCTAATCCCGTCCATCAAGCCCATGATAAAGTCTTTGCTATTTGCTATTCTGAATTCTGAATTGCTAATCCTAATGGTTATTTCCGATTTCGAGACTTCTAAAAAAACGCCTTCTAGCACAGCATATTCTAAGTGCAAGTTGTGAACAGAGCTAACGAATTCCGACCAATTTGCTGGTTTCCTCCATTTCCAAACCTAAAGTCCGTAAGTGGGACATTTTCGTGCCCTTGATAATAAATTAAGCCATCTTTTTATGTTCTTTCCTTTCGAAATCAGAGCAAAAACAGAAAAGACTCGGCATGGTGCTTTCTAGTTAAAACCGTAACTGAAAAATGGTGGAGTAGGAAGATACAATTCATGCGATAGGAATACTCAAGGTTCGTAATAGTGCAGTGAAATTAAGTAGACTTGCATGGTAGCTCGCAGTTTGGCCGGTGAGGCCCAAATTGTTGGAGTACCAAATTCAATGGCAACTTGTACCAATATGGATCTCCCTATGAACGGAATTTGGGGCAGATAGCTATTTTCGAACCAAAATTACCAGGTAAAACTAGGCAATTGAGTGGTGGGTGGTTGGGGGAGGGGAGGAATTCGAGTGGCAGGCTCGATGAATTGAACGTTTGCCCAACCTGTGAAGAAAGAATGTAGGTGGTAGTTGCTCCTTTCTATATAAAATACTTGAAGGAGATCTGAAACCTAGCGCAGGCTCGCGGAGGTACGCGTGAGGGCCGAGAAAAAAAAAATGCGTGTCCACGGAGAATATTTTCTCGTCGTGGTAGTCAGCTCGTCGCTTACAAATGCTCTTGCGGTGCTGTATATGAAACCTTGGACGCTCCATATAACACGTTGTAGCAACATGTTTTATTAACATATATTTTGAAACATGGGCTATGTAGTATTGAATATAAAAAGTGTGGGACATATGGGAGATGTGGGGTAGAAGAGTCTGCGCGATCATGCCACGGCACTGATGGAGCGAAGAAGGGGGCGTACTCAAGTGCAGCACTGTTAGTGTGTGAGCTTTCTTTGAAACTTGAGACGTCTTTCCATTAATACCCTACATAATGGGCCGATTGGTTCTGTAGGTCGTATTTCCATAGATCAGATATTCAATCTACATTAACGTTCAACACAACTGTTGATGACTATGGTATGAGATTTAAGCAGACGACTTCCCAAAAATGGACTTCAAGCCCTATCTTAATTCAAAATAAACTGTGCTTAGTCAAGCTGGCTGGAAGTCTGTTTCATGCAGACATAGTTTCCGATCCAAGTGTCTACAAACAACTGCTCTCAACTGGTCTCGAACTTGAGGGGAGGCGGAAACTGCAAAGTCATCAATAACCTGATTTTATGGATGAGGACAAGAAATGCTCACCCAAGACAAGTGTTTTCCCTTGTTCCTCACTCGTGTTTGGAAGTCTGGCAATATGTTTCCCAGAAGCCTCCTCCGAAACAATATGTTCGTAATTGGGGCTAGCATTGAAGACAGACGCACGTCCATTGATGCCGAATGCGTCTCTCGTTTTGCCGAATGCTAAATAGAATGAAATTTTTAGGATCTACTACCAAGTTAATATGCTACAAATTGAAACAGGTTGCTTACTCACATAGCCGTTATCCAGAACATCATCAGCGAGAAGTTCATTCAATAACGGTTGAGCGGCAACAGCAATTTCTATCGTCGAAATGAGCGCTTGTGCTTGATCACAACAGAACAGAGGACTTCTTACCTTTAGTCTGCACTTTCCAAACAAAATGCACGCGACGCACATATGATGTAGACGTGTTGTATCCATAAAAAAGCTTTTTTAAGTAGGGGATAACTCCTGCAATTCCAAAATCGGTTGCAATGGCCAGGACACACTCATAGTCGTCTGTGGATTTACTAGCACCGTACGGTCCGCTCACAAACGCAGTGTACGACGCAAATCCGTCAAAAGCTGCGCAGGCTTGAAGAGCTTTTGTGAGTCCTTGTTGTGATTGGACGAAGAGTTCTAAGACTTCCTGTTTTTCTGGAGACCAAGATGTCACCATGAACGGATGGGACTGCGCCCAGGAAAGCAGGCTCACGGTAGGCATCCAGAGGTTCACATATTGGCCGGCTTTTACCTGCATCGGACGGGGCAGGACTACACGAATCTTGAGTGGCACCCCCGCTTGACCAGTACGATTTGACTCTTGTCTGCTATTTTCACGTGGTTCTTGTTTGGATTTTGTGCAGGTAATGTATGCACGCGGGCGCGGTCGTGACGGAAAGATTCCATTTCGAAATGCGAAGATTGCGACATGCACGGTTGTCGTGATGAACAGTATCCCGAGTGATATGCAAATGTATATCCGTGAATCAGAGGCCGCGAGTGGTAAATGACGCCAAGTAGAGTAAATGAAAAGAGCCGCAAGCAATTGATGTGTGCGGATAAATACTTCAAAGAATCGTCGTCGGATAAAGAGCAAAGAAAGAAGCACAAGTGCGATCATTGACACAGCGCCCTGCAGTAGGTTAGCTCTTATCGGCATGTTTGTGGGGCGTGAAAGATACAAAAAGAGCAAATAAATTGCTCTGATTATTCAAGTTCCATTCCCTCTGACCGATCGTCATAGCCAAGGTAATGTGGAAGGCAAGGAGCATGCCTGACATCCAACCTACAACTCGATGCATCCGTCTGCAAGCTACCAAAGAAACTCCAATAATGTCGGCAAGGAAGCTCAAGTGCGTGGTAGGAATTAGCAAAGCCAGGTTTATAACTGCTAGCGTCCCCGCTCGGTAGCCAGCGATCTCAGCATTTGTCGTTCTGAATGAGATGAAGAAGACATGCAGCGCGGCATATGCAAAACATAACAAGAGATTAGCTCGACTCCAAGGGCCGCAAATGCGGTGGCGATCCACTAAGTAGGGGTAAATCAAATGTTTTGAGATAAAAAGAGATACGACATCTGCAGACTCAGTGAGAAAGGACGCTAGGCGAACAAGAACGAGTATTGATAAGAAACCGCCTATGGAAATAGCACAAAATGACAAGAGCTCCATTGCCTCTCCTGTCTATGGCGTTGGATCACGGCACAATGAATCTCGCTAGCCATCTTATAACGTTCCACTATACCAACAGAAAAAATCATAAATTTGTCTGGTGTGCGCGATAAAGCTTCTGTTGCCCTCCAGAAATCTACTAAATTAATCCTATATCAAGAAATTATGCGACCCCTAAGCTGAGGAACTTATAATGGCACTTCAAGCCAATGTGTACCATTGGTGATATAACACCTATCAGTGAGGGCAGGAAGCTGACGGGTGAAAACACATAACTGCTCGAGTTTAGTTTACAAACCATAGTATACTTGCCCCCATCAATTTAGTGGATGTCACAATGAACATCTCGCAAGTCAGGCGGCAATATCACACATGAGATGCCATTGATTTACACGATGTACATGTATAGGTGCATGAATTACTTATAATATTATTACCTCTAAGAAAATACAGACATATGGTACCTTGGCGTCATCCGTTCAGACGGACATGCCCCATGTAGCTGCGCTCAGCGGCTAAGCCAAGGCACTAAAATGGCGGCGTTCATCCACTTGGATTGGTGGCGACAATACTTTCCTATGTCGCTTTGAATGCGTGAGCAGCAATCTACCGGATTTCTCCCAGCCAATCTTTCCTACCTAACTGAGTGCGAATTCAGCAGCCGCATCATCCTGCGTGCTTTGGTTGGAAAAGGTACCAGGCTGGCCTCAGAAATGGCAGAAGCGAAGTTAGATAACATCAGGAGAGAGCGGGCGGGATGAATCGCTGTACTGTAGTCTTGACTCGCATTGTGGTCGCATGTTTTCGTGTTATCTTACGATATCGCTCCGGCCAATAACACTTCCTGATTGGTTCTCTAGTTGGACCCCCGATATAGGAAATATTACTTTGCGTCTATCGCAACGCGGCTATGACCGCGCAAAATACGTATTTTTACGTATGAGAATGGAGTATTAAACTTATAGGACATTAGTGAGAAATAACAAGCGCGAAGGGCTCCCCTAGGCCGTTGGGGGCTATAATCACTAGGTTCGTAGATGAAGCTTCAAATCGTCCTAATCATTATATATACTCTTTGGCTCACCTTTCACAAAGTCAGTTGATCTGTTGCAATGCCTACCGCACTTATACGCGAAACACTCCTCAAGTTTCCATACAGCTACCACGGTACTATTATCAAATTTATCCCTAGTAGCCAAGGATTTAGCCGTGTACTTGTGCTCAAAGCGCAAAGCAATTACTACCTCTGCTGGGCACATTCTGCGCCTAACCTGAAATGGCTAGTCTGAGCACGGGACGTGTCACAACCGCCAGGTAGGAATTAAAAGGGATTACGCGATCAAGTATACTTTCGTTGATATTGGTATAGATTAAAACCATGATACAAACGCAGTACCCTCAATCGCCTTTGACCGATTGTGCCCGACGTTGCCCCGCATTTCTGCATCACCACGCGCATGTGCGCTAGAACACCTCTATAATCATCCCCAATCCCAGACAATTCCTCACGGAGGGGAATCAAGCACAGAGATTACAGGAGAAGTTCTTACGGAGAAGGCCAAGTTCAGCTACGAACAAACCGGGCGAGATTTGCCCTTGTTTGATTATTTTTCCAACCAAAACAGCCCACTGGTTGAAGACCATGGTAATCTCCGTCGGTAACAGTAATTGTAGTGGGTGCTTCATTAGTTAGTGTAAAATTGATGATATGTGTTTGTATCTTAAATGGCTCCGCAAGCTATCAGCTCAAATGGAGCTGGAAATTGCCTCAAAGCTTCTGTACACCTGCCTCCAGTACAAAACGTATATCAGTACCTTTAAACGTCTTTTACTGTCTGTCAACAGACAGGGGAACTGATGCCCTCATTTCCGCATCAGTGGGCTTATATACGTACACCCGCAGAGTTTGGTAGCAACGTAATGTTTTCCGGAAATCTCTATGCAACGCTAAATATCTTTTGGATAGAACTAAAACTGGCAAGTCATACTGGTACAGCAAAATGAAGGGGATAATATCAAAATTCACTTAATTGACTTGCTTGTTGCACGATTTAACTAACGTATCTGGTTGTCTGGCCCACCTGTGAAGCATGAGATACTAAAACCCACATATTTAGCTCTATATGGATCCGCGAGATGCCCAGTAGGTGCCCTTTCGTCTTTTCCATGCGCTCTTGTCTCACTGTCCGATGTATCACTGTTTTATGTTTGGCTATGGCATGTTTGGCTGCTGACTATAACCAAACTGGTGCTGTTGGACAGGATATGAAAACGACGCTGGTTGGGACATGTTGGAACCAACGCCGAGCTGTGGGGCCATATTTGGGACGTGAGGGAGGTAGCCTGTATCTCTCGGTGCGGGAAGTCCAAAGTCGGGAAGCTGCGAGGAATGTCCGCCAGACTTCAAACTTAGCCCAGACAGGTCCGAGATGGCATCTTGCAGAGCGATATCAGGATCATAAGTCAAAGCCTCTGAAATCAGCCTGTCTGCTTCTTTTGGTGAAAGAATCTTCTTGAGAGCCGACCGCGAGAGGCCAACCTCCTGTAAGGGAGGATTTCCACCAGGTCCTTCATGGAAGAAGCCAACCACCATGTATGGAGACTTATCACACATGGAGTTCACTTCCCCAACGGCTACCCAATTCAGGCCGTATGTGCCACCAAACGTGGCTCGAATCTGAATGCGAAGATTGTTCACTTCTTTATCCCCACGTAAGGTATCTGGGACTCCGGCAGACTTGGCTCCATCAATGGCAAGTTGGCCCCCCGTAGCTGCGCTTGACATAAGGCGTATCCTGCCGTTGGCATCCTCAACTACAAAACGCGCACCCATGAGTCCAAGGTGTTGGATCATGCGGATTCTATCTCCAGTGGAGGTAAACCCAGGTTTGAGTGAACGTACAACTCTTCGAGGCAATAAAGCAATCGTACGTGTACGGCTCCCGGCAGATACGTGTTGAAGCTGGGAGCCTGCTTTGTTCGAGTCAGGGTGCGAAATCGGCGCATGGTGTGAGTGAGGTTGCGAGTTCGGTGCTTGAGAACTGTTTGCCGAGTTCGGTGCTTCAGGACTGTTTGTCGAGTTCTTAGGTGGGGGTGTTGCCCATTCGCTTGGATAATGGAATTTGTCACAGTATGCTTTTATCGCCTTCATTTGGGAAGGTGCAAGTTCCGGTGACAGAAAGATTGGTCTCCAATACCCTAAAAGTTCCTGATAGCGGATGATGCCAAGCTCAGATTCTTTCTCTAGTTGGGAGTTTCCCTCTCGTATTTTCTTGTTGATTATTTCGAGCTTTTCAGCCGGCGTTCGGATTGCTGCGGGAATAGGTCCTTGGTAAAGGTTCACACGTGGGTCTTTCTGAAAGCCAAAGTAAAGAGATTGTATGAAGGGCGTGGCTTCCTCATGGGCTTGTTTATGATACGAGGATAGCTCCCCTTCAACATGCTGCTCGGAGTCAGATCCTCCTCCCTGAAAGAAATGATGGTTTCTGTCGAGCTCGCTAGGAAAGCGTTTTTCAATCTCCCCTTCGGCCCACGATACCCCTGGGAACTGATTAGCAGAATAATCTCGCTATCTACCCTCTTATGTGCCTTACTTTTGAACGCTTCATCTGCGATTGGCTTGTCTGCTGGAGACACAAACCTGTCAGGGTGGAGAATAACCTTCAGTTGCTTGTAATTTATATCGCAGTTATCCGGAATATTTTGTGCACATGCACGCATGATTGCAGTCGCATCACGGGGAACGCTGATGATATCCTGAATTAAACGCTGACGGTCGGAAATACTGATATTATCTGGACCCCCTGCATCCGTCATGTCTATGTCCCCTTGTACGCTCCCAGAAGTGGAAGTCGATTGCTCCGGCGGTGACGGGGCGGAAGCTTGGGCCGCTACTACGGATGCAGAGCCCTGGGTCGTTGCTGGAGACCCTGCCGATTCTTGGACGTCCGAAGTCTGAGTCGTAGAAGGCTCAGGTGCAGCAAGCTGACCTTGGGGGTTAGCTTGGGGACTCTTGAGTCCTCCACCACTCTCCTGCATAGCAGTCTGCTCCGTAGACATGTTGGAAACACTGTTCTTGGTTCAAACCACGCTAGCTTTATTGTTTAATCTGCGCTAACCATATTAGCGCCTGCGCCTGTTGTCTATGGAGATAACTGACAGCCGTAAGAGCTTCTTTGAAGCGAGTTGTATTATAGCTTCACCTGAAGTTAAAGCGTAAAAAAGGTCTAGGGGTGCATAAAAACCGGTACTTTTTTTGTATTTAGACTTGGCCGTTTACTGAATTAGATACGAAAGATGGATCAATTTATATCTCACGAGAAGCTGACGAGCGTGTATTTTCAAGTCCGTCCAAAACGTGAAAGCCTCATTATTCAGATTTTGCTAGATAGACACAGCGAGCTGGAAATTGTGCTGAATGTATTGATTGTCTCAACTATCAATGCACCTATTATTTCAGGTGGTATGTGTTGATTCGCTCATAGTTCTAACCTGCATGTACTACAGCGTGGTGATGAAGTTGACTGCACGTTTTCAAACTATAGCCCTAGATCAGCTTTCTCTCAGAACGACACCGCACTTTATTGTCTTCGTGTATGTTAAAAGCAACAAATAGGACATCTGTTAGCTGTCACTTTTAACTAGCACATCAATTTTGCGACCTATGTAACAAAGATTCCGCACGCAATATTCGCATGCATGTCCTACCAGAAACCACCTTACACGTAGGCGACGCGCAGCACTACCGCGTGGTCGGCGATGCACTGCTGAAGAAAAAGGCCTCCTGCGACTGTGGTTCCAATCTAAAGCAGCGTTAACTGAGGAAAGACATCAAAATTCTATTTGAGTAATCTTTTGGTACGCGTGGAAGTGCGCCATCCAATACATGTTAGAAAGCGAAAAGAATGCCTTAAGGCCGGATTGCTCTCTATTGCATAGGACATTTCCCACATGGTGCTTTTGCGCTCAGCGTCTAATGGTTTCTCTATATAGACTGGTATCTCCACTGAGCGAGCAATGAATTCCTGTGATACTTTAGTATAGTGTGAACGACCCCTTGTCTTTACTCTGGCCCTCTGGGCGAAGACATGTACAGCTTACAACGAGTATATAGATCCACTACTGATACGTTGCATGTCTCCTTTCCTGGAGCCTGCTTACAGCCTTGTCAAACCTGCCAAGATCCAGCGGCGATTTTCTTGTCCGGCTGGCCTAGCGATACAGGCCAGGTTGAATTATTATGCTTGCTTGTATATCGTAACAGCGGCGATGTTAAATTGGTGAACGCAAATTTAGCTGCGCCGGAACACAAAATACGTCCTTTAATCTACAAACCATCAATGACGGAGATGTCGCCGATTACCTGTAAGTCAATCATCCATTCATGCGTCGTTACCGTTGTCCGCATTAAAGAGTTTATCGATTGCTCTCTCGGACACGTCCTACGCCATGTTTGGTGCACCACTTCCGAGCTCTAGGCCTTTGGACGGATGAACAAAGCCTCCGCCTGGATGGCATCAAGCCACTCATTGGACGTTGTTCCTGGAATCTGAACAGAACCTTTGAGGAAAATTTTCCGGCCCTCGACCTTTTCCGGCCATGCCCGTAGCACTATAGGTACAGTGGGTGGGACGGGAAGCAAAAACGATGTGTTGAGATATGCTGTGAATGCTGGCTTGCAAGAACAACAATCGGCGAGGATCCGGTCCATCAAGAGCGCCACGTATCCACCGAAAAGTTTACCATCATAATAGCACATGCGCTGTGAGGGGCTCAGGAGCAGTGCAGATTCCACCTCTCGTCCCAATCGGTGAGGTTTGAAGACAGGACGATAACCTTGGAATAACGAGAGCATCATCTCCTCCGAAGCCTCATTTAAGGATGGCTTTAGTGGAGGCTTTAGAAGTTAGAGACTCGTGTTGCACTTTCATAGTGATATAACTCACCACGGATGGTCTAGGCAGCTCAGCGCTTATATCACAAGATGCACTGGCTCGATACGTCTCCGCCAAGCAGTGATATCCACGAAAGGACCGGAGGAAAAGTGAAGTCACAAAGCGTGCGTTCATGGTTTGCAGCCAAAGATAATGACAGTAAGAAGGGGTAGAGATGGTGGAGGGGCCGCCTGATGTTGTGGACACGTCTTCTCGTCAAATATATATATTGAGAAGAAACCTTCGGTATCTCGGGGAAGCCATCAGAGGCCAGTCAGCATTCAATTTGACTCACTAAGATTTAGTGCCATTGCTTGAATTCAGCACAATTGAATTAAATAATGAGCAATTGGTACCAGGAAAACGGGATATGCACCAAAAGCGAATTGAACACTCATTGCCTTGATTTCAACAACAGAGGGTTTAGCAATTTGTTCATTGGAATCAGTCCGCCCCAAATACATCCCTTTCTGCCATAGATCTCCCAACTGGACTGACGCTTAATAAATATAATGGTACAAGGGTCTGATTTCATGGGAGACCACATTGAGCGTTCACGCCCACAGACTGAGGGTGCTTAAATTACTGTTGTTTGCTAAAAGATAACAGCTATTCAACTGAGTCTTACAGAAAGCTGTTACGGTAGATTTCGTTCTGGGATGAGTAAAGGCCAATGATGAATGCCGAAAAATCAAAGCAACTTGAATTTCCTTTGGAGCCCACCCTGTCTGATTTGAGTAAAGAAGAAAGAAACGCGTCCTGCGTGCACCGTTGACCCCGCTACCTATACATTGCAAAGTAGATAAGTGCTCAAGGAGGGTGCTCGGCCAGCTCCCTATTTGTTGGGTTCGGCTTGTGTGAGTATAGCCTCCCGGCCCAACCAATTTTTGGCTTGGCGACGGGCGCCCGACGATACTGCTTTCGCCTAGTCCACTCGCTCCACAACCCCACCAATTCAACTCTCCCCTCGGCGCAACAGCTACCGTATGGTGTACGACTTGCAGAATCCCTGAGATATGCGATAGCAGGACAGTAATCAGGAACGGCGCGACCGAGCCAAACCTTCAAAACCAAGGGCGCTCTCCATCACCTCCCCTTAGTACTATTTCCGGAGCCAGGGACAGTCATTCTTATGATAAGAAACATGCGGTTGATGAATCCCGCCTATAATTACTATATATCCTTTCCGAGCGGCTCGCCCAGAATTATTCAAGCAGGCTACCTCAATTCACGGTGGTAGTTATCGACAACTCCGCATGGCAAGGATCTGGGCCTGACACCCATCACCGGTAAACTACGCACCAGGAGAGACGGACTGGAACCGGGTTTGATTTCGCGGGGAGCTAACGACAAAAGATCTATCTTGGATACTGTATCAGGGCATTTCTACATAATCGTCAAAGCCTGGCAGTGCTGGTGGATCAGGGATAGAAAATGTCGACGCATTAACATCCGGAACGGCTGGGTTGTCGAGCATAGCGAATTGCTTGGACTGGTCCAGCCAGGACCCTTGAGCCACATCGGAATCTGATAGCAATGTGCTGATGTATGCGTTTTGAGACGCATCTATCTCCGCTTCGGCCATTTTGGTCACGGACGAGGAGGCATCAAACAAGTCCTTCAAAATCTTCTCATGTTCTTTCCGCGAAACGTAGTTTGTGCGGTCCAGGGTCGCGTCGTCCAGGCGTTTTTCCAGTTCTTGCGTCTTCTGCTTTGACTCATTGAGCTCCGACATGAGCTTTCGGACCTTCCCTTGTAGTTGGGCTTTTTCAAGGTCCCACCTCCGCGCAGTATCTGCGGCCTCTTTTAGTTGCGATGTGAGCTGTCGACGATCTTGGTCGGCCTTCTTGAAAATGGTGTTGCAATTGGCGTGCACAATGTCAGACT